TTGACAGACAGAGATCACAAGTAGGCAGAGAGGCCAGGCAGAGAGAGAGGGGGAAGCAGGCTTCCTGCTGAGCAGAGAGCCCAATGCGGAGCTGGATCCCAGGACCCTGAGATTATGACCTGAGCCAAAGGCAGAGACTTTAACCCACTGAGCCACCCAGGTGTCCCAGCACTTTTATTTTTAAATTAGGTATGGTACATAATTCCAAAGTGACTTCTGGTGTCTCACTCCTTCCTAAAATCTGTCAGAAGGAGCTCTAACATTTTAGGGGCACTCACATTAGTACCATACTTGCTGCAAGTGAAGCGGCCATGGCAGGAGGCGGCGGGATGGGGGGCGGTATGTGTGTGGGGAGGCCTCAGTCCTGCTTGCTGGCTGGGCTGTGCAGGTGCCGTTGGAAGGTAAGTGTTTAGAGCCCAAAAAGCCCAAGACCAAGCAGCGTTTTTCGAGTCCTAGTGGAGTCCAGGCCTTTCCCCTGCCAGCCCTCAACCCGGAACCACACTTTTCAAGCCAAGTCTTAAAATAATATGATATTAAACAATAAGAATTTGGAAGATGGCTTGAATTCCGTTCTTAGACTTCATTCTCCGGTAATTGTTTTAATGTGGTCCTAGCATGCTGTAGGGGCCTGGCCTTTTTTATGTGCCTCTTTCAAATTCGTGTTTCTGTGCAGATCACTTCAGTACGGAAGAGGGGCTGACTGAAGTTTGTTTGCGTCTTGAAGGTGAAGTTAACATGATTGCATTTGCCAAAGTTGGAAGAGTCCAGACTGCTTGCCCTGTTGATCCAGTTCCTGCTCAGGACAAGGCGGTTCCCTTTTTACCTTAATTTCCATACTTGCTTTGCACCTAGAACAAACCAGCCTGACCTCTCTGTTCATCAGTCAAAGTTAAATTACGTGGGGGAGTGAAGTGGTTGTGGTTTTCTTAAATTTCCCAGTTTGCTTATTGGACAAAGTAAGGTAGGAAGGAGGTGTTTCAAGCAGGGACCATAGAGTGTAAAAGAGTTGAGCTTGAAGATGCAAGACCTAAACTACTGAGTTATTCTGAGGGGCCAGAGTTCCCTGAAGGCTGGAGAATGTGGACATCTGGGAAGTAGCCCGAGGCTGTGTCCTGATGGGCGTGGTTAGACCAGGTTTGGGAGTGGGCGTCCCATGGCAGTGGTTTGTGCTATGTACAAACCACTTACCACTTTCAGTAGGTAATACCTGTTGCTTTCAGTAGGTAATACTTGTCGCTTTCAGTAGGTAATACTGGAAGGATTATATTTTCCCCCGTTCCTGATAGTTTTGGTTAATGTCTTTGTTGGGGTGTCTGTGGGTAAAGTCTGATCCCACACTTTAAAAATGTGGGTATTCTTGAGTGTGATAAAAGAGGGAGTGCTTTTTACAGGATTTGGTTACACTTGTCTGCCTTTTTAAGCAGGCATTTTTTAGGGTTTGATTCTGATGTCATAAAATTGTGTAGTTCTAAAAAAAAATTGTGTAGTTCTTTAATGATAGTGTGTCAATTTCGCACGTTTAGCTATGTTGGCAATGACAATGGGTTTGAGGAAAATGGAGCAGAATTAAAGTATTTGGTAGCAATTAGATGGTTTGTGTTTATGCTTCTCACACAAAACAAGTAGTTACTGATTATTGTTTGAATTTAATGGCGAGTTTAGGAACCATTGAAAACTGTCTGCAGAACTTTGTGATTCTTGGGCTATCAGTTTTTGTGTGGAAAAGATTCAGATTTCTTCATTGCTAGCAAGTGATTGTGAATCCGGTAAGAATAGAAACTCGAAATATGTGTGCTTTCTTCTTAGCCGACCGTGAGAGAGTACTGTCATCTTTTTCAGAATAAGATTCATGGAAGGTGCTGCTAAGAGACCTGATAGTCTTGAGTGTGGTGGGCCGGATAGCCTGGGCTCCAGCTCCCGTTCCCACAGCCCATGAGCTCTAGCACTCTAGCCACTGCTGCTGCTTTTTAGTAGCTTTGCTGTTTCTACTTTTTCTTTTTTTTTCCATCTCTTGGTTCTAGAAATTTAGATTTAAAGTAATTATCACTTGTCTTCTGAATCCTATCTGTAAGACTGACTCAAGAACTTTTGAGTCTGTTTTAATGTGTATTTTACTTATTCTTCTACAGAAAATGTTGACTTATCCATTTCTGTATTGGCTTTTTATGAACATCTGTGAAGTGCAGGCGTTGTGCTGAGTGCTAGGAACAGAGATGTGCTGTGGGCCTTGCTCTTAGTCTCTCGTCCTGGGATGGCCACTGCCAGAGCAGTTGTTATCAGAGTGGCCTGGACGCTGGCTGGTGGGGCCTGGGAAGAGAGCCCCGGGGAATAGAACAGGCTTTCCCTACCAGGAGCCCCACAAAGAGGAGCAAGAGGGAAACCGACAACAGTAGAATGTATTTTTATTTTCTTGGGTGAGATCCGTATTCTGTCCTTGACTTTTTGCTTATTTCAGGAACGTTTACTCTGGTTCTGGTGAGGGGCAACAGTGTGGCTAGGTCTTCGTGAAGTCAGGCGCAGGCCTTGACAGCTGTGCTGTTTGTTGCTCACTGTGTTCTTTCGGCTTATCCCATATATGAAGAGGGAGACAGAATTCTTGTTAGGACTCGTATTTGTATCTAAAATGTTCCACTGGCCTGGCCAATTCTCCATCAGGCATGCTTGTGATTAGTGTGAAGCTGGTGACTTTTTTCCTCTTTTCTGGTACCCTGATGTGTGAATTCAGTTCATTTAAGGCCTTAGGCAGATTTTCACTTTGGAAATCAAAAGGTAATGGATAGGTGAGTTAGTTTGCTTCCTAAATGCTTAAAACAGTCAATGTTCTTTAATTTTCTTGGTGGCTGTCTTACACTGGGTCAATTCTAATTTAATCTGGTCTTTTAAAGAAGAGAACATTTTAATTTTCTCATAGCTCTCTCTTCTTTCTTCTTTAAACCGAGGTATGATTTGTGCTCAGCACAGGGACCTGGTTAGCATCCAGTTCTGTGGGCTTTGACGAATGCATAGCTGTGTGCCTACTGCACATTCAGGGTTCAGCAGTTTCATCACCCCCTCAAGCTCCCCCTGCCTCTTTGCTGCCATACCTCTCTCCAGCCCCTGTAAATTACTGACCACTTCCTGTCCCTGTAGTTTTGTCTCTCCCAGGACATGCTAGAGATGGAATCCACCGCCGTGTGGCCCAGAGTCTGGGACATTGACACTCACCTTGTGTGTGGTAGCATTCTGCCGAGCAGTGCTCCATTGTGCACTTGTGGGGCTTTGTTCGTCCGTCCGGTGGGTGAAGGATATTTGGGTTATTTCCGCTCTAGCGCTTTTGAAGTGGGTGGCTCCTGAGGATGGGAGGTGAGAACCCTCTGCCTCTTGTGGTCCCTTAGGGACCCAGGCTGCTCCCATCCTGTTGGTTCTGCAATCTTCTTGTCTTTATTTGTACAATCAAAACCTAGGTGTTAGGCATGTTTGTTCTAGTTGGAGGGACTAGATGGGGAGATACCCAGGGTAAGCCGGTGAGGTGAGGCTTCCATTCCCATTTCATCTGTGAGAGAATGAAGGGGTGTGTGTCTCTCCCTACCTGCAGGGAGGCTAAGGAATGGAATTTCTAATTGGGGGGCATGTGTCCAAGAAGGAAAGATTGGTGTTTGTGCGGATGACGGGCAGGAAGTCTGCAGTATTAACTTACTTAATACTTACTTACTTACTTACTTAACTGACTTAGTAAAAGTTCCGTTCAGGAAAGAGACCAGTGGGAAAGACACACTCACCAGTCCCTGTAATGATGGACCCTAGTTGGCCAGTCCTTGGCAAGTCCCCCCCCCCGCCCCCCACTTGCCATGAAGGAAGGGTCTTGCTTAGGCTCTGATTCTTTTCTTGTTGAAACCCCGGTCTGTTCTTTTCGGCTTCTGGTTCGTCCTTACCCCTTTTCTTCTCCAGCCACATCTGAAGTGCCTTTTGGAGGTGTTACCTTCATTGGATTGTACAGTTTGTAATAGCCTTTTCCTTCAGACACACTTTTTGGAGCCTGAGGGTTGCCCTGGGGATGAAATAGTCACAGGTGTTCACAGGTTAGACCCACTGCTCCTTCGATAATATAATTCCCTCAAAAACTAGTAGTCTTGGGGCTGCCTGGGTGGCTCAGTGTAGGTTAAGCCTCTGCCTTCAGCTCAGGTCCTGCTCTCAAGGTCCTGGGATTGAGTCCCACATCAGGCTCTTTGCTAGGCAGGGAGCCTGCTTCCTCCTCTCTCTCTCTCTCTCTCTCTACTTGTGATCTCTCTCTCTGTCAAATAAATAAAATCTTAAAAAAAAAAAAAAAAACTAGTAGTCTTCCGGTTTGTTTCTAGTACAGTGTACTGGTAACCACACTCAAATACTTCTGTGAATGTAGTTCTTCAGCCTGGTTTAATTTTGGGGTTCCTCTTTGGATCATCCCTCTGTCACCTGTTTTGAAGGTTACATACCTCGAAGGCATCTGAAGCCGCAAGTTTGGGTGGGAAGCAAGTTCCTTTACTCTGAATTTGAGTGGACTGTTTGTCTCCTTGTGTTGCCCCAGAAGTCCTCACAGGAGGCTTCTTCCAAGCTGTCTGGGTGTAGAAGCAGTCAGTCTCTCCCCGAGAGCACGAGGTCTGCCTTCAGTTACAATGGGGTTTTGAGCAGTAGAGGCAGCTTGGTATGAAGAGTAGGGATGATGCTGTATTTCCCTGAATCACGTGCCCCCTGCATTGGTGTGCTCTTGCGCGAGTCACTGTTTGCACTGCAGTTTCTCCTCTAAAATGGGAAAAATGGGTGCATCAGGGACATCACCTGACTTTTTTGTGGAGACCTCTAGTTCAGGAAGCCTTTGCTTGAGCTCATCTGTGCCTCCTTGAGCTGACCCCAGCCCGCCCCCCAGCGTGGAGTGTGGTTTCTCCATGACGGTCTGGAAGTGCTGTGGAATGAGTGACTGATGCGTGGACGTCAGTGGAGTGGCTAATTCAACACATACTCACTTCTCCTTTGTTTTCTTTTAGAAAGAAAGAACTTTCAGCCACCAAGAAAGACCGCGTGAACCATTGTCTGACAATATGTGAAAACATAGTGGCACAGTCACTCAGGTAATTGCACTTTGAACTTTCTAGTAAAAATTGAGACTCTATTTTTGTTCCTAATGGGCTAGAATATTCTTTGTCTCCCCAGGTTTCTTAAGACATTTAAAGGCCCCTTTTCTCATATTTCTGGCTGTCACTATAAAAAGTCACGTTTCCTTTTTGTAACTTACAAATAACAGTTGTAACCATTATGATAATTGAACAGGGTGTTTATATTTACTTAGCACTCTTGCTAACTGTGAACATTGAAAAATCTTCTGGTTGGTATTTTTACATTATTGCAGTAATTGGAACAACAGGAGACTGTCCAATGACATGTTTTGCCTTTGCTTCTCATTGGCATCCTGTTGCCATTCAAGCATGCCCAGCCATGGCTGATGCCTGCTCACCTGTGCGTGGGGATCGCAGGGCCCTGGGCAGTGGACTAGGCCAGTCTCCCTTGCTTCATGTTTCTTTTGGGGTGAACTCAAGGCACCTTCTTTTGGGTCTTTGCTAAGTCTCCGCATTCTCTTTGCTTTCAGTTGTCTGTCTTTCTAACCACTGTTCCTAGAGACTGTGGATGGTAAGTATTTTAGGCCTCTTTCTAGGCCTGAGTAGGAGACAGATGTGCCTGAAATTTCTGAATTCTGCTACTTGGCTGGATATGGGTGAAATACTTCTCTCCTTGGTTTTCTTTCTCTCGGAACAAATAATTCATGTTATTGTGCTGCTTGGAATCTGGAAAGAGCTCTCTCTAATCTGTTAGAATAGTAATCTGGATGGAAACTTAGTGACTCAGTTATTTTTAATGGCACCTTGCATTTGTATTTTATATTTTCAGTGTGATTTCTCATATAATAGCTCGTTTTAGCTGAACTTGTTCCATCGTTTGGGAAATGTGCTGGATGATTTCTGTTTCTCTCTAATTTGTAGAAATGTGGGAAGCAGATGAAATAACAAATGAGAGTATGTGCTGAAAATAAAAATTCTAAGTTAGCATGCTGTTGTAGAAAACAACACTATGATAAAAGTAGGGAAAAAAAGCTTTGAATCCATCTCTGCTCCTTAGAAGCCAGCTGATTTTGGATAAATTTAATTTCTTTCCGTCTCTGTTGCTGCATTTGTGAACTGTAAGTCCTGATTTTTAGGGTTCTCGTGAGATCAGCTGACATTGCGGACGTGTGTTTGTTAGCCACGTGGAGCGAGAGCTCTCTGCGGTCGTGACAGGTCTCGTCCAGAGCTCTCAGGCGTCACAGCTTTCATGCGAAGTGACTTCGATCCCTGACAAACGTTTTCTCTCCTGCCGCAGAGTTTTGCTGCTCTGACCTCCAACATCCAGGTGTCCAGGAACATTTCACTGCGAAAGCTTACGGATCCAGAGACAATCTCTCTTCCACTTGGAATGCTTCCTGTTCTGTACTTACGTAGTTTCTTTTGATCATTCTCAGTGGAATTGATGTCAGCTTAGATTTTTCATACTAGAAAAGTATGTTGGGATATCTTAGGATTGGTTTGGCTCAGTTTGCCATCTTAAATCAAAATGGTAGCCATTAGTGGTTTTCACAGGGGTATATTTCTTCTGTTTTTATGGAGTAATGCTGATAGTCATACTTCTTGTTTTACAGAAGGACATGTTGATGGAATGTTTTATGGATCCAGAGAGATCATCTCTGGTGTCATCAGATCAAAGAACAATTTATTTTTAAGATACTTTCCATACTTTGCAGGAATTTCAGAGTGTGGAGCTCAGGTAGATGATACACACACACACAATGTTTCATGAAATCTTTTTTTTTTTTTTTTTAAGATTTTATTTACTTATTTGACAGAGAGAGAGAGATCATAAGTAGGCAGAGAGAGAGAGGGAAGCAGGCTCCCCGCTGAGCAGAGAGCCCGATGTGGGACTTGATCCCAGGACCCTGAGATCATGACCTGAGCCAAAGGCAGAGGCTTAATCCACTGAGCTACCCAGGTACCCCTGAAATCTTTTTTATAGCTGATGTTTCCTGTGATCTCTCCTTGAATATAAATATAACTAAATCTTTGGTACATTTCTATAGGTTCTGTGATATACTAGAACCTATAGAAATGTACCAAAGATATACTAACCTTTTTTCCGGTGGGGTTATTTCAGTGATAGCTTCCAGAGTTAACGTGGGAAGTCATCTAAAACTTCATGGATATTGTGACCATTAGTGTACTTGGGTTCCCAATTTGGTGGTCTTACTAGTTCCTCAGTATGGGTCAGCAGCATGATCATCCAGAAAAGTTGTCAGAAATACAGTAGTGAAGATACCTCACTGCCCTCTTTCCCAAACACACTTATATTTTCTGTTCACATGTGGTCTGGGAATTTGTTCTTTTTTTTTTTTTTTTTTTGGTCAGAGAGAGTGAGCACAGGCAGACAGAGTGGCAGGCAGAGGCAGAGGGAGAAGCAGGCTTCCTGCCAAGCAAGGAGCCTGATGTGGGACTCGATCCCAGGACGCTGGGATCATGACCTGAGCCGAAGGCAGAGGCTTTAACCCACTGAGCCACCCAGGCATCCCTGGGTATTTGTTCTTAACAAGTCTCCTCTCAGGAATACCTAGGAACCCGTATCTAAGCGTGCGTACCTTCATAAAGTGGTTGGGTAAAAATAATTATACAGAAATCTTTAGGTTTCCTATATATTAGTGTAGGTCAGTCAGAAAATATCAGGGTTCAAGATCTAATTCACAGTGGTGCCAACATAGAAAATTTCAAGGAACTGACAAGAAATACACAGAAAAATATGTGGACTGCTGTTGGCCTTCCTGAAAGGTTTAGATGACTACATTGCTTCCTAAATGGAAGACTTTTTATCATAAAGCTGAATTTTCTCTAAATAAATCCATAAATTTAAATAGCCTTGATCAGAGTTCTAGTATGGGTATTTTTGAACTTGTTCACCTGAAAGAATAAATACATGAATGTTACAAAGAAAATTTGACAGGTCAGCAGTATGGTGCGAGGTGATACAAGATTAAGTTAGCTGTGAGACATGAAAGAAGGTATGGGATAGAAAGGAGAGTGTATGTGTGCATCTCTGTGTGTGAGTTTATGGTAAAGATAACATTTTGTATCAGTACTGAAGTGATGGGTTATTGAACCAAATGACTTGAGAATTATGTCTGTGCCTCATATTGCAAACAGACGTAAATGTCAGGTCAATTACTTAAATGTAAAAAAAAAAAACGATTATTAAAAAAAGGATTTTTGATTTTAGGAAGAGGAAGGCTAATAATATAAAGGAAAATATTGTTTTGACTGGAATATAGTTCAGTATGTCAAAATCCACCTTAAACTTGAAAGTAAATTCAACTTGGGGATAGTATTGACAGCATGTATCTCAAAGGCTTAATAGCTGTATAAAGAGCAATTATAAATCATTAAGGAAAAGACTATCAGCCTAATAGGAAAGTAGGCAAAGAACATGGCCAGGTAGTTCAGAAGGTAAGAAATATGTGTGGGCCAGTGAACCTGACAGCTGACATGTATTTTTTGTTTCCTGTGGGAAAATATTCGTATTTACTAGTCAGGGAAAAGAGACTAAAACAAAAACAAGATTAGCTTCTATCTGTCAAATTGACAAACATTAAGAAATACTAAGGATTTTTGTCAGACGTGAGGCAGCCTTTCTTTAAAGGCAGTTTGACAAAAATATCAAGCTTCAGACGGTCATCTTTGTGGCAGTGTCTCCTGAGGACGTTATCCTTGGGAAAGTGTGTGATGATGTCAGTGCGGTATTGTTCATCCATTAGAAAATTAAAAATAATCTTAATGACTTATAAGTTGGGGAATTGAAAAAGTAAAATATACTTATAGAAAGGAATGTTAATTAACTTTATAAAAGATGATTGTTAGAAATGTGTGTTTGTGACCAGAAAATTTATTAATACTATATTAACAACTTAAGTTTAAAATATTAAGAAAGATATTTGCTCTGGCTAAGATAAATGCCAAAGACAGATTTACTTTCCTGCCTAAGACAGTTCATAATGGATAAAATATATGTGACAGTGGTTTTCCAGACATCAGGTGAAGAGCAACAGCAGTCCTCGAAAAATGGAAAACTAGTGTGGGAGCCATATGACTTCTTCCTATTACTGTGTGGAAGGAGTCCTGTGGGGAGGGGAAACCCAGGCAGAGCCGTGGGGCAGATGGTTAAGGAGACAGACAGAGCTGTCAGCTAAAGCCAGCTGGGGAGAGTCTTGGAGAAGAGATCTGCACAGAATGATCCCTGGAGCCTTTGGAGGGACTGATGCTTGAGTCTTTAGTTCCTATGGAAGTGTGGGTGCCTGTGAGGACACGGCTTCCAGCTGGGGTAGGATCACCTGGAAGGAACACTTGCTGGAGCTCACACCTGTTCACCCAGCCACGGTGGACAGGTGTCCTTCCTGGGCCTTGGCTGGGGTGTACAGAAGGCTTTGCCCTCATGGTGGGGCTAACTTAGCCCTGAACTAAGATGTTATTCTGGTCCTGCCTGATAAAGCTTATAGGCAAAACCTGAGATCGTACTCTTTCATAGTAACATAATTGTTTCCCAGAGCAAAGCTCAAGAGTGTTTATAGGAATTCAGTAGTATATAGTGCCCAACGAGGTAGAAGTTACAGGATCCAGCATTCAGCCAAAACTTTTCAGGAGTGAAATAAGCAGGAAAATAAAATTCTTAGGGATCATTTGAAACTGACTCAGAAATTGCACAGATGGGAAAGTTTGTACAAAACCATGGAAACAGTTCCTTTATTTTATGTACTCGAGAAGCTAGAGAAAAGATGGAATGTGTTACGTAGAGACAAGACATTCAAAAGAGCTATGTTGGGGGCCCCTGGGTGGCTTAGTGGGTTAAGCTTCTGCCTTCGGCTCAGGTCATGATCCCAGGGTCCTGGGATCGAGCCCCGAATCGGGCTCTCTGCTCAGCAGGGAGCCTACTTCCCCCTCTGCCTGCCTCTCTGCCTACTTGTGATCTCTCTCTCTGTCAAATAAAAAAATGAAATCTTAGAAAAAAAAAAAAAACTACGTTGAACCAAGGTGAGAGTGCCTACAGATTTCTTGCTGGAAACCATATGCACCAGCAGTCAGTGGGGCGTCATTTGTAAAGTTGTGGAGGGAGAACACTGTTCGACTGCATAGTCAGTTAGTCTGTCTCTCAAAGGTGAAGTAAAGACCTTGTCACGTATGCAAAAGCTGAAACAGTTTATGTCCAGTAGGCAGCCGCTCTAAGAACTAGTAGAGAAAGTGTTTCTGGTAGAAGGAAAGTAAGATCAGAGAGGAAGGTGGACCCACACAGAGAATTGGAGAGCCGGGAAGTGGTGACCGTGCCATGTGACTGGAAGACTTGCCCCCTCGTTTTTCATCTCTTCAAAAGTTAATGGATTGCTTGCAGCAAAAATAATAACCATGGATTTTGGGGCTTTATGACAGGCGGAAGCAGAATGTGGGACAACACTAGCATGAAGGCTGTTTCATAGCTCGTGGTTGGCCGAATAGTGCCCCTGCCCCCAGAGATGGCAGGTCCTAATCCCTGAATCCTGTATAAATGTACCTCGAAGGGAAAGGGTCTTCCCGGGTGTGATTAAGTTAAGGGTTGTGAGATGGAGAGATTATCTTGAATTGTCCTGGGGCACCCTAGATGTAGCCACATGTATCCTTATGAGAGGGAGGCAGAGGGAGGTCTCTCTTTCTCTCTCTTTCTCTCACACACACACACACACACGTGCGCGTGCACACATGTACATGTGTGCACACGTGGCAACATGAAGATGGAGAAAGACAGGCAAGGAGATCAGGCCACAGGCCGAGGGGTGCCAGCCACTGCCATACTGGAAGAGGCAAGGAGCCCTTCTCCACTGGAGTTTCTGGAGGGAAGTACCTTGATGTTTGGCCCAGTGATACTGATTTCGGACTTATGGCCTCCAGAACTTCGAGAGGGCTGACACCTGTGGTTTTCAGCCACCCAGTTTCTTTCTTTTTTTTTTTTTTTTTTTTAGATTTTACTTATTTTTTTAAGATTTTATTTATTTATTTGAGATCACAAGTAGGCAGAGAGGCAGGCAGAGAGAGGAGGAAGCAGGTTCCCCGCTGAGCAGAGAGCCTGACTCGGGGCTTGATCCCAGGACCCTGGGATCATGACCTGAGCCGAAGGCAGAGGCTTTAACCCACTGAGCCACCCAGACGCCCCTTCAGCCACCCAGTTTCTAGAAGCTGGTTACAGCAGCCCCGGAGCCCAGTACTGTTGTTTGTTTCTTATGCTGTATGTGAAGTGGTATAATACCATTAAGGCAGACTGGGGCAAATTAAAGATGTAGACTATAACCAGGGCAACAGTTGAAAGCGCAACAAAGAGTTATAGCTAATGAACCAGAAAAGGAGATAAAAGGGGTTCCTAAAAATACCCCAAAAGAAAGCAGAAATAGGGAAAAGGCAAATAAAGAGCACCTGGGGTAAGAAGGAAAGAAATAGTATGATGGTAGATTTAAATCTGCTTACGTCAATAATGACATTAAACAGAGACAAGTTTTTTCAGATCTGAGACCTCGCATATCCCGCCTACAGTAAACCCATTTTAAGTATAAAGGCGCAAATAGCTTAAAAGTTAAAGAAGGTGGCTGACCACGCTAGCACTGATCAGAGGGAAGCCGGGGTGCTTGTGTTAACATCAGATGGGGGATTTCTAAGTAAAAGCTATTACCAGAAATAGGATGGTCACTTTTATAATGATCAAGGTATCTGGTTCATCAAGGAAGCATAACAATCCTAAATGTTTATGTAGCTAAGGACAGAGCTTCAAAAATACATGAAGCAAAACCTGATTGAACTGTAAGGAGAAACAGCCACAATTAGAGACTGATTTCAGTAGCCTCTCTCAAACATTCTTAGAGCAGCAGACATAAAATCTGGGTCTGAAAGACTTGAACAGCACTACCCACCCATGTGGCCTGGTTGGTATTTACAGGCACTCCAGCCAGAGCAGCAGAAGACACGCTCTTCTCAAGTGCTCACAGCATACTTGCCAAGAGAAACCCCCTGGGCCATACAACAAGTCTCTATATGGAAAAGGATTCATAACACGAGTATGCTGTCTGACCTCGATGCCATTACAATGGAATCTGTTCCAGAAAGATAGTCTGGAACACAAGTAACTCATTTCCACATGACCCATGGATCGCAGAGGAAGTCAAAGGGGAGATCTGAAAGCATTCTGAATTGACCAAAAATAAAAGCAGAGGATTTTGAAAGTTGCGGTATGCTGCTGCAGCATGTCTGAGGAGGGTTGCAGCACTTGGTGCCTGTCGTAGAAAAAAAGGAAAGGTCTCAAAGCAGTGACCTCAGCTTCCATGTCAGGAAACGTGATAAACAAGCGCAGATGAAACCCCAATTTAGCAGAAGAATGGACATAGAGAGCAGAAGTCAGTAAAATAGAAAACAGGTAAGTCTGTAGAAGCTCAATAAAGCCAGAAGCGAGTTCTTTGAGGATGTCTGTAAGATTCATCAGACTGACCGACCAGGCAAGAAGTGAAGTAACACATTACCAGTGTCCAGAGTGAGGGCGATGAGCTTAATATGGGTTCTGTAGATATTGACAGGATTATAAGGGAGTATTAGGAACAACTTTATGCAATTATTGGACAATTTAGGTGAAATAGGTTTCATGACAGACAAATTTCTAAAACTCTCTCAAGAAGAAATCGGTAACCTCATTAGCCCAGTGTCTGTTTTATTAATAAAATTTAAAAATCAATATTCAGTCTGATTATTGGAGAACTTTTATGCATGGTTCGAAATGGTACTGAACTTGCTTTTTTCTTTTAATTGAGACATGATTGACCCATGACAGTGTGAGTTTGTGGTTGACAGCGTGTTGGTTTGATGCGTGGATGTACCACAGTGTGAGGCCACAGTAGTCTTAGCTGACACCTGTGTTGAGTCACAGGGTTGCTGTTTCTTTTCTGTGTTAACAGGTAAGATCCGGTCTCTTAGCAACTTTGAAGTTCATAATCCAGTATTATTGGTTATAGTCGCTATGTTGTGCATTGGATCTTCAGAACTTTTTTGTTACTTGCAAGTGAACCTACTTCTAACTGTGGGTTTTATAAAGTCTAAACACAGAGAACATACCACTGACGAAAATTTTGTGTTTGAATTGAGATGTACTGTAAAAAAGATTATGTCTATCAATAATTTCTTCATATTGATTACATATTGAAATCGTCATATTTTGGATATGTTGGATTAAATGAAATATATTTATTATTTTTAAGAATTTGTTTATTTGTTAGAGAGTGAGCACAAGCAGGGGGAGCAGCAGGCAGAGGGAGAAGCAGGCTTCTGCTGAGCAGGGAGCCCGCACAGGTCTTGATCCCAGGACCCCGGGATCGTGACCTGAGCAGAAGGTGATGCTCAGCTGATGGAGCCCCCTAGGCGCCCCTAAATGAAATATGTTACTAAAACTAATTTTACCTCTTTCTTTTTATTTTTGATGTACCCATTAGAAAGCACAAAGTCAGACCTGTAACTCATGCCGTGCTTCTGTAGCTAAGCACTTCTTTGGGCAGCATTTGAATGCTGTGCCTACCTCTGGGAGGCCTTTCCTGCTTGTGGATCACAGCTGTGGTCTGCCTGGGTGAGGTCTGACATGCTGCTGGGTGGCGTGTTTTGTGTCTTGCTTGTATTTGTCGATCATTGCTAAGGTGGTCCTTTGGATTCTCTTAGGCTTGTGTTTCTTCTGACTGTTGGTAGGAATTAGGACATGGTGGGAAGGGGGCATTGACCCCCATTTCAGAGTATTCCAGGCTGAGATGGTAAAACAGCAGTTGGATTTTGAGGATTCAGAAATAACAGCATCATACAGACGCCGTATTACTGGCTTTCAGTTCTCCGCAGTGCTGTGAAATCAGTTCCTCGAATGTGGCCCCTCAGCCTGTCTCTGTCTTGGCTGTGTTCAGCCACGTGGATCGTGACAGTCCAGACCAGCTTTCTCAGTCAGATATTTCAAAATCACTTGCAAGCATTACGTAGTCTCTAGTCTTCGCAGGACTGAGCTAGAGGAGCAAAACCACAGCCTGGCCGTGGTCGCGTGTAGTGTACGGTGCAATATGTCTGTGCTTCGGAACACATCGAAAGCACAATTTAAAAGGCATGAAACAGTTATATTGGTTTACTGTGGTGAGGATTCCAAGCATATTGTAAGAGTAAAAGTAACCTGTTGGCAGAGAGCAGGGGGCTATCTGGGAGTGAAGCAGTGTCTTTTTTGCCTTTTTTTTTTTTAATTGAGTTTTATTACGTATAAAATAGTTCTTTTTAAGGTTTTTTAACAAAACCCTTAAAAAATGAAATTTGTATTGCAAATACAGTTTCTTTTTTTAAATAAACTTTTACATTTTAGGATGGCTTTAGATTTATGGAACAATTGTGAAGAGAGTATAGAGAGTTCCCCTATACCCCACATTCAGTTACCCCAGTTATTAGCATCTTACATTACTATGGCATATTTTTCGCAATTAATAAATCAGTATTAATACACTTATCGACCTTCATTTTTTCATAATGTTGCTTTTCTGTTCTAGAATCCCATATAGGATACCGGATGCCTCATTGCATTTCGGTGTCATGTCTTCGTAGGTTCTGGGCTGTGACAGTCTCTCTCTCTCCTTTTTTTTACTTAGAAATTCTCCAGAATTTCAGAAACTTCTGGGCATCGCTATGGAACTTTTCCTGCTGTGCAGCGATGATGCAGAGTCGGATGTCCGGATGGTGGCTGATGAGTGCCTCAACAGAGTCATCAAAGTAAGCCCGTGAGCTGCTCTCTCTGGGCTGGACTTGTGGCTGGGGGAGTAGCTGTTAACGTACCTTCCTTCTGTCTCGAGTGCCACGGTCCCTCTGGATGTTTGCGCTTGTTTCACCTGGTGTGTGCTTTGGTGGAGCTCGTATCTGCTTGTGTGCTTGCTACCCCTGCTCTGTCTGTGTCGTGCATAGGTCACAGGGGCACTGCTGGTGACTGCTGGGTGTTCTTGAGGAAGATGTCACTAAGGCACCAACTTTTGTTTGGGCAGAGCCTAGAGCAGCCACGAGGCCCTGGGAAGGCAGGGGACGGGTTCATGGACTCCCATTTGTAGTTGCTGTATGGTGTGTCTGGACTCTCTTCCTTTGTCTGCTTTCCCGGCCCCTGCAGAGACCTCCTCAGGAGACAAGGCTCCCATAAGACGCTCGCTGGGGCTGGTGTGACGGGGCTGGGGGGAAGGAGTTCCCAGAGCAGGATGGCAGAGCCAGAAAGCCAAAGCGCTTGGGCCACAGGCAAGTTAGGGAGTGGAGAGGGAACAACGTCTTCTTCCCCTGCTGCTTCCTGAGGCTGACTTTGGGGCCAGGACCACCAGAGCTTTAAGCTCCTGTTTTCTGCTGCCCTTGAAGATAAAATCCTTCTTCCACAGTTCTTAATGTATTGGAAAACTATCCTTGTTTTTCTCATTCTGCCCTTCTCCTACTTTGTGTCCCCAAGTCATCCTGGTCACCTTCTAGGCCACCTTTGTCAGTGATGAGGCTTTCGGGTTGTGTGTGCAGACTCATAGCGCCCCTGCTGTCGGGGCGCCGGCGTTGGGGTTAGCACTGTACGTCTCTCCAGAATTGTTTTTTCCTTGTTTCTTTCTCTGCAGGGATTCTTGTTTATTGGACTTTTCTAGTTTTCTTATGTTTCCCCTGCGGCTTACAGTTCCACCCCTGAAATTTTAGATAAGTCTTGGAGAAGAGCCTGCATCTCTTCATTTTCCTTGCAGGCTTTTTTCTTAGTAATCCTCGTATTGCCAGATAAACCAAGGACTACAAGTTAACGTAGATTAGTGACTATTTCCCTTCTCGTTAGGATCTCAAGAAACAAAACCGTTCTTCTGAGTTCTTCTCAGGCCTTTCTCTGGAGAGTGGTTACGTTTTACATTGGCCAAGCGGTTACCCTTCCTTTCTCCTTCACGGGCCCTGCCTTCCTCAGCAAGAGTATCACTCCCCCTTCCTGCTCAAGGAGATTGAGGTCCTCTGCCAGGCAGATAGGGCATACACGAATTTTGGAGTCAAGGAGACCTTTGTTTGAATCTTGCCTCTGTCCCCTACTCACTGAACAACTTTGGGAAATGTATTAATTCTGTGAGCCTCAGTTTCCTTCCCTGCAAAGGGAATCAGAGTGTGGTGGTGTATGTGAGCGTGTGTAAGGATCAAAGGTGGTGTGTTTAGCACCATCCTGGCCACTCACTGGTCCTCCAAGTGGTGAGAAGGACTCTTATTAATAATGAGTCTTTTTTTTTTAAATGAAATTAAAAAAAAATGTACATTTTGTATTTATAAATAGATTTACTTACTTATTTCTTAGAGAACATCATGAGCAGGGGTAGAGGGAGAGGGAGAAGCAGACTTTGCACTGAGCGTGGAGCCCAATGGAGGGCTCGATCCCAGGACATTGAGATCATGACCTGAGCTGAAGGCCGATGCTTAACTGATTGAGTCAACCAGGCGCCCCAGTAATGAGATTCTTACATTCTCACCCAAAGAGATTGCAGGGTGTGGAAGAACATTAGCTGCACTCCCTCTTCTGTTACACAGACTCCTCGGTCTCCTGTCATCCAGGGGTCCTTCCCCCCACCAGCATCTTACTTGGCTAGCCACACTTTCTGGGCTCTTCTCACCGCAGCCTCTCTGCCCAGGGAGCTGGGCAGGGAGCTCCAAGGCAGGAGCAGCCTTAGGGAGGCCCTCCTCCATCTGTAGGTAGCTGCCTGCTCTTCTGCTTTTGCTGGCACTCCACCTTCACCAGCAATTTACGGCCCATGGCCCTGTCCTTCCTCTCCATGCTGGTGACCAGTTAGTGATACTCACATGCGTGTGGGGTCCATGTGCGTGGGGTCCCACAGCATATTTACAGATGGTCTTTTTCTTCTCTCTAGGCCTAAATGTCCTTGCTTACTTTATTTATTCCTACTGGCAGGACCAGACTGGGTTTTTTCTGGTGTTTTAGTTCTTGAACTTGTTGCTTAGACTCAGAATACCTAAAGAGGGCACCATGCCTTGCTTCATGGCAAGAGAGGGATTCAGGAGGGCAGAGGGAATAGTATGACCCCAGACTGCTCTGATGTTGGCCATTGGACATGTAGGCTTTGTTCTGTTTTCCAAGCCTTTCTTCTTTAGTGACGCATTTCTAAGAACTGCTGGACTGAATAGCTTGGTGTATGTATGGTGGTTGTCAGCTGTGACCCTGGGTCATAACTTAAGGCCAGAGTTGTCATTCTGGCCATCTCCTGTCCTATTTCCCCTATGTCAGGCCTCCCGGTGCAGAGATTCCTTCGCTCAGATGTCAGGGAGGGGCAGGAACACAGACGTAACCTGGGAGTCAGGTCCTTGACTTTTGTCTTCTGTTGTGTGTTGTTACATGCTTCTGATGAGACCAGACTCAATGGCCCAAGCCAAGAGCACATGTTGCTTTTCATTTATATAGGAAAATGCAGTGGAAATCTGATTCAGCCTGGTAATGTGCTCCTGCTCAGGTGGGGAAGCACATTCAAACAGAAGTCACTCAGTACATGGCACTGAACTCTAAGTTCTGAGAGATGTTGGCAAGTCATCATGGCACTCTGGAGACTGAGATGTCTTCTGTCTGGGAGCCAGAGAAGGTTTCTTGGAGGTGGTGGCTAGTAGGTGAGTGAGGAGATTAGAGATCCCCTTAACTCCTGCAGCCCCCTATCTCTCGGGGGCTCCAGGAGGCCTCTGCAGGCTCACAGAGGAGAGTGGCTCTGGTGTGTGCCCTAGGAGAATGGGAGGCATTGAGTGTCAGTTCAGGGGGACTTGGCCTTTATTTGGTAAATAGGAGCTCTCAGAGATTTTTTTAAAAAATATTTTATTTACTTATTTGAGAGAGAGAGAGAAAATGGGAAAGAGAGAGAGCATGAGTGGAAAGAGGTCAGTGGGAGAAGCAGACTCCCTGCCTAGCAGGGAGCCAGATGTGGGACTTGATCCCGGGACTTTGGGATCATGACCTGAGCTGAAGGCAGTCACTTAGCCAACTGAGCCACCCAGGTGCCCACTCTCAAAGATTTTATATGTGGTCAGTGGAGTGCTTTATTTAGGAAGAGTAACCTGGTGACAGAGTGTGGCCTGCCTTAGAGTAGAGGAAGACCTGCGTACTGAGAATCCATGTGGGAGGCGGAGTAGTCCTGTCCTGGGAGAGTAAGGTCTGAGTGAGGATGGTGGCTGTGGGAGGGGGAGCAAGGAGGCGGAGGTGGGCTGTCAGGGGCTCCACCTGGCAGCTGAGTGGGTGTGTCTGCTTTGGTGAGGAAGGGATTTGGGAGCTGTGGGGGTATCAGATTGCTATCATGCAGTGACTGGGAACCCTGATTCTGTGCTCTTATTAGAGGTTTGAGGTTTAGTTTTCTCTTGTTATAAAGTTTGAGATTGGTTTCTAAAACAAATTGAAATAAAACTTGGATGTGGCTTCTGGTTTTATTTGCAAAGTAGCATCTTTAATATATGTTTGTTTCGATGTGCTTGCTTAAGGATTTAGTACAAACTGAAATTGAAGAGTTAGGATTTACACATTTCTCAGACACAATTATACTTCAGAAGCTCCCAAAGGTGCCTCTGCTTTTGGTTTTCAAATTCACTGAATCGGTAGATGAACCCATATGAGTTTTACTACAAGCAGCTCAGGTTGTAGATAGGATGTGCTCTCTATCACATGAAACAAGCTTGGTCTGCAGCTCGGTTCTATCTTTCCTCTCTTCTTGGTGGACAGGCCATCATTGGCAGTACCATTTCGGAGGAGAGGGTTCCTGCGGGCGAGAGTGGGGGCCAAGAATCTCTCCTCTCCCTTCCTTCCATCTTGAGAAACCCTCTCAAACACGGGGTCTGCCACTAGTGGTGGGCCATTCTTGCTGGGTTGAAGTTCGCCTGGTGGCCATCAGTTTTGGTTGGGCCCAGAGGTGAGCAGGGATGGGGGCACATTCTGAGGTTCCTTACTGGTTGCAAGCTCTGAACCACAGGGCTGGGAGCACCTGCGCATCGAGGGAGGACCTTCAGAAAGGACGGCGTCCCTGCCCGCCAGAGCGAGAGGCTCTGGTCTTCCATGTGTGCTCATTGCCCTGCTGGCGCCACAGACTCCAGGCCATTGTTGATGTTGGGTTGTCCAGCAGTGTGCACTTCAGTGAAGAAGGCAAACCTTTGAGATGTTTTCTCCTCTCCTTGAATGTTAAGATTTAATATAAGAGCATTAGAATGAATTTGGGCCATCCACCATTGGAGTTCAGTATTATGTCGTATTTCATTGTACATCAAGTTAAATTCTTTCCCCTCTGTTTTTGTGTTCGAGTCGGTGACCTATGTCTGGTTTCTTCAGTGGTTGCCTGTATGTATGTGCTTCTTTCTCAACAAGCAGTTTCTCAGCTTAGTTTGCTAAATTTAGTTGCTAAAATTCCACTTTGCCTCCAGGTTGAAATTTTAGTTGCCTTTTCTTTTTCTGCTGGGCTGGCGGAGTGAGTCTTCTCAGTCCTGGTGCTCTGTTGCAGGCCCTGATGGACTCCAGTCTGCCGAGGCTGCAGTTAGAGCTGTATAAGGAAATCAAAAAGGTAGGCTTTGATGTTCTCTTACTGAGCCAATGGTGCTGCTTCCCTGGATTGAGCAGCATGTGTGAAATCTTGTCTTATTTACTAAGTGGGAATGTTAGACGGAAATGCTTCTGGTAAAGTACACTTCACCACTTTCTTTTCCTTCACAAGGTTCCTCTTCACTATTTATGAGATGGGATGGGAATTAAGTTTTCCGTCTTTGTAATTGACGCCCCGAGACTGTGACACTTCCTTGGCAGTTACAGTTTACGTGGCTTTGTGTCTAAACATAGAAATAAGCAATCATGTAAATGCTCTTGTTGCTATGAAGTCCTTTCGGAGTAGCGTCCGTGACTCTTAAGCGTGACTCACCACTCTCATCCCGCTCAGAACGGTGCTCCCCGGAGCCTTCGTGCCGCCCTGTGGAGGTTTGCTGAGCTGGCGCACCTGGTCCGGCCTCAGAAGTGCAGGTAAGTTGTGCGCTCTGGAATATTCTTACTGTCTGCTGGGTGGGGGGGGCAACGCCTGCGGCTTCCTTCCCTCTTGGCTTCGGTGTCACTGGCTCAGAGGACTTCCCCAAGGTCTAATGTCGTCCGCCTCTGCCCTCCAAGTGGCAACCCATGTTTCTTGGCTTGTCTTCCTTTCATAGCACTTCTCACTCTCAGAAATACTCGGGGACACTATCAGTGTGCTTGTTTATTTTCTGTTGGACCCCCTCCCAAGAGACAGAGGTGTGCGCCCCAGGACAGCAGGGGTCTCCCCTGTCTGTCCTCTGGTGCAGCCCAGCCCTGAGAGCTGTTTCGGCACGTGCTGTTTGCTGACAAGATGTTGTCACATGGTTGATGGTTTAGAACCAGTCTCCTCATTGCTTATAGAATGATAGGCCTGTGTCTCTCACATGAGTTAAAACTATGACTGTTAAACTGTGAATAAAATATGACTGGTGGGAACAATATGTCCTCAATGGACTGAGAATCAGAAGACCCCAGTTTTCATCTGTGCCTTCCTTCTCCTTAAGCGGTAAAACTCACGTCCATAGACCCTTGGCTGTGTCCCCAAGGAACCGGTGGAGGGGCCGAAACTCACTGTTAAGAAGAATCAGCGATTTATCCCACTGAGTTTGAGTTTAGTAAGAATCTTAAGTGGCTGCTGTGAGATGCATCACCAAGGAAATTTCTTTTTATAGAACCTTTTTCTTTTATTCTCCTTATTTTGAAAATTTCGTTATACTTCCGAAGCAGGACATACCAAGTTCTCCACAGAGCAGCCAGAGTGACCTTAAAAAATGTGATTGGCTCATGTCATTCCCTTACTTAAACTTTTTACTCATTTCCCAGAGGTGTCAGATAAATTCCAGACTCCTTACCCAGGCAGGTCTTGCCTCCAGTGGCCACCATCATCTCAGACACTCTCAGTTGACTCTTTGGCCTGATTTTGCTTCTTCAAAAAGTCAGGCAAGTTTCTCTTGTTCATCATGCCTGGTTTATTTTTTTTCTGGCAAAATGGTCATCTCCTTAAGCCAGCCTAGCTTTCCTGCTATAGTCCCAGGTGGAGACCTGCTTGTCTCTGCCGCGCAAAGGCTCCTATCACGTTAGTCCCGTGTTTGTTGAGGGGACTCATGTGGTTTCAGCCTTCTGCCCGGTGACTCGTTCTCCCGCATTGTGCACTGTCTGCACCTCCTCTCTGGAGGGCCAGGTCTTACCTCTAAGGCCTTATTTAGTCTGAACACTTAGAAGTATTTCCTTGCTCCCTGTTCAAGAAAACTTTTTCATTTCTTTTTTTTTTAATTGGTATTTTCTTGTTTTAAATTATAAATTTAATAATAAATAATAATAAAATATAAATAAATAATAAATAAATAATAAAATAATAAAAATAATAAATTATTTTCTAATTTAAAATATGAGTATTTTATTGTTACAATTTACTACAGACAATTTTTAAAACAAGCTTTTGAGAGTCCTCTGTGATCACAGGAGAAGTGAAGGATGAATGTCTCCCAGCAGTTGAACTTAGTCTGCGTTTAGCCCTCCTGTTCTTTTTGCCGAGGTTTGTCTGCTTTCTGTTAAGGACTGTTTTGCATATAAAAACTGGCTGTTCCCTACAGGTACTAAATAATTGCTTATATTTCTCACCAAAGTAGACCTGGAAGAATAACTCCTGTTCCTTTCACTTATGCAGGCCTTACTTGGTAAACCTTTTGCCTTGCCTGACTCGAATAAGCAAGAGACCTGAGGAATCTGTTCAGGAGACCTTGGCTGCAGCTGTACCCAAAATTATGGCTTCTTTTGGCAATTTTGCAAATGACAATGAAATTAAGGTATGATTATTACCTCAAGTCACAAACATGAATGAGTCTGGTATGCACTTAGGGCTTTTGGACAGGCAGTCATTTGAGAGTGCTTCTTGAGTTATGCTGTGCTTCATGATTTAGACGAAAATCTTTTCAATTATTTTGAAGCACACTAAAAGCTTTCTACTTCTGCTTTCTTATCATTTGGTGAGGAGTCGAATAGGGAGAGGGTATACAGATGCAAATTCAAGAGGCAATTTTCCAGAACAGATTGATTTTTGGGTGTATTAGACTGACTCTTTAATCTAGCTTGGGAGAGGTGCAGGCAGGAGAAGCCCACTGATGATGGCCTTGTAGCCGGTGGGGACCACTTGCCTTTTTGTTTGTTCTGTGCCTCAACAAGCAAAACAAGCAACCTCCCTACCCACATTCGTATTTTGTTTTTAATGTCCAGAAATTGTGACCCTGCCACTTAGTCTGGAGATTATAGATTCTTGACTTCCTCCTTTGTGTGGGTCAGTCCTTTGTTAGTGTTTACCTGCACATTTCTAGATAGCATGCTATCTCTGTACTGCTATTTAAAAAAAATTTTTTTTATACTATGAATTTTAGCCCTAACCCGGTTCTTATCTTCTTAATGTAGTTCTATCTGTATTCAGTATGACATTATCATGCCCCAGTAATAGTCACAACAAGTTATGTTCTGTTCTTGGATTCTATTTCTCGAACTATTTAGTTTTTTGGGAGTAAACAGTTGCCTCTTTTTTATTTTCCTTGTTATTCTTTGGTCATTTATGTCTTCTCATACCTTCCAACAGCTTTGTAAAATGTGTCTCAGTGCAATTCTCCACATGACAGATAATGTATTGGGTCCTTTTTCTCCACTGGAGTCTTCTGTCTTAGAATTCTCCAGCTGTTTGCCCCAGTCTGATTCAGATGCTCTCTAGGTCTGAGGACTTTTCTTTGCTGTCCTCCTAGGAATTGTTTTTGGTGCTCTCCTGTTTGATGCCTGATTTCTAGATGCTATGTCTTTACCTTTCTAGGCATACTCCCTTGTTGTAATGGAATTTGTGTTACGTTTTATTTCTATTTTCCTTTTCTTTTTTTCTGTACTTTCTAGATGTCTATCTTAAACCCTTCTGTTGAGGTTTTTGTTTTTTTTTTTAAGATTTTATTTTATTATTTATTTAAGAGAGAGGCAGTGAGAGAGAGCATGAGCGAGGAGAAGGTTAGAGGGAGAAGCAGACTCCCCATGATGCTGGGAGTCCGATGCGGGACTCGATCCCGGGACTCCAGGATCATAACCCGAGCCGAAGGCAGTGGTCCAACCAACTGAGCCACCCAGGTGTCCCTTCTGTTGAGTTTTTGTTCCTGCTGTTATATTTTTAATTTCTGAGAGGTGCTTCTTGTGTTCAGAATGTTTGTTTTCTGGCATCCTCCTCTTGCTTCGTGAATACACTCCTTATTTTCTAAGGATATCGATCACAGTTTTCTTAAGAACTTTCTTTGACTTCTGAATTGTCTCCTTCTTCTGTCTTCCTCTGTTCTCTCTGTTCTGGTCTTTCACTTTTATGTTGAAAGTTGTCCCTTTAGATTTGAGTGAGACTTTAAAAAGCTTATTGGAAGCGTGTGTGTGGCAAGGTCTGTCCCATGGTGGGCTTCCTGAGGTGATAGATGGTGAGCCTGCTTTTCCATCGTGTCTCTTTAAGTGTCAGCCTCAGTTAGCCTTTTCCTTTTGAGGTGGTCAGTATCTCTAGAGAAAGGTTGCTCATTCTCCTGCTTGGAGGGGTAAACCTGGCTTCGTTTGTCCTAGAATCTGGGATAGGCAGGGCCAGCGGTCTCCCTGGTCAGAATGCACATTTTTTCTTCATTTTTCTGTTTTCTATCTGTGTCCCATGTCTGACCTTGGTTATGCCGACATCTCTGGAGATTATCCCCCAGTGTTTTTGGGAGGTGGGAAGTGAAGACCACTTTCTGGGCCACCCCGGAGGAGAGGAGACCCAGGGCTGCATGGCCGGCGGTGCGCACCGGGGCAGACAGGCTGCTTTCCAATGTCTCTGGGGCCTCCAGAGCCTGAGCTGTTCTTGCAGTTCTGTGGCTTGAGTGAGCTGGCCTTTTGTTAGCGGCCTTCAGACTCCCTGCCCTAGCTTACCGGAAAGTGTACTTGTGAACGTCTTCCCCATGGGCCGCAAGGTGGGCACTCAGCACTTGTCTCCTTTCCAGCTTGCAGAATTTGTGGATGCCTCGTGTCTGCTCTTGTCCTTGTCCTCTTTTTGTCCTTGTAAGTCGATGTTTCTAAGAGCTATGCATGATTTTCAGGGAGTGTCTGGGCGGCAGAGTTTTGTTCACACGCCCAGCACAACCCTTTTGTTCCAAAGTCTCCTCCCCTCTGGTGTGTTTTCATTCTCAGGAGGGCCTGTCAGGGACTGAGATGCCTCCTGAGGCTTGTTTCACTCACGTGTGGCGCACACGCAGGCAGCACGGGAATTGCCGCTGTGGCCCTTGGCAAACCATCCCAAAGTGGAATAGCATGTTTCCAGCCCCAGGCGCCCTTCATGCCGGCCCCCGTTGCTGCACTCCCCTCCTCCCCGGTGGGGCCTGCAGACTGGGCTTCTGAAGCCACGGGGGCTGTTTTTAAATTCAACATATGCAGAGCCGTGCAGTGTGCATTCTTTTTGTCTGGTTTTGTTTGTTTGTTGCCACACATTAAGTTGGCGAGCGTCTTCCCTGTCACCAGTGGGTAATTCATGCAGTGTTCATACCTGTGGGGTGCGCTGCTGTGTGAACACGCCACAGTTTACCACGTACTGTAGCTGAGCGACTGGCTGTTACTACCTCATGGCCATTTTGAGCGCTGCTGCCGTGCCTGCCCTTGTGCATGTCATCTGGAGCACGGGTACAGCCTGTGGTGGCGGATTCTGGAACAGGGGGCTGCTGGGTTGTAGGAACGTGTGTCACCTGCTGTAGACGCTGCCAGAAAGCTCTGTCATGTGCCTGCCCCTGCTTGTGCCAGTGTCCTTGGCGTGTGGGAACCCCGTGGCTCTGCCTCCTCCAGGACCTCGCTGCTGTGGGGCCCTTCAGGTTAGCCATTCTGATGGCTGTGCCCTGGTGTTGTATTTCGATTTTAATTTCCGTTTCCATCCCCTGCAGTACTCTTGACTCTAAAGCTGAGTGATTTTTCATCTTTCCCTTTGGGAAGTACTCTTAGAAATTTGTCCTTTGCATTTATTGGAAAGTGGAGCTGTCCGCCCTACAGTCTAGTGTGCTTTCTTCCCATTCTGAGAAGGGCCCACGTGTGGTCCGGGGGCCTGCCAGCTGCCTTCTCTACGATGTTCTCAGCATGATGGGATTTGGACCTGTGATGATGCCCCTTCAAACTCTGAGATTCGATTTTATTATTCCAAACTGTTGAACTTTACTGTGGGCTCACTCTTTAAAATAATGCTCAGTTTTCACTGTACTTGTAAGTGTGGACTGATGTGGAATGCTTTGTATTAGTTCATTGATGTATGTGTGTGTGTTTTCACTCAGATGAGTTACTTGAAGCTACTGGTATCTTTTCTCAGAGTTAAGGTTTGTCTGAGATAAGTTGACTGGGTTCTTCTGGTGGTATTTGCAGGAGGCACTGGAAGCCACAAAGCACGGGGACCATCCAGGGGATGAGGGTCTGGTCCTCTGCCTCTCTGGTTCCAGAGATCTAGTCTGTAACTTGACGAGGAATGACAAGCCTCTGAGAACCAGCTGACGCTAACCCCGCTGTTAAGAAGGAGTTTCTTTATAAGTCAGGTGCCAATCTGTTAATGTGCTACTCGTTTGCCTAGGGTCATGCCTCATTCGTGTGATCCTAATGGTGTCCCCAGCCCAGATAGCTTTGCTCAGTGCATGCCCATAGTAATGGGGACCAAATCATTGCTCAGAGTGGGGTTGAGAGTGCTAGAAGTGGGTGTTCTTAAGGCAGCTAGTTTCCAAACTCAGGAAGCTTAATGGTCACGCCTTTTCTTTTCTTCCTTTTTTATTTTTCTTTAAGATTTATTTATGAGAGAGAGAGTGCGCACACATGATGCTTAGGGGAGTTGGCCAGAGCAGAAGGAGAGAGCGAAGCAGATTCCCCTCTGAGCAGGGAGTCCAGCGTAGGGGCTTGTTCCTCTGACCAGAAGATCACGACCTGAGCTGAAACCAAGAGTGGGGCACTCAACCCACTGAGCCACCCAGGCGCCCCACACCTTTCCATTCTTTGGAAATTCTTAACACTTAGATGGCCATCGTTGGAATTGTAGCATGGTCTCCTTTGGGTTATCCTGGAGGTTCCGTGACAAGGTCTTCTTCTCTCCTTAGGAACATACTCGTGGGCGCTGTGCTACTGTGGTTTAGCTCGCCAACACGCTTTCCAGACCACAGAGCATCTCTTAGTGGCATTAACTGCACGTCCGCAAGCCGTCTCTCAGGCTGGGACGTGGCTGTAGCTGACTACTACGCTCTTCTCCTTGACTTCATTATTTGGGTGGTTTTGTTTTTGTTTTGTTTTGTTTTTACTGTCTTTATTTTGCGTGGTGTCGTTGACTGACCCTGTACCCAAATGCTGTGGGTCCCCCTTTTCTAGAAGCTTAGGCTTTTACTCTTGGGTAAAGGACATAGATACTGAGCGAGTCCGTACTTAAAGTAAGGAAGTAGGTAGACCACTTCTGCAAATTGCTCTGGTATATCCCGAATTTGGGGTGCTTTTATTTAGCTGTAGCAAAGTCCAGGGGTTCATAACCTTCACTCCGTAAGAATTTGGACTAATTTTGTGAAATAACGTGATAAGCTTCATAGGAGTTTTGTCTTTTTTATCTACTTGGGTTTTTGCTGCCCTAGGTTCTACTAAAGGCTTTTATAGCGAATCTGAAGTCAAGCTCCCCAACCATTCGGCGGACGGCGGCTGGCTCAGCAGTGAGCATCTGCCAGCACTCGAGGAGGACCCAGTACTTTTACAGCTGGCTATTGAATGTGCTCTTGGGTAAGAGCTAGTTGTAGGAGTTATTTTCCCCATGGTGTGCTGGAGTTGCTAGCATTTACTTGAGACACATCTTTTAAATTCTTTTAAAATCGGGCAATCCCTTAGCTACCAGCCTGGGCCCTTTGGCTCTGGCCAACTAGTGAGTGGGAACGATGTTGAGGCAGCCATGTGCCCATGGTGGGTGTTGTGACGATGAGGACAAGGAGCCTTCTCTCTGCAGAAGTGCAGGCAGCCCCATGCCCAAGGACAGCTGGCGGGGCAGTGGGTGTGAGGCCGTGGGCGCCCCACCCGCCTTCCTCAGTGGCATACTCCATGGCTGTTTTTGTGGGCTCTGAGTGAGTCCCTGTGGCTAGACGCGGAGCCTGGGGTCCTGGCAGTTTCTGTGCTGACGGCTTCTCCCGTACTTGGAGTCATTCATGGTGATCGGCTCTAGCAAGGGCGGAGGGGAGCATGTGGATATTTGATAGGAAAAGAACTGTCTGACTTACAAATGCAGCCGAACTCATGCTGACAGGCCTTGCTCAGTTCAGGATGTCACAGTTACCCTTTAAAGCCTTTCCTGGATTTTGGCCCAAGGATGAGGTTCCTGTACCCTTTCCCACAGCAGTGTCTGTGCTGTCTTTATCCCTCACTACCAACTTCGTAACACGGTTCTGCTGTGGGTCTCTTGTTTTAAACAGATTAAGCCCTGAACCCCCAGCAGATGGTGATGTTGAGAGATCTCATTGGTCCCTTACAGGCTTGCTGGTCCCCGTTGAGAGTGAACACTCCACCCTCCTGATTCTTGGGGTGCTGCTCACACTCAGGTACCTGGTGCCCTTGCTGCAGCCTCAGGTCAAGGACACGAGCCTGAAAGGCAGCTTTGGGGTGACGCGGAAGGAACTGGAAGTCTCACCCTCAACAGAGCAGCTCATCCAGGTAGGAGCCGTGTGCTTTACTCTGGTGCCTGTATGTAAATGAGGGATACTGGAAGAATCGAAACATTTGAAAGAGAAATGGCAGCACTGAGGGTTAAGAGCTTGGTCTTTGCAGCTGGGCCACCTGGTTCAGATCCTGGGTCACGACCCCTAGCTGTGTGACCTCTGGATGGCAGTGACATCAGAGTACAGTGAGGGTAATCTCTTGTGAGGTTACCGAGAATATTACACGCGCCCCTTAGGCTCCTGCCTGCCACAGAGAATGCTCTTACCCAGTTTGCAAAGCCAGGACTCATGAGATCAGTTCTGAGTATTTATTGGGCACCTACTCTGTGCTGGGCACACATTGGTGAACATTTTGGCCGTGGTCTCTGGCCCTGGAACCTGTGATCTGCTGCGCTTGTGTATATACCCAGGGAGTTAGGGACACAGTCCGTTGGAGTGTGGGGACAGTATGTTAAAGCTTCTCTTCCCAATACAGAGAAACCCCGTGTGCATTCTCATCCAATGGGGTCTGCATCTGACTGCAGTGATGGACTTCATTTCTTTGCAGCTTGCTCATCCAGGTTATTTTCTTAACCGTGAAATAGGACAGCTACATTTTAAGCCTTTGGATTTTTTGTGAACTTGGCTTCAGATGTTAGGGTTTTTAGCATATTTAAAGTACTGGGTGCTACTGAAGGCTTTACCCTTTCTGTGCATTCATGGTCTCATGGCACATACAGGAAGGAGTTGAGACCCACAATCTGGGGTCCTGAGTGGGATGCCTTGGCTTGGTTTTCCATATTGACGACATTGTAGTTCATAGGTATTTTGGTCAAATAGACTTAGGAGTTGTGTCCTTTGCCTAAATTTTGTAGGGTATAAGATTATAAGTGGCTTAAAATAATTCTTGCCTAGAAATCTTGAATTGAAGATGATTCAATGATTTAAGCATTCAGTCAGGCAGTATTTACAAAGTGCTTAGACTCCTTCCTGGTGCACGGTGAGGCCCTGGGAGTGCAGGTGGATGAAGGGTAACCGAGCGGGCGTGGGCTCTTAAGAATCCGTGGGGTTGACGGACCTGCTCCAGCTAGCTGCCCTTCAGCGTTCAGCTGTCCCACAGAATACAAGCAATGACATTCTCTTGAGATATGGTGCTTAGTGATACTGTCCTCACAACAAACATTACTGGTTGTTTTTGTGAGTAAAACAGGTATTCGAGTGGTAATAATGCATTTAAAAAAGAGATTATTTTATCCTCATCTTGTTTGTTTTACTTTTTATTATGGAGATTTCCAGACACAACAGTAGACAGAAAAGCATTGTAAACAGCCTTCAGTAATTATCACCTGTGTTAATAATTGTCAACTCAGGGCCAGTTATGGTTCACTTATAATCCCACATCCTTCTCTGTTTTTATATTTTTTTGAAGTAAATCCCAGTCGTCATATTAATTTATCTCTAAGTATTCTGGTATGTATCCCTATAGGTGAGAACTCATCTTTGTTTTTAAAACTTTTTTTTTTTAAAGATTTTATTTATTTATTTGACAGAGAGAGAGATCACAAGTAGGCAGAGAGGCAAGCAGAGAGAGAGGAGGAAGCAGGCTCCCTGCTGAGCAGAGAGCCCGATGTGGAGCTTGATCCCAGGACCCTGAGATCATGACCTGAGCCAAAGGCAGAGGCTTTAACCCACTGAACCACCCATGCGCCCCCCTCCTCCTTTTTTTAAAAAAAATTTTATTTATTCATAAGAGACAAAGAGGCAGAGGCATATAGAGAAGAAGGCCAGGACCCTGGGATCATGACCGGAGCCAAAGGCAGATGCTTCACCGACTGAGCCACTCAGGTGTCCCCCATTGTCACATCTGAAAAAGAAAAGGAGCATTTCCCGAACATCAAATACCCACTCACCTTCTGTCAGATATTTATGCTCCTCTTTTGGAATCAGTATGCAAATAAGATGAGAGTGCATTTGTTGGAGAAGCAGGTTATCCTGTGGAACTCCTGGCAGTTGGATGTATTGCTTGCCACCCCATCGTGTAAGCTAACTAATTTTTTTTTTAAGATTTTATTTATTTATTTGACAGAGAGAGACAGCAAGAGAGGGAACACAAGCAGGGTAAGCGGGAGAGGGAGAAGCAGGCTTCCCACAGAGGAAGGAACCCGATGTCGGGCTTGATCCCAGGACCCTGGGATCATGACCTGAGCAGAAGGCGGATGCCTAATGACTGAGCCACTCAGGCACCCCAATTAACATGTTTCTTTGTCTGTATTTCCTATAAATTGGTAACACGCTAGAGTCTTGTCGGAGTTAATGTACATTTTATTTTTTTTTTTTTATTTTTAAAGATTTATTTATTTATTTGGCAGAGAGAGAAACAGCAAGAGAGAGAACACAAGCAGGGGGAGTGAGAGAGGGAGAAGCAGGCTTTTTGCCAAGTAGAGAGCCCAACGCAGGGCTCGATTCCAGGACCCTGGGATCATGACCTGAGCCGAAGGGAGAAGCTTAATGACTGAGCCACCCAGGCGCACCTAGCGTACAGTTTATAATGTACATGATATCTGAGTTCTGAAGTAGTTATGTAATATTTTTTAAAAAGATTTTATTTATTTCAGCTAGAGACTGAGTGATAGAGCATGGAGGGTGTGAGGGGCAGAGAGAGGGAGAAGCAGACTTCCTGCTGAGCAGGGAGCCTGATGTGGGGCTCGATCCCAGGACCCCAGGATCATGACCCTAGCTGAAGGCAGATGCCTAACCGAGACACCCAGGGGCCCCCATAATATTTTAAAATAAATACATAAGTATTGGGATTACATACTCGGAATTTTCTTGCGATCTTTTTTAAAAAAAGCCTGGGAGAAGCAAGCAAACAATCACTAAGTGGTGTGGTAAGGGGGTGGGTTGGTGGGCTGTAGGGGCCCAGAGTGGGGAGCCCCTGTCTGGCCAAGGTCAGGGAGGCATACGGAAGAAGCATGGTGATGAGCCAGTGCTGATGGGTGAGTGGGATCGGACCCAATACAGGGAGTTGGGAGAGGTTTTGTAGACAGACTACAGCCTTTGCGCAGTTTGAGGAGTGAGCACGCATGCGCAGACGGGCACCGGTGCGGGTCCTGGGAAGGGCCCAGGGCTTCTCGTCGATGAGCAGGGGTGCTGGTGAACGTCAGAGTAGGATGCAGCAGCCCTTTTTGCTGTGGGCCAACTACTGAGCTGCAGCAGTTGAGCCGGAAGACAACACGAGGAGGTGGCTGTGCTCCCAGAGAGCTTGGCTCACATGGGGGTTGGGACAGGTTTGGCCCGGGGATGGTAACTGTGGACCTGCGGCTCTTGTGATAGCGGCTCCCCTTGGAAGGATGCAGCAGCGACGATGAAAAGGCGCTGCCTCTGAGACTTTGACTTATTTTTTTATACCCTTCTAGACTGTCTTTTTTTAAACATGTGTGTTACTTTTATGATAGTAAAGTTAGGGCTGCCCAACTTACCAAATAAACGTACAGGGTACCAGTTCAGTTTGAGTTGCAGAGAAATCAGGAATAATTTGGTGGTGCAGGTATGCCTGAAATTGCACAGGACATTGTTAGGATGCAAAATTATTTATCTGAAATTCAAATCCAACTGGGTGTTAGTATTTTATTGGACAATGCTAATGAAATGGAAAAAGAGGGGCACCCAGGTGGCTCAGTCTCATTCTGAAGAGCGTGCCACTCTTGATCTCAGAGTCATAAGTTCAAGCCCCACGCTGGGTGTAGAGAGTCTAAAAAAACTAAGATAAGGGGTGCCTCAGTGGCTCAGTCAGTTAAGCATCTGCCTTCAACTCAGGTTATGAACCTGGAGTCCTGGGATCAAGCCCTGTGTCAGGCTCCCTCCTCAGTGGGAAGTCTGCTTCTCCCTCTCCCTCTGTCCCTCCCGCCCATGCTCTCTCTTTCTCAAATAAGTAAATAAAATCTTAAAATAAAATAAAAATTTAAAATATACAAAGAAAAAGTACATTCAGCGTGTTCACATAAGGTAATACGATATTAAAAGCACTGGTAAACTTTGACGTGATGTCTCTAATATGTTGGGAAATGTTTGCCGTGGTCCTCAGTGCAGGGTTCCCTGCAGGCTGTGTAGACCAGCTGTCCTCACCGTGTACGTGAGCTCTGTTCTCCATTTCCGCGTCGGCAGTTAGGCAGACGGTCTTCGCTAGCATGCTACTGCCCTTGTGGGCTGCTGTCCTGATTTGTAAGGGCTTCCTCTCACAGTGGTTGTCATAGGACTTAGAAACTGCCATGGAAGCCGTGACCACAGCAGTAGACATGATGAAGACATTTCTAGGGGTGGAAACGGAGGCACACATTTTGCCAGCATCAGACTCAAAACACAAAGTTGTGAACTCTCGGACACATTTTAACAACCACGGTGATCCCTCTTGTACCTCTGTTTCCAGGTCTATGAGCTGACCTTGCACTACACTCAGCACCAAGACCACAACGCGGTGACAGGCGCGCTGGAGCTCCTGCAGCAGCTGTTGCGGACGCCCCCGCCTGAGCTCCTGCGGGCCTTGAGCACTCCAGGCGGCGGGCCACTCTCCACCATGTGCCACCAGCCTGGCTGCCGGAGCCGCAGCGGCAGCATAGTGGAGCTCCTGGGTATGTTCAGCCCTGAGGCCCTGTGCGGGGCCGCTTCCCTGGGGAGTTCAGGGCTGGCGCTTCGCCAGGCGGGGCCAGCCCTGCTCCTTGGAAACCCAGTCTGGAGACTGGAGGATGGCAGGGTGGCCAGGTCAGAAGACAGCATGAGGCCTGCCTCTGAAGCCGGCTTCTCTGCCCTGGCCTGGCTGCTTCTCCGAGGCACCTCAACCATCGTGGAACGGAAGCTTCAGGGGAAGTATTTATAGGAACCTTGTGCCGCTGGGCCAGAGGTGGGGACCTTCACGTCCCTGTGGGGATTTTCAAGTTCCCTTCTGCCCTCAAGGCCCCTTTTTTGCTGTTCTCACTGACTCTAGGACACTCCCTCCTGTACCCCGCCATTGCTCGTCTTTATGCTTTTGGGGGTCGGGCCCTCATCCCTCATGGGTGCTGTGCTGTGACCTGACCACTTGTTTTCCTCCTGCCCCTTGAGAGCTGGAGAAGTTGGGATCCCGGAAGCAGGGCCTTGAGAACTAGCTTTGGTACAGAGGAGGCTTCTGGGGCCTCGGTGGACTCTGGGCCTCCCCCGGGCTGGTTGAGTACTGCACACGTGCCATGTGGCCTTTCCTCAGCGGCACCGACAACCTGGAGGGTTTGACTGGAGGCCTCGTTGCCGCCTCCTCTGAACGTAAATGTTTGCCTGAGCCAGGAGCACACAGTGAGGGTGTGCCTGTCCACGTCCTGGGCCCTCCAGAGGCCTCTGCTCTGTGGAATGCGTGCCCTACAAATGCTAATGACTAATGATCGTTGCTAATGAAAATTTATATCTGATTGGTAGTTGACCAAGCAATCTGAGAGTTCTTATGTTTTTAATTTGACTTATTAAATGCACGTTCTTTGCGCTGCTTTGACATTTTAGGTCGCATTTTTGGAATTGTGTTACTGGGGTGCTGGTAGGATTTTCATGTGTCAGGATTAATGTGTTGAGGCTTCGCCGGTGGATATACGTTCACACACTCTGTAGTTTTAAAGCTGAATCACGGTTTTTGAAGATTTTCAAATGCCATCTGTATTTTAGCAGCTTGTTATCTTTCATCTGTCATTTTCTGTGATTTACAGCTGGAGGGGGTTCTTCATGCAGCCCTGTCCTTTCAAGGAAGCAAAAAGGTGATTATTTCAGAAATCAGAGTCTTGTGTTGAGTCCCATTGCTTTTTCTGTATTTCTGTAACGCCGTCGACTGTGCCTGTACCTCTTCTCCACGGAGTGATGTATGTATAAATGTAACTGGGCCGGAATGGTTCTGTAGGGCGGCTTTTGAAAATTGCTTGTGTATCAAAATGGCTTTGTCATAAATTTCTACTGTGGCTTCCGTGCTGTGAAACTGGAGTTACAGAAATAGGCCTGCTCTAGTTCACCTGCTTCTGTCTTAGAGACTGTGTTATGTTTTATAAAGGTAACTTGCCTTTCCTGTGAATTCTGTGTAGCATTAGTCAGGAATGATGTTTGGTTAATTATTTGGGTAGTTTGGGCTGATGGCAGTTTTTCAGCTGTGTTTAATTTTGTACATCCCAGAACATTCTGATAACAGTTTTTTTTTTTTTTTTTTTTCAAAGTGTTTCTGATCTCTAATCGGAGAGATTTGGTACACATGAACACTTGACCCCACCAGTTATTTTCTTTTCCAGTCTGGATTTCCAGAGGAAAGAATTGCTGCCATTTTCTCTTTTGAAATCTTAAAAGATGAATCTTTTTAAGAATTTATTGAGGTATAATCGATACAAACATATGAATATTTCTTTGTGTCACGAGTTGAAGGTTTGTGAGCCTAATGCCTAGTGTTACTTGCAATATTGAATGGGACTTTAACAGGACTAATATTCTAGCCCTGACTGGGTTAAGTAAACATTTCCTAGAACTAGAATCCATCGTGTTTGGGCCGTCATAGTGCAGTATACTTAATCAAGTGTGAGAAATTGGTGAAACACTAAGGTTGTTTGAAGGCCACTGGCTTCTAGGCAGTCAGTCTCTCTGTTCTGGAAGCAGGAGGGGACCGTGGCAGGCAGGTGACGAGGTGCCTTATTGCTTAGCCGCCTTCCTGGGTGGTCCACCGTTAAGATGAGCTTTTCCTTCTGGGTAGGAAGCTGGTATGTCCCCACTATCTTATTTGTGTTTTTAGTGTTTTTGTTTTGTTTTCCTTTCTCATTGTGAACTACAGTTTTTAAGCCTTCTTTGTTACAATTGCAAAGATCCTTTTGCTTCCCCACGTGAGATCTGCAAATCTCTGAGAGAAAACAGGAGAATTGACGTTGGATGTGGGATGAGGACAGGGGCTGTGTGGCAGGCGGTGGGGCCCTTCTGGCAACAGCTGGGACCTTGCACCCCTTGAGGAGGGCTCCTTGGGACAGGGGGGCAAACCCTGATTCTCAGGACAGAGACTGTTCTCATTAACCCCCTACGCGCAGCGTGGATTTTTCTTGCTTTCTCAGGGTCAGTCACTTGTTCTGTAAAGAACGACCCTGTTACTTAGATAAGCCAAATTGCTGTGTTCATTTTATATAGATTTTGGGTTTCCTCTGCTTTTTTTTCTTTGCCTTTTTTCCCCCTTTAATGTCACACCAGTATAGATTTCTGGAAGTTGTCTCAGCTATGACCTAGTCCTCAGAAACTAGTGAAGTTAGGCATTGGAAATTGCCAGTAATTATTTCTAGAGGGTCATTTAGTGACCCTTATGTGTAGTGTAACCATGATGATTTAACTAGTCCAATTAAATCATGTTAAGACTTTTTTTTTCCTTTTTTCTTATCAATATAACATAAATTGATATAATTTGGAAACCAAGAACTATAAAATATGTTTTTACAGCTTTGCAAAAGATGAACTATTATTCCATCCTCCCAGATCATATGGCGTCAGGGTCTGATTACACCATAGAGTCTGGCAGCTTAAAGGAGAAGAGAGTAGAAGTGATCTTTGGGGTGACATTCTGTGTATGAACTCTTTCTGTTTTTAAGTTTTTATTTTTACTCCCATTGGCTGCTGGCACGCAGTGTGCTATTTGTTTCAGGAGCTCAGTGGTTATGTGTACACTCTGATTGCCATTGGAGATACGATGTGAGTGTCCTAAGGGCTAACAGAATTGGTTCTAGCCATAGCTTACGGTCTTTGAGATCAAATAGTAATATAAATTATCCAACACTAATAGAGATCTAAGTCAGTAAATTCTTATTAATTATTAAAATACTTGGTGTTATAGTTAGAGAGTCATTGCTTTTAACTTTGTGCTGTATAGGGTTATTGATTTTAGTAATATCTAAATACAGTATCTTGGCATTCTCTGTGTTTAGCACATTAGAGGTACAAAAGTACTTTATATATACCATATGAGAGAGCGAATTAAATATGCTTATGATTTTCCGCTTAGAATGTGCATCTATTTGATTTTTGAAGTCCTTCCCGTAGCAAGCTTAAGGACTCTCGCTACATCATTTCCTAGGGAAAGTGCTCTTTGGAGAAGCAGCGGCCTTGGAGGATGACTCCGAGTCCAGATCAGAAGGCAGCAGCCCCGCCTTCACAGGTAGCTCTCAGGGAGGGACAGTGGTGTCACCCCTCCTGTCTTTCTCCTGGCCCCTTCCCTACCCCTCCCCTCTCCTGCCCCTCATGAAGGGCTGTGCTCCTGGGGATAGTGGTGAAGCCAGCTTGCCCAAATGGTGGCTAATTCATACTATTTTTAGGACATTTGCTTTGAAATGTATGTGTGTGTGTTTTCTTGGATCAAATGTTTGCTGTTTTCCTTAGGTTCTTTGAAAATTAGGTTTACTCCCTGAGCATAACTCTTATGTAGTAAGGGATGGTAGGTAAGTGTCTCATGAATTATATGGGTTGTAAGAGGAAAATGGGATTAAAAATTGTCTGTGGACCGCTTAACTTGAGAGAAATTTACATTTGTTTATAGATTCCTTTATTCCTTTATTCATGTTATGAAAGAAGTATTGATTAATATGCTAATAATTGGATTAAATGAGAGTGGTATAATCCTATCCAAAAGAATATTTTTAGACAACTGAAAATAAGACGAAAGTATTTGGGAAAGAAAATCTGAATAAATCCAGTGGCGATTATTTATTTACTCATTTTTATAAAACAAATCTTTTTTTTTTTTTTTAATTACAAAAGTAAAAGAAGAAAATCCAAATTCTAGCTCTCTGCCACATTATACAGCTTGAGGACTCACTGACCCAGTGGTCTTTAGGGAGCACTGCTAACACCTGGGTGTAGATCTTTCTGTATTGATTTTTACATAGTGTGTGGCTTTTTTAATGAGAATTTAAAAACAGAGCTAGGAAAACGTGCTGCACATTTGCGTTCCAGGAGGGGAGGACTGGCTGCTTCTAAGACGGCTTCAAGCAGTCTTGAACAGGGTCTGGGAAGAAGGCAAACCCATGTCAGAGAGATGGTGACTTTCCACTGTTTCTGAGTGCGACCTGCTGAGCGAGAGCACCCACATGCTTATGCCCAACCAGCCTGCCTGTGGGGCGTGGTCTGGCTGCGCTGCTCCAAGCTGAGGCTGAGCAGTTGCTCAGAGACTCAAAGTGGTATTGTTCTTGAGCTTACGTCAGTTTTTACAGTGAAATACCATTTGAGAATATTCATAGCATTTAGGAAACACCTACTGATAATCCTTATTTTATGACTGTGACATGGTAATAGAGTGAAGGGTAAGTCAAGAATACAGTAAAAAGCAATTTTAGTAATGTTTGAAGAATGCACTCACCTTGCTTTCGAAATTTACTAGTTCACATTTTCACTGTATTTCACGATTTTTTGCAGTTAAAACATTTGGTGACAGTGAATTTTGAGGTATTTTATAAGCATTTGATTCCCTGTTGAACGTTTCCCTGGCCCTTTGAGGAATGTGTGTTTCTTTGTCTTCAGCCTCAGTCAAAGGTGAGATTGGTGGCGAGCTGGCTGCGTCTTCTGGAGTCTCCACTCCTGGCTCTGCCAGTTCAGCTGCGGACTCTGTGGGCCATGACATCATCACCGAGCAGCCCCGGTCACAGCATACGCTACAGCCAGACTCGGTGGATCTGACCGGCTGTGACCTGGCGAGCGCAGCCACCGACGGGGACGAGGAGGATATCCTGAGCCACAGCTCCAGCCAGATCAGTGCCGTCCCGTCTGACCCAGCCATGGACCTGAATGATGGCACCCAGGCCTCCTCCCCGGTCAGTGACAGCTCCCAGACCACCACTGAGGGGCCTGATTCAGCTGTGACCCCTTCGGACAGTTCCGAAATTGTAAGTGGGTGAAGGGCTCTCGCCAGCAGGCTCAGACCTAGACCCTCCTGCTTATTTCCCTCTTCCTGTCTGACTCACTAAGGAAAGAGCAGAGATCACCAGCTCAGGTCATTAATGGGGAATTCAACCCCATCTAAGACCCTCCCTGAAGACAATGGTGTGTCATTTGTGTTGAACATGGAGGTCAGATTAGATTAGTTGATGATATGAATATTGCTAAAATTGAATGCATTTTAAATTCATTAAGAACTTGCTGAGTATAGATTAAATCATTACTTAAAATATCTGTAAGGACCCTATTGACAGATCTGTGGTCTTTTTTTTTGGAAAGATTTTCTTTTTTTTTTTTTTTTTTTTTCAAAGAGTTTATTTATTTATTTGAGAGAGAATGAGAGTGAGAGAGAGAGCATGAGAGGAAGAGGGTCAGAGGGAGAAGCAGACTCCCTGCGGAGCTAGGAGCCCAATATCGGACTGGATCCTGGAATTCCAGGATCATGACCTGAGCCGAAGGCACTTGCTTAAGCCACCCAGGTGCCCCAGATCTGTGGTCTTAATACATTGTAACTAAAAACATTAACACTGTGTATTTAACTTTTTTTTGGTTTGTTTTTTGGCTTTTCAAAACCTTCTACAACATATCCCCTCTTATAGAGCATGGAGTTAAGTATATTTCTGGTCTCTGAGCTAGCAGAGAAGAAGCACCTTAAGGATGGTCTGAACACCAAGTTTGGTAAAAGTGATACAGAATTTAACACTCCTTTTTAAAAAAAAAAAAACAATTTGTACTGTTAAGTGTTCTGTTACTATCGAATAGGTTTTATTAAGAACATTTTTGGTTTGGTTTGGTTTTTGGGTTTTTTTTACGTGGATGAATGCAGAAGCATCGAATGACAAAATCATGAGATAAATCACTGGCACGTCCCTATTGAGCAGTTGTCAAGTTGTCAGGTGGATTCAGTTTCTGATGGCCACGTGGATTTGCAGTTCCTCAGGTACAGCTGTGAGCTCACAGTTGGGGTTTTTAACTAGAAGACCCGGGGAAGCGTAGGACAGACAGTTGGAACAGTATGCAGGAAAAACGAGAAGGTTAGGGAAAGTGCTGGCCATTAAGTGTGTGGGGGAGATTCTGCTGTGTGTTTATTGCACCAGCTTCCATGGGGTATCTTGCCTCTTTATGATGGATGGTTTCTGGTGGATTTGTTAGAAGTAGGAATGAAAGGCCATGGGAAATTCTGAAAACTTCACACCTCTTGAAATTACCCCGTTGTTCACTGGGTAGCAGTGCTGGGAACGGGACCTCTGCAGGTCTCTCTGGCCTGTAGAAAATGAACATCTTCCCTTGATAATTCCCACATTGGTGCAGTTCTTTCCTGGTTTATGGGATGCTTCCTTGTCTGTTATGTAGTCATTAATTATTTGCTGAACAAGTATACTGAGCGCCTGTTAAGTTCCATGGAGTGTTCACAAGCTGGGGACAAAGTAGAGGGCACAACATATAAAACTCCTTGCTCACATGAAGCTAATGTTCTAGAGGAGTCAAGAGACCCCTTCCATGCCGGGCCGGACAGCAAAGAGCTTTCTAAGCCATATAGCCTCTATCACATGTTCCTCTCTGCTGCTGTCTGGTGAAAGCAGCCATTGACTATATGTAAATGAACTAGCATTCCCATAAAACTTTATTTACAAAAACAGGTGGTGGGCCAGGTTTGGTCATTAGGCAATGGCTTAACTACCCCTATTCTAGGCAGGGTGTGTGCATGCATGTGGGGGCAGATACTAAGCAAGTAATCAATCTATAAGTAAACAAATACATAGTTAGGTGGTGATGAGTGCCATAGAGGAAAAGAAACAAGTGAAGATATAGAGATTTCCTCATGAGACAGCCCAGCGCGGTGGCCAAGGGGCTGCTGCCAGGATGAGAATTTCGGCTCTGCTGTTTCCTAGCCGTGTAGCCTGGAACATGTATGAGCCTTCTTGCCTCAATTTTCTTATCTGCAAATGGAGGGTAACAGTACTTGCACTGTAAGACTTTTGATGATGCGTATAAAGTGGTTTTTGATTCTGCCTGGGCTGTAGTAAAATATTCAAGAAGTATTGTTTTTATTATGGTGAAATTTCTCATTTTAATACATTTTTTTTTAACTGAGGTAAGGTTTTTTGGGTAAACTAATTGGGACAGTGAAGGTAAATCATTTCTTTCTTGGTTGATTTTGAACGTGTGGTAACTCTAGGGACTTGAAATGACTTTAAAAATGATGCAGAATTTATTTCAGTTCTTGATAATGTATTGAGGTTTTGTCACTCAGTTTTTCAGGTAAATTACATGGGATTTCAAGTGAATGTGTAAAGTTTCACAGTATGGATCATAATTCAAGTTTACGGCCAAGTGTATGATACACTGTGTCCAAAACTTAGTTGATTTAGTCCTGGCAATTTAGAAGCTAACCTAGTGTAGCGTTAGGTATTTGCCTAAAAGAAGGTATTTGTCTAAAAGATTTTTCTCATTGTTGACTTATTGTAAAATTTGCTTGTGAAGATAAAGATTTTTGTTTAGGTTTTTTTTGTTAATATCACAAAGAGAAATTTTCAGGTTGGAATTTCTTTGGCATTTTTATAGTCATAAAGCTTTTTGTAATGTAGTAGCAATGTGTGATCAAGGAAGCTTGATCATGGACTCGCACAACCTCTCTGCGCATTTCAGGAAATTACCTTTGTGTTAGTACGAGAGATGTGGTCCGTGTGATTTTTGCCTTTGCCTTTGCCTTTCCATGTCAGGAGAGCCTGTCCCTTGGTGATGTCCCTTCAGAGCCCTCACCAGCCCCTCTCGTACTGTGCAGGTGTTAGACGGTGCTGACAGCCAGTATTCGGGGATGCAGATCGGACAGCCACCGGACGAGGATGAGGAAGCCACGGGTGTCCTTCCAGATGAAGATGCAGATGCTTTCCGAAGCTCTTCAGTTGGTAGGTGGACCTCAGCAGTGCGCTGTGGAAATGTTTTCTTCAACCCTGACATCGCAGTTTTACCTTTGCTTCCGAGAAGAAATCTTGGAGTATCTTTGTTTTCTGAGTTGTAAATAGCAAATAAGGAAGGTCAGTTGAGGAATGACTGTCCTTGTTCTTGATCTAAATCCTGTACTTTCATGTGGACTTTGCATGAATATGGATATTGGTTTTTTTTATTGGAAACTTGTCGCTCAATCTCAATTTCTCTGATTATGAAGCTCTTCAGCAAGCACATTTACTGAGAAGCATGGGCCACAGCAGACAGGCCTCTGACAGCAGCATCGATAAATTCGTCTCCAAAGATGAAGCTGCTGAACCAGGAGATCAAGAAAACAAGGTGAGATGTTTAGGCAGAAGACCATTGGGCTTTCTGAGCTTCTGTGAGTGTTTAGGATCACTCTGGCTGCTGTCCGTGTGCCTTGCTTCTAGCTTTCCCATCTCTGAGCTTCTGCCCACCTATTTCCCCTTAAGTAGTGACCACTTCCTAGGTGTGCTCCTCTTTTCTGCCTCTCCAGATACTACCCAGATCCTTGAGAACTGGCTCAAGAACTGCCTTCCTGAGAGTCCTTCCCAGACAGATTTGTCTTACACTGATTGCTACCTTGCCTGATTTCTTGGGCCGTTCATTTGATGGTCATGCTTGTCCTGCAGCATGTCTTGTTTTTTTTTGTGGAATAATACATTTGTTTGTTTATGGTGGTAAAATACATATAAAGTTTACCAGAGTGACTGTTGCGAAGTGCGCCCCCCCAGTGGCGTAAGTGCTTTCACGTTATGTGGCTGTCCCCACCCTCCCTCTCCAGAACTCTTTCCCTCTCCCCAGACTTAATACTCTGTCCCCATTTGCCCCTAACTCCCCATTCCTCCCTCTCCCCAGCCCTTGGCTCCCATCATTTCCTTTGTGTCTCCCTGGACTGTAGGACGTGCCTACAGGTGGAACCATGTGGTATTTGTTCTTTTGTGACTGGCGTAAGTCACTGGGTATAATGTTCTCAGACTTCATCTGTGTTGTAGGAGGTGTCAGGATTCCCTTCTTCTCTGACACTGAGGCATATTCCACTGTGCAGGTGGACCCCATTTTGTTCTGTTCATCCGTTGATGGATCCTTGGGTTTACTTCTGTCTTCTGGCCGATGTGAATGATGCTGCTGTGAACTTGGAGGTGCAGGCGTCTCTTCAGGACTTTGCTCTAAGTTCTTTGGGATAGACACCCAGAAGTGGAATTTCAGAGTCCTCTGGTAGTTCTAGTTTTAGGTTTTTTTGAGGACCCTCCACACATTGTCCACAGTGGCCACACCAGTTTGTGTTCCCACCAGCTGCGCACAGGGTTCTGGTTTCCCTGGGTCCTCGCCTAGGCTTGTCATTTTCTGGCTTCTTTTGAGAGCAGCTATCCTGCTGGGAGTGAGGTTGTATGTCACTGTGGCTTTGACTTGAGTTTCCCTAATGATGAGTGATGTGGGACATCTTTTCATATGCTTCCTGGCCATTGTATTTTGTCTTGGGAGAAATGTCTGTTCAATTCCTTAGCTGTATTTAATCAGGTTTGGGCTTTTGTTGTTGTTGTTGACTTTATCCATTGAATTGCTTGTAAAATATCCCTGAATTGCTTACCTTTTTACCTATAAGTGGCTTTTCTTCCCAGTTAATTTTAAATTCCTTGAGGGCAGGAACAGTTTCGAACTTAGTCCATCTGTAGATGCCCAGTCATCCTGCAGCCTCCGTGCTTCCTTCCAGGTCCTGCTCCAGCCAGGTCTGTCCCCTCTCAGCTCTGGGCATTCGCAGGGCTCTTGCCTCTGCCTGGGTAGCTGCCCCTTGTCCTCTAGATGGTGGCTCATGCTGTTCTTGCCTGAGCAACCTCTCCTGAGTGCCAGCTCCCAGCTGCCTTCTCTCCAGTGTGCCCTCTCTGTACCCTGAGCTCATCGCTGCCACTGCCCATGTGACCCTGTGGCTCAGCTGCCTCTGACCACTCTGATTGGGCTCCACCGTGGTCTGTGAGGACAAAGATGGGCATTTCTGTGTCCCCAGCACCTGGCATAATTGGTGCTCTGGACCTGTTTGTTGAACACACTAGTGAGCGAATGTGCTGGTTCCTTGATCCTAAGACCAACAAGTGTTGCTTTCTGTGTTGTAGCCTTGCCGGATCAAAGGTGACATAGGGCAGTCTACCGATGATGATTCTGTTCCTCTTGTCCATTGTGTCCGCCTTCTGTCTGCTTCATTTTTGCTGACCGGGGAGAAAAATGGTAAGTATAGAAAGGCAGGTATAGAGCTGAAGGAAATACTGACGTCTCAAGGTCACCTCAGTGGCTGATTTGCACCTCATTGCTGTAGCAGAGGGAGGGAGTAGAGTCTGGGCCTAACGGTGGCTTTCACTGACTGATGGGAGAAGGGAGGGGATGCTGGGGGAGCAAGGTTACTGGGTCTAGTTTTATTTCTGTGGAAACTAAATGTTGGCTGCTTGGAAGGTGATCTCAGTGGTTTCCTTGCAGTGTTGGTTCCGGATAGGGACGTGAGGGTCAGCGTGAAGGCACTGGCACTCAGCTGTGTGGGAGCTGCTGTGGCCCTTCATCCCGAGTCCTTCTTCAGCAAACTTTATAAAGTGCCTCTTGACACCATGGAGCACCCTGGTATGTTACAAGTTCACGGCTTGTCCCTCATGTTTAGTTGGTACTTTGGAAACTACTTCAGACCATCTTGGCTGTTGTGGTTTAGAGTAATACGTATTCTGAGCTGATTTGTGGTATTTTTGAACTGTGTTGTAGCTCCATATAAAACACATAAATAGTAATGCTTTTTGGACTCCCTGTCGATGCAATGTTTCATTTAAACACACGTGACGAGACAGTAGATAAGTGGGACCATAAGAGCCACTTTATATACATACTGGATTTTTACCAAAAGCACAAATCGTGTATAATCAAAATTGCTTTGGGTCACACTCAGCCAGGCCAGATGTTCACACTCAGAGACAAGTGGCAGCCGAGACGAGCAGAGCAGCCGCAGATCCAGCTCCTGTAGCACACGCTCTGGGACCCACTCTCATGGTGGAGTAGATGGGGGAGGAGCCACACTTCTAAAATTATCCTTCCGCTTTCTCCCCCTTTCCTTGGGCGAGGGGACACACTTGTGCTTTTGAATTCATATTAGGTAAGTGTGGACTAGTTTGAATTTCTCTAATCTCTCTCTTTTTTTTTTTTTGGAAGTGAAATCTTGGAATTTTATTATTGGTTGGCAACCTGGAATTATAGTCCAGAACATCTGTTGTGATGAAGTGATAGCAGACCTGTGATGAATCTAGAATCCTTAAACCTCACTGTATTTTTTTACTGCTCATGGCTATTCAAGTCTCTTTTAGATTTGGATTGCCCCCCCCACCTTTCTTTTTTCCCTCTTTCCTGAGAATGAAGCTTTTGTTCTGAGTTAGAAAGTTGATGGTAGGGGCTTGTACAGTGGCTGGGCAATTTATCTCTACAGAGGAGCAGTACGTGTCAGACATCCTGAACTACATTGATCACGGAGACCCCCAGGTCAGAGGAGCCACGGCCGTTCTCTGTGGGACCCTCATCTCCTCCATCCTTAGCAGGTCCCGCTTCCAAGTGGGGGACTGGATGGGCACAGTCAGAGCCTTGACAGGTAATGGTGGAGTTTTCAGTGCATTTTCTAGGTAGAATTCCCAAGTTCAAGTTTATGTAAAGTGCTTGCTGTTTGCTCTTCTGGTCAGGAAATACGTTTTCTCTGGTGGACTGCATTCCTTTGCTGCAGAAAACTTTGAAGGATGAATCTTCTGTGACTTGCAAGTTGGCTTGTACAGCTGTGAGGGTAAGCATCATCTTTTGTGGAAGTCAATTCTTTGATTAGCAGAGATTTTGTCACTGTTATAACTAAAATCGGGCTTAATACTAAACAGTCATAGACGTTGCAAAGCTGTAAACAGTAGCAGCCGTGTGTGTGTGTCCGCCATGCCACTGCAGAAAGCAGGTGTCACCAGTCAGGTTTGTTTCCTAGGGTGTTGCAGGAGTTTCAGTACTCTGAGTGTTTGTTTGAAATGTTTCTTTTCATAAAGGGTCTATTTAGACATACTCTTGGCCAACATGGAGGGTAAAACCATGTTGAATTAAAAACCCCACCACCACTCAGGGTGCTGAGTTGGGGGCCGGGGGGCTGCGAGGTTGTTCATTGAGCTCTGTGCCGTGTCCCTGCAGCACCCCCGGTCTGGACACAGCGGCGTGCTGGACCTTTTTAGATCAGCTGGTCTGTGAACCACAGCTGGCCAGTCACCAACACTAACAGTTAACTAGTAAAGATCAAAGGAAAACCCCGACAGTTGTCACATGAATAGGATACCTTCCCTTTTCAGAATGTCATGGCAGGAACTGTTCCTTAATTCCAGATGATTGTCAGGTTTCAGTTGCTCTTTGTCTGCGGGAGCACAGCAGGTCTCCGACCTTGAGTCCACTCATGTCCGCCGTGTGCCCTGAGGGGTGGGGAGGGCGCAGCCAGGGGGGCTGTGCCGCGGCTGGGGGGCCGTGGAGTACACGGCTGCATAGCAAAGGGCCCGGCTCCCCCATTGGCCCCGGGTCTGAGGTTTGTTTTAGAACAGGTTTACCCCTGCTCTGTGGTCATGAAATCGGTGTCTGGGAGTAGAGGCCTTGACCAAGACAGCAGTGGGAGGAAGGAGGACATACGGTGATGGGGAAGGGACATGTTTATTGCTAAACTGGAGTTAAGGACATTGCTGAGGGACGTGGGGAAAGTTCAGCGTCCCTGCCACGGTGAGAGGAGGAGGAAATGGGAACGCGGCGGCATGCGCATGCTGTCGGAACCATCAGGAGTCAGTGGCGGCGCTGAGCCTGACCCCATCACGTGGCGACCTTGACTTCCAGCACTGTGTCACGAGTCTGTGCAGCAGCAGCCACAGCGAACTGGGGCTGCAACTGGTCACCGACTTGCTGACCCTGAGGGACAGCTCCTACTGGCTGGTGAGGACGGAGCTTCTGGAGACTCTTGCAGAGATTGACTTCAGGTGAGTGATGAATCAGGTTCCTTAGGTCCGTAAACCAAAGCTGCTCAGGAGTTCGGGCCAGGAACTGGGAGGCCTGGGTCATTGCTTCAGGTGCTCATTTGTGATGGTCGTTGTCGTCACCTGTGGGTTGGGAGTCTGGGTGGTGTGGAGAGCTGATGCTGCTTTCTTCCTCAGCTTGCTTTGTGCTTGGGGTTTTACAATACAGGTGGAGGATTAGGTCTTCCTGGTGGTCTCAGTCACCTGAGCAGCCTGGATGGAGGGCACAGGAGAGCTCAGACTGCCATCATTCTTGCTTGTGTGGACAAAAGGAACGTCCTCATTATACCGAACTTAGGTCACACAGCTCATCTGTACTTTGTTGCAATTAAAAAATAACGTGATGCCTTTTGCATCTTCTAAGAACAAGTTTGGCTTAAGATGTTGTCTTTCGGGAGGGGAAATTTCTTCTATTATCCAGGCGTTTGGGTGTTTTCCACGCAGCTGTTACAATGTGCTTGCTGTGTGCCAGGCTCAAGGCTAGTGCCCCTGAGCCTACTAGAGGTAGTTTCTTCCTCTCTCAGCATGTCTCTCTGAATGAGGGGTTGCTCTCAGCTCTGGCTGCTGGGAGGGACCCTGGGCCAGGGGCAAGGAACCTGCCCGAGGCCGTGCAGTCCCTCCCCGGAGTTGGCAGGCCCCTCCCCTGGTGGCTGAGCTCACTCTGAGGCCCCTTGGAGTCTCTCACAGTACGAGATTATTAGTATTTATTTTGAAGAAAACAGTTCACTAAGTCTGAAATGAGGAGAGGAATATGAAGTCCACTTACTTAAAAACCTTGGTCCTTCCATGGGTCTGAGGACGTGCTCCCTCTCTGGTGTTCTGGGTGGCAGGACCAGCCCCCTTCAGAGCCGCCCTCTGTGTCCTGTGTGTCAGGGTTGTGCCGGCCGACAGTGGGTGTCCATGGAGTCACTAAATTGTTTCATGTTAAAAATGTTCTTTTGTTAGGTTGGTAAGCTTTTTGGAGGCAAAAGCAGAAAACCTGCACAGAGGGACCCATCATTATACAGGGGTAAGCAGTTCATTTTTGTGAGGCCACGTCATAGCTTCCAGGGGTGCCTTCCCAGGGGTGTGGGTCTCCTCTGAGCGTGCTCTGTTCTAGACTGACCCTGCGATTCAGGTTGTGACAGTCATGCTTGTGTGTGTGAATTTAAGACTAGTGGTCGTGAGCGCTCCCTCATGGTCCTTCCAAAGTATCTTACGTGAAATGGGCTTAAAGACAGATGTCATATCTGTTTCTGTTTCCTTCTCTCTGAAGCTTTTAAAACTGCAAGAACGAGTGCTCCATGATGTGGTCATCTATCTGCTCGGGGACGAGGACCCCAGGGTGCGGCATGTTGCCGCAGCGGCCTTGATAAGGTATCTACCACCCATTTTCTCTCTTTGCTCACTTTCCTGGTGGAAGTGCAAAGTGGTAGGAGGAGGGGAGCTCGGTTATCTGAGAGTAGGTCAGCATTCCCGGATGCTGGACGCTCACTTTCAGCTCCTCTGAAAGCATCAGAAAAGACCAGGAGTCTAAAGTGAGGGTGAAAACAGGGCTAGCCTCCAAAAGTGATGCGCTTTTCATTGTGAGATGTTTGGAATGTAGAGAAGAGCACAAAGAAGAACATAGAAATCTCCTTTGGTTCTGCCTCTGGAGACAATCACTGTGAATGTGTTGAGTATAGCCTGTGCATGAGTCTATTCTACAAAATTGGGACCAAGCGTACGTGCAATTCAGTGATCCGATCATTTTCATGTACTATGTTATCGCATCTTCCTGCTATCAGACTCTTCTAAAAAAAAAAAAACAAAAAAAAAACACCTGACTCTGCCAGTGATATCTGGAGCCGCCCCCCGTATTCAGATATGTTTGTATGTTTGCACTGAAGTACATGACGTGTCCTACAGAGTGAGATTGGTGAAGGCCACGCATACTGTTTCAGAAAAAGAAATGTATAGTGAGTGGCCAATGTCTTATTCTGTAGTTGTGATAAACTTTTATGTAAATATTATTTGGTTGGACAGTAAGTTTTCTTTGACTTACATAATGAATAATGCTTGTGAATATTGTTATACACAAATGCTGATATATACATTTTTTTCTGAGAATTCCTGGAAGTTTAGTTACTAGGCCAAGCTTTCTGGTGTTGTGGGTTTTTTTTGTTTTGTTTTGTTTTCAATTTTTCATAGCTTTACTGAAGTATGATTTTGTGTCCCTTCACACTCACCCATTTTAAGTGTACGATTTAGTGATTTGTAGTAAACATAGAGATTTGTGTAACCATCACCACAATCCCAATTTTAGAACATTTCCATGACCCCGTCACCACATGGCTGATATTACTTCCACTCTTGTGGCTACTGTGGATTGTACTGGCTGAACATCTGCCCACAAGACATTGTGTGGACACATGTTCTCATTTCTTTTGGGTCGGTACCTAGAGTGGGTTTTTGTTTTTTTTTTAAAGATTCTATTTATTTATTTGACAGAGTGAGAGGGTACAGTAGGCAGAGCAGAAGGCAGAGGAAGAGGGAGAAGCAGGTTCTCCTGTGAGCAGGGAATCCCACGTGGGGCTTGATCCCAGGCCCCTGAGATCATGACCTGAGCTGAAGGTAGCCACTTTAACCGACTGAGCCACCCAGGTGCCCCTAGAAGTGGATTTTTTTTCTGGGTTTTGGTTCTTCCTGTGAAATTGCTCTCCAGAAACATAGTGGTCTCTTAGTGACCAGAATATGATTGTGCCTGATTCTTCTCACCAAAAAAAGATTAAAAAAAAAAAGTTAAGTATGTATCAATTGTTGAAGCAGAAATTGTTTTTTTTTTTTTTTTTTGTAAGATTTTATTTATTTATTTGATAGAGAGAGTACAGCAGGGGGAGCAGCAGGCAGAGGGAGAGGGAGAAGCAGGCTCACCGAGCAGGGAGCTCAATGTGGGAATTGATCCCAGGACCCTGGGATCATGACCTGAGCCGAAGGCAGACAGATGCTTAACTGACTGAGCCACCCAGGTGTCCTGAAAAATACCTTATCTTTTTGAAGTAATACATGTTTACTTAACAAAGTTTAGGGAAAATATAAAATAGGAAATCAAAATCTCTGTGATCAAATGACTGAAAACCAGGGTTTCATTTTGATGTGTATCTTTTCTGTTTTCAGTGTTGTCGTTTGCGTATTTCTTTGATTACTTGTGAGGTGTACTTTTTCTTGCACTTAACTGGATTAGTATGACTTGCCTACAACGATTTTGGACCTTTCCCTCTTTCTGCAAATGATAGCCATTTATTTTACCTTAGAAAGATGTTGTGCTTATGACCAGGACCCCACAGAAGAGAGATTTTAATTAAAGATACTGGGGTTTGCAGACCAATGTGAGTAGGTAGTTGATTGTTTCTACGAGTTATAAGCCCCGTCCGAAAGCATATGAGCACACTCCTGCAGAACACACACTGCTGATTGCAGAAATGGGCCCTTCTGTTCTCTTAGGAAATGTTGCCTGTTCTGCATTTAAAAAAAATTTTTTTTAAAGATACTATATGTTCATTTGAGAGACGCAGCGGGAGAGGGAACACAAGCAGGGGGAGCGGCAGAGGGAGAAGCAAGCTTCCTGCTCAACAGGGAGCCTAATACGGGGCTCGATCCCAGGACCCTGAGATCATGACCTGAGCCAAAGGCAGATGCCCAATGACTGAGCCCCCCAGGTGCCCCTGTATTCTGCTTTTGAGTGGAGTTTAGATTTGTGAGGGGCTTCTGCTGGAGCTTTGCCATCTGGGAGTGTGTGGGACGGATTTGCAGGCAGAATTGCAAAAACGAGTAGGGGCTGGCCACTGGTGTTCAGATCTGCTCTGTGCTTGGTACTCTCAGTGGATGGGGGAGTCACGTACCTGTTCATCTTGCTCAAGAGGACCAGAAGGAGAACTTGAAATCCGAGCCTTTTATTGTACGTAGAGAAAGCTGCTAAAGTTACGGCAGGCAGAAAGGAAGTGCGGCTCCTGGTTATGGCAGGGGTGGCGTGACTGGTGCGAGGGCGGTTGGTCCTGGGACTGGCAGCCCCCTCCACTGGGCCGGGGGACCCCCCCCCCCCAAGGCAGAAGCTGCTGTTCTGTGGCTGGACCGCATTTCAGGCCTCCCCACCTTGACACAGGAGGGTGGTGCAGCGCAGGTGTGGCTCAGACCCCGTCAGTGAATGCACTCCACTTCTGTGTCAGGCTCGTCCCGAAGCTGTTCTATAAATGTGACCAAGGACAAGCCGACCCCGTCGTGGCTGTGGCGAGAGATCAAAGCAGTGTTTACCTGAAGCTCCTCATGCACGAGACGCAGCCTCCGTCTCACTTCTCCGTCAGCACCATCACCAGGTACGCGCGCTGCGTGCGGGGGTGTCATGGGGGGCTTTCCTGATGCATCGTGCTTTCCAGAGAAGAAGAGTCAGGTGAGGGCATTTGCATAGGTGGTCCCCTTCGGTAGGGTGTCCGTCCTTTCTGGGATTTGCCGCCTGTCTTCATTTAGGAAGCTCTGGCACAGTCACAGCAAGACTTCACGAATCTTCCAGTCCACTCACTACCAGACGAGTTCTCAAAGTGTATTTTTGTGTGTGACACTTAGACTGTGTCTTTTCTAGAAACCTGTCCGGTAACTTTTTCGCTTCATTTGTGTTGCCGGTGAAGAGTATGGTGAGATTGTCATCTCCTCAACTTTCATGGGCCTGGGCCTTGTTATTTAGAACTGTCCACTAGCGTGGATCTCTGCAGTTACTGCTGTTCACGTTGGCTGGGAGATGCTTTTAGTGGCCACTGCCATGGGCGCACACAGCCCGCTCTCTTCAGCTCTTGGACCGGCGTACACACTGTGCAGTCGTTGGCCCAGAAATGCTTTAATGAACCAGTCAGTCTTATGGATCTTAGTTTGCAAAGAAGCTGCAGAAGTGATCGTAAAAGACTGTCATGCAGGTTTAACTCCTTGTGTTTTAAACGTTATTTTAAAAATGAGTTTTACTTGTAGCTCTCCTTTCTATTAGTAGGAATTTTTTTTAAAAGCTGGACATCAGGTCTGAGATGTTTTCTTGATTGCTTTTGTTACGGATTTGGAGCTCAGCCAGTCAGATGTGGAAGTTCTTCCCTCAATAGCTGTCATCTCTTCTCACGTAAAGGTTGCTTTTAAAAAACACACGGAAAAAATTTTCTTAGAGAATTCCCTTTATGTAAACCTAAGAAGCGGTCTTTTCTTCTCTCTGAGAAGATTCGGGCTAAATATTCCTTTAAGATCGCAAAAGCAGTCTGAGAGGATCTCACCCGGAATGGGACAAGCTTAGGGTAAGTCGCTCTTGCTGAGCATCATCTCAGGAAATGCCAGCAGAGATGAGTCTAGCATCGTGTTAGAATTGGTTCCTTGCTCCAACTTTGAAAGTCTCTCCAGTTTACACGCAGGCTGGCCTCTGGCCTTGGGCCGTGTTGCCCTGGTTCTTGCATAGAAAGCTCCGTGGCCAGCCGTGCGGCGCCCTTGGCACCTTAGCCGCCCGCTGTCTGAGAATTGATGTGGGAAGAAAAGAAGTCTTCTGAGTTTTGTTGTTGGGTTCTGAGGATACCTGGAGATTCAGAAGTGATTCCAGCACTAGTTCTGCTTGGGCACCGCTGGTAACCAGGGCCAGGGACTCAGAGTCCATGCAGGACCTCAGCAAGTGGCTGGCATTGGGGTGTGCCGTGAGGGTGATGTTGGGAAGGGCACTTTCATCTTTCAGGGAATCAGGACCAGCTTCAAGGAATTTTTTGACTTAAAGTTTGATAAATGAGTACTTTGGTCGCGTGGAGAGGTGGCTGCGAGGCTGTGGTGGGGGAGCGCTGGGGGGCGCAAGGGGGCGCAAGGCGGCGCCAGGACGTGGGTGTTCAGGGTGGGCCAGGGCCTGGAGGGGACTTCCTGTGACCACTGTAGTGCCCAGGTTCACTTCCTGACTGTCTTTCACATCAAAGTCAAGACTGCTAGGATGCCTCATAGGTCTTAATCTCAAACTTAGAAATGCCCTTTGAATTTTGGAAGTATCATAAGCTTCAATAGTAGATTTTAAGTCTCCATGTTTTTCTCGCTAGAATATACAGAGGCTATAACTTACTGCCAACCATGACAGACGTCACGGTGGAAAACAACCTCTCCAGAGTCATCGCGGCCGTTTCCCGCGAACTGGTCACGTCCACCACGCGCGCACTCACCGTAAGTCTCATTGGGTGGCCTTGGCGAAGTTGACCCTGGGTGGTCGGGCAGTTGGTTCTTCGCGGTGAGCTGCTATGTGAGAGCTCGCATTTGTGGGGCTCGCTAAGAACTGGTGCTTCTGGGAACGGAATCTTGGTGTATTCTAATGGAGAAGTACACTATTTTTTTTCCTGGTTATTAAAGTAATAGTGCTCTTTGTAAAAAAAAAACTCAGCCAGTACAGGAGGACATAAACGTGAGAATAAAAACTGCCATGATCGGAGTTGGTAATGCTTCAGAAGTTCAGAATGCCTCCTCTGTAACTGAGTCCGTGATGTGTGATGGGCCCTGAGGGGAAGAAATCAGAAATACCAGTAAAGGTGTTTGTATAACGTACTCACCTGTGTCATTTCCTGTGACGCTGATGTTGGAAAAGGACCGTGATGTCCAGGAATGCATGATGATTAAGTTCTGATTCTGATGAGACTCTGTGTATGGTAGCATATTTATTACGTAGTAGATGACATGGGCTTCAGGGATGGTGTAGTGCTACAGGGCGGTGGGGTCGGAGTGTGCCTGTGTGTAATCCCATCTCTGTGCGGAAGTCCTAGCCACCCATGTACCCTCCTCACATACTCAAGAGAGTGACTGGCTAAAAATGGCCAGTTTTCCGATTGTGATCTTTGTTTCCTTCTTTATATTTTTGAGATATTTACAAATTTTCTAAAATGAACAAGGGTAACTTTCATAGTCAGAAATAGAGACTGTTGTACAAAGTAGTGTTAATTTGCGGATCACTAGGTTAAACCTTGTTGTTTTATGTGATCGAAGAAATGCTTGCCTGTTGTAGAAAATGCCAACAATTAGGATTAGGCTATCCTCCTAAGTGCCTTTTAAACCTAAATATTATTTGGCCTCTCTGGTTTGGTCTTCCTTTGATTTGTTTAAAATATCATAAACTTCACTTACTGTATCTATTGTGGCTTCACGTGGTGGGCACTGTTTTAGGCTTGGGATGTAAACACATGAGGGTCTCTGCCCTTGTGGTCCTTGCAGTCAGGTCAGGAGATGGATGTCAGTAAGCTGGTGTGGGAGCAGAGCAGGGGCGGGGAGGAAGGTCGCTCAGGTAGGGAGGGGATGCCGGACCATTGCCATTTTGAGCAGAAGGGCTGTGCCCGCTGCGGGCCTGTCTTCATGGCACACGATGGGCCCTCCTTAGAGCCTGTGTTCTGCCTGTCGCACTCTGTCTTGGAAGGATGAATTGGTACCAGGGTAGGACAGATATTGTCAGACACAGACCTCATTTATGTGTTTATTATACTTTTTATAAAGGGTGAAACGTTCAATTTAATAAATGCTTTGTGTGCATGGGTGTGATGTTATTGTCCTTTTCTCCTTTAGTTTGGGTGCTGCGAAGCTCTGTGTCTCCTTTCAACAGCCTTTCCCGTCTGCATTTGGAGTTTAGGTTGGCATTGTGGGTATGTATTTTTCTCAGCATATTGTTATCTATACTCAGGTGATACAGACGTTATGGTTGGAATCCCCTGTTTTCTTTCTTAAATCTTTTATCAGTGTGACCTTTTGGAAAAAAGCACCCAGTGGAATCCTTGATTTTGCCCTGTTAGCTGTATGGGAAACCAGGGATAAAGCTCTCAGGAAGTCTAGATTTGCTGGGATTCTCATGGGTGTCAGATGCTCACTCTTCAGTGCCTGGGAGGGTTTCAGGGTGTCATTTGTAGGTTCATTTTGGAGAATTCACATATGCTGGCGAGATGTTTCCTTTTTTTTTTTTTTTTCTTTAAAGATTTTATTTATTTATTTGACAGAGATCACAGGTAGGCAGAGAGGCAGGCAGAGAGAGAGGGGGAGGCAGGCTCCCTGCTGAGCAGAGAGCCTGAGGCGGGCCTCTATCCCAGGACCCAGGGATCATGACCTGAGCTGAAGGCAGAGGCTTTAACCTACTGAGCCACCCAGGCGCCCCAGGCAAGATGTTTCTGATTGGTTTGATTCTCTCCAAATGTCTACACTACGTACTAGAAACTTAGGAACATTCTTTGTTTGAAATCAGACGTGTCCCGTTGTACAAAATCCTGATGGACTATAGGAATTGTCAGGCTCATCTGAGCAGTTTTTATTTAAAAATGACTTTCTTCCAGTAGATGGCCCTAATAGCATTTGTGAAATAATTTCGAATCTCTTACAGTACTGAGGAGTATGCTTTTATTATGTGTACTGATTTCTGAGAAGCATTTTGGTGACTTACCATCATGTTTGGAAGCATCTGCAGACGTCTTGCATGTGTCAGCGTGTGGTCGGCTAACATTTGCATGGAGCGGCTGGATTGCTGGTCCGGAGTGCTTGCTTCCCTTTGTCCACGGGTGGTTACTGAGCGACTACAGTTTCCAGTCAAAGCTCCAGCACCTGATCTGACTCTGAGCAACTTTGGCATCGGAGTACAATATGCTAAGTCAAAATCCAGAGAAAGCGAAAAAGTTATAAAAAACAGTTTCAGTGGTTTTAATCAGATCTGCTTCCTGGTTTCCTTTGTCAGTGGTTTTCATGGAGCTGTGTTTTACTGACAGAATGTTAGTTAACAATAGTGAAGTCACTTTATGAGCTAGTACAAAACGTACAGTGACATGCCTTCTTCCTGGTTCATTCAAGAAGGCAGGACTGTTTGATTTAAAATTTTTGTCGTTTGATCTGGCACACATCTGCTTCCAGGGTGCCCCCACTGAGCGCCTCCGATGAGTCAAGAAAGAGCTGTACTGTTGGCATGGCCACGATGATCCTCACCTTGCTCTCGTCAGCATGGTTCCCCCTGGATCTCTCAGCCCATCAGGATGCTTTGATTTTAGCCGGAAACTTGCTTGCAGGTACTGGTACTGAGCTGAAACAGGGACTTGTGGTCTAGAGCTTTCGGGTTCCTTCTGGCGGTGGGGTGATGAACACACGGAGGGAAATTACTCCAGCGATGGTTTGATCCTCTAGTTGGAGCATCCAACGTGACCAACTGGTGTGTGCTATGGGCAGCTATTCTGACTGAGTAGTTTGAAGAAGCCTTTCCCTTTGCAGACCCTTAGTTGGCTACAGGTGAACTTATTTCTAATTCCATTTCAGCAGGCCCCATGTGCCAGGCACCACGGCTATAAGATAGCATGCTGTGTGGGCTGTTCTCCAGTCAGCTGTGGGTCAGTGGGGAAACACGTAGTCCAGGGCAGCACCAGGAGGCCATAGCCACTCTCTTGTGGGTGCCCAGCACAGAAGGCAGGTCTTAGGGGCTGGCAGGAAAGGGCACCCCAGGTGGAGGGCATAGCCTATTCGAAGGCATGGAGACATGAAAAGTTGTGTGACATCTGAGGACTGTGAGTCGTCTGGGATGTCAGGTGAGGGCCAGGATGGAGAGTGTGGCCCATGAGGAAGGAGGGCCCTGAACTTGGTGGGTGTGGGGTGCTGCTTCATTACGGAGGACTGTGTGTTTGCTGTGGGAGGTCACAGAATTGCCTCACAGCCTAGCCCAGGGCAGGGTCCCTCCTCGGGCCTGAGTGTGGCTTGGAGGACAAGGTAGGGAAACCCACTTGGAAGGTTCATGGCACGGTCGAGGCGAGAGAGAGAGTCTCAACGAGATCCCAGCTGTGGGCTGGGAGGGGAAGATTCTGAAGGGCAGGAGCAGCAGGCTGTGGCCACCAGTGGAACTTTGGCTGTGAAGGTCCGGAGGGCCTGGGGTGATTGGCACATCCGGGGTGGATATGCATCTGGGGGTGACATTCATGCAAGTATTTGCAGTTGGAGGGAGCAGGTGACCACACAGTGTAGCTGTCCAGCAAACTCAAAGGGGGTGGGTCTTAGTGACTCAGCTTCCCTGGTGATTTCTCTCCCCCTCCTTCTATCGTATCACAGCCAGTGCTCCCAAATCTCTGAGAAGTTCGTGGACCTCCGAAGAAGAGGCCAGTGCAGCAGCCGCCAAGCAGGAAGAGGTCTGGCCAGCTCTGGGTGACCGGACCCTGGTGCCCATGGTGGAACAGCTCTTCTCGCACCTGCTGAAGGTGATTAATATCTGTGCTCACGTCTTGGACGATGTGGCTCCCGGACCAGCAATAAAGGTAACTGCAGGCTGGGCAGTTGCGTCAGTGCATCCTTGGTGACCCCGTGGGCGCCAGACCTGCCTTTGCTCACTCGTCTACCTCTTCCTTACTCTCTTTTGCTCTAAATGAACAAAATTGCTCCCAGGGTGACAGTAAATTTAACACCAAAATGTGTCCTCCAATTTGTAGCTCTTTTGGTACCATCCTTATTTACTGTTGCCTCTAAGAGGGAAAGAACTAGCTGCGTCTATAGGCTTTCAGCAGTGGCTGAGAAAGCTCAGAATTGACGTTACCATGTCCTGGGACGTCCGCAGACCGTTCTGCTTCTCTGAGAAGCACAGTTCCACAGAATGAACTTCAGAACAAATGGCAAACTGTTTGCACAGTGAACTTCAGATAGATGAGTTCACTAATAATCAGACCCGATACTTTGCTCTCCCGTATTTTCCATCTGAAGTTACTTCCACCATGAAAAACCTATATGAACATCACGTTCTCCCTTAGTGGCCATTTGGTCTCCCCATCACTACAGACTTTTCTAAAGAGGCGTGTCTCCCTACTTAACACCTTAGTGCCTCCTGCTGCCCCAGCACCAGCCTGGACACAATCAGCAGCTCCGGCCCCCGATTCTTAAACCCGGCAGGTCGGCTTCCGGCCACCATTCTCCAGAGCTGTGCTTCCTGCCAAGATCAGTCTTTGAGTCTTGTGGGTGCCTCTCGGGTCCTGTCTCAACTGCTGCTCCACACCCTTGGAGCTGCCACGCTGGTCCTGACACGGGTGCTCCTCCTGGCCTCTAGGTTGTCTCTAGTTTTTCTCTACCCTGGTTTCATCTCTCTGCCCACCACAGAGAGCCTCTAGGCTCTGTTCTAGGTTGGCCTCTGTCTCGATACTCCTGGGCAGGTGCCCTCCAATGTGGCTCTGCAGCGATGGGAACGTGGTGTGTCTCAGCCAGCCGGGGCGGCAGCTGCTAACCACACGTGGCGAGTGAGCACTTGAAATGTGGCCAGTATAGCTGAGGTGCTGAGCTGCTAATTTTGTTTGTCATCATGTGGAAGTGACCACGTGTGGACCATGGCTCCAGTACGGGCGGGCAGTGCAGATGGTCACACGTCGGAGGCCCCCACTCTGTCGTGGTGCATCTGCAGAGATGTGTGACGCCTCTGCTGGGATGGCCTGCAGATCTTGAACATGAGTCTGAACTGCTTGGCCTCACCCCTGCCCGCCGCACTCCCCTCACTTTGTGCTCCGTTAGCTGGGAGCATGGCGGTCTCCTAGATCCTCACTGTTCCTTGTCAAGTCCTGAGTTTTCCCTGCTAAACGTCCTGCAGACCCTATGCACGTGCGCACCGGTGTGTACACGGACGCATGCACATGCAGATCACACATAGCTGAGCATGTACACGCGTCTGTGCATGGGATTCCCCATTCTGGTGCCACTTGGCGGCCTGGTGGACATTCCGCCGCCTCTCTTTCCCTCCTCCTGCTTCAGACGGCATTCTTCATATCCTCTGAGTTGCAGCGCAGTTCCTGTTTCCCACAGCTCACCTGTTCGAAGCATAGGATTGCGTGGGTTTTCCTGTGCCCACAGTCACGTGGCCATCACCACAATCCATTGAGAGCCCGGGAAGGAACACTATGCCATTTAGGTGTCACCCCCCCCCAAACCTCCCATGCCCCCCAGCTCCAGGTGGCCACCAGCTGCTTGGTGTTTCTATAGACCTGCTCCTCCCGGACATTTCACAGGAGGGACTGTGCGATCCCTTGCGTCTGTCTCCTCTCCCTTGGCAGGCGCTCCGGATGCAGCAGCCCCTGTCCTGGCTGGTCTGTCTGTCCCTGCTGCCTTCGGTCCGCTCTCCTGTGGCAGCCGTTTGTCCCATTCCATCCGCTTCTCTCAGACCATGGAGAGAGGAGCAGAGCTGGGGCCCGCCGGGAACGTCCCTGCCTGGGGTCCTCACCATGCCCCCATGCCAGCACCCCCACAGCATGTCCTCTGCCCTGTGTACAGGGTCTGTGGACCCTGAACTGGGTGGCTTGTTAGCTTTAATGTTCAAGAAGTTACTTCGTCTCTGAGCCCATTTCCTCATTTGAAGAATGGGTTTACAGCGTTGCTTCGTACATTTATCACGTCCTGGCTCCCGCAGAGTGCCCTGGCTGCTTGTTGCTGGGGGCAGTGGGCCCCACCTGGCTCTCTGAGGGGCCTTGCATCCTTGGTCACTCATAGTGCACCTGTTAGAAGATTCTAGGTCAATACCTGCCAGTGTGATGGCTGTGAGGGCTACAGCAGGTGCTCTGTGGACTGTGTCTGAACTCTGTGAATGAGGACTCACAGAAAAAAATGATCACATGTAGTTGGGCTTAAGATATGGGAAGCCTTTGTGTGACTTTCAGTTTCCGTGTTGGTTGGGCACCCTTCATGGACTCTTGTTTTTATTATAGGCAGCCTTGCCATCTCTGACAAACCCTCCATCTCTGAGTCCCATCCGACGGAAGGGAAAGGAGAAAGAACCCGGAGAGCCAGCCTCTGTGCCCTTGAGCCCCAAGAAAAGCAGTGAAGCCAGTCCAGGTATGAAATGACAACGGGGAGGGCTGGGGCGCCCGCATATCAGCGAGATCACATTCACGCCCAGCTTAATTTAATAGCTTGGTAGTTTTTGGAAATAAAGTTCACGGCAGTGAAGCCAGAGAAGGAGTTTCCCTGGTTTGGTTTCAGATGTTAAATAGTAATTCCTAAATGTGTGTGGACCACATTCCCATCTTGGCGTCACTCTCTGTCACTGGCTGACACATGGCCGTGGTGGTCTGTGGGCCGCTGGCCCCCAGCAAGCCGTCCTGTCTGCCGTCCTCCCTGCCCCGCTTCTCTTCATTTACGATTTCAGTCAGGGAGTTATGTATGGATAGCCAGGAACAGAGCTAGTGGATGAAAGAGTTGGTTCTGATATGTGAAGATTAAAGCCTAAAGTGCCAACGTGGGGAACAATCATCTGAGTGAGAGGAACCCGACAAACTTAGATGTGTGGAGGGGTTGCCACCCCTGGAAAGGGCCGGGGTTTGCTTGGGGCCCTGCGACTTCTGGACCGGCCGTGAATGGGCACGGGAAGGCCTAGGCAGGGTGAGAGGCGACTGACCTGTGCTGTCGTGCTCCCACCAGACCTGTTGGCACATCTCACCGTGCTTGGGGGTCAATCGCGATCCTCCCATGAGACACACGATGTTAAGGCTTTCGAAAAGTGCTCCTTTCTGAGGACTGATGGGGCAGTGCAGGAAGCTTTACCAGCTTTGAAAGCTTCTGAACTTGACAAATGTAGTATGTCATTGATCGTCTTCCGGTGGATTAAAGGGGGGGAGCTGTGAGTCAGTAATCTTTAAAATTAATCTTTAAATTTTGAGAACAGTTTTACTTAGTGCTTGGCATTTTAATATTTACTATGGGTTGCGTGATGGTCTATTTGCCGTCTCCAGTCTGGAAGCACGCTGTTGGCATCCGGGGCTCCTGGTCATCCTGGCCGGGCTCAGCCCCACCGTGCCACTGGGAGCCGCAGGTGCTAGGGGCCATGTGGGGGCTAGAGGCCACCAGCTTGTGGCTCCTCTGATGTGCAGCCAGGTAGCCACACTGTGCCAGATGGTAGCATGCTGCTGCTCTTCTTTCTCATCTCACCTCATTGTTTTGGGGGAGATACTCAGACTCTGTTTATGCTTCTGTCAATTCCTTGTTACTTCTAAATAATTAAAAAGAGGAAGAATTTGAATTTATTCTGTGATCATACGTTTAAAAAATTGTTATTGCCAATAATCTCTTTAACTTGGCAAGTGTGTACTTTTGAGCTCAACGTGTATTTTGTGTGTTTTAAAGCCTCTCGACAATCTGATGCCCCAGGGCCTGTTACAGCAAATAAGTCCTCATCGCTGGGGAGTTTCTGTCACCTTCCTTCGTACCTCAAATTGCACGACGTCCTGAAAGCGACTCACGCCAACTATAAGGTGCGGCTCCTTTTGTGAAAATATGCACATAAATTTCTAATCGATCATGGGTGTCTTTCTTAAGATTGATCGCTTGTGTACGTACAGAGATGGGTGTACAAGGAGGTCCATGCAAATCAGTAGTTTCTTCCAGTTTGTCTTTCAGCTTTGATTATGGTAGCTCTCATCACACAAGCATAGGAGCAGCGATCTCCGGGTCTAGTTGTGCTGTGTCTGGGCGTCCCGGGCTGCCCCACAGTCCAGTACGAGCTGGCAGGCCTCGGGCCTTGGTGTGTACACATTCTCATAGCTGGGATTTTTTTTATCGCCGTGTGGGAAGGACGCACGGGCGTGGTCTGCAGGAATCCAGGTGCAGGCTTGCTGTGCTCTTTCTCCCCCACACTTGTCCCCAGACCACGGAGGCTTCTCTGCCTGACACGAAGCAGAACCACGGGCTCAGAGGAATACAGATGTGCAGCCGAAAACGTGGGCTTCATTGCCATAGTCCAGGCCCAGGGAACCCCGCCAGCAGTGTAGGGCCTGCCGACGGGCCAGGGGTGCAGATGCCCCTGAGGGCCAACCTTACAGACAGGTGTCTGTAGGGAGAGCAGTCTGCTTGTCCACTCTTCTGCACAGGTGTGTTTCGGCTTTCTCATGCTGAGACAATGAAGGAAAAATCTCCCGTGTTTCTCTTAGGGCTTTTCACCGGTGAGCTACCTGCTCAGTTGCCCCTGGCACTGTTTCCCTAGTGAGCCATTTCTCTTGCATTAACTAATCTGAAACACAGCCTTTTCCAGATGCTGAATTCTCGTGGGTCTGTATTTCATCTACTGTTTGGTGACATCAGTCTGTCCATCTGTTCCTCTGTTAGAAGCATGCGTGCCCATTATGTAGTTCTGGAGCACATCTTTGATGCAGTCAGTTCCCCTAGTCTGCCTTAGAATCTTTTCTTGATGTTCCTTTATTTTTGTGTTTGTGCACTAGAATAAGCTCATCTAGATCCAAAGGATCCTGAGAATATTTCCACTGGAGTCATGTTAAATTTATAGATTAATTCAGAGAGAACCAATATTGAGATGCGAAATACACCTGTCCAGAGTGTGGGACGCTTTTTTGTTTATTGAAACGTTCTTGTATGTGCCTCAGATGTACATGAAGTTTAAAGAATTTTAAAAAGAGTTTTTGAAGATTATTTCACATAGATTTTATATATTGATAAATATGTCCCCAGATGGTCATCATCTTTTGTTACTGATCAATATTTCTCCGTTTTTTTGAAAACCGTATATAAACCTCATCTGGCTTTTTTTCTGAAGAATATTGATGATTTTGAAAGGTACGAATCTTCAGCTGTGTTTGCAGCAGATTCAGAGGCTCTCTTTTGTCTGCGTTTCTCCTATCACCCACCCAAGTGGCAGGGGACACGATGGAAATCCTGCAGAGAGAAGGTGTTTTTTCTGCCTGTTTTCAACTCCTGTCTCAGGTCCTGGGACCCTGTTGATGCTCCTGGCATCTACTCCATCCTTATCATTTCCACTCTGGATCGCTTCTCGGCCTTTTGGCTAAGATCAGGTGCATTGCCCTTCTGGGATGTCCTGGGCTTCACGCTATACCCCATGCACCGTGGCCCCCCATTATCTCGGACGCCCACCTCGTTGGCGTGTTTGGAGTGCCTGGCACATGTGAGATTCGTCACAGCGTCTCTTCATTTCCTTCATTCCTCCTCCTGAGTGGCCGTGTCTGTGGCCCTCCATTCTGGCTCCGTTCTCAGCCTTCCATGTCCTGTGGCCTGGTTCTCACCTGTGACCTCTGTTCTTCTTCAAGCTTGGCCTTTCTGTGTGCATGCCCCTCGCCCCCTCGCCCTGCCCTGCCTGCTGGAGGTGAGTGCCTTCTGTCCTGCCCCTGTGGGATGTGGCTCTACTTGTCCTTCCTCAGACTGTTGGAAAGGCCCCTCCTGGTGACACAGAGCAGCCACGGGACTCGGGCCTGCCCAGTGGTTGTCCTCCATGTGTGTCTCACCTGCCGCCCTCCCCCGTGGCCCAGGAGTGCTTTCTCTTTCATCATGAGGGGCTATATTTGAGTTCATGGAGCAGATTCTTTTCTCTGTTGCAGTGTTTTTGCTGGTTTTATTTTCATAGTTGATCTCTCCCCTCCTGGCCCTTGTTCTTCCATGTTTTGTCTTTGGAGCTGACCCCTTCTCTTAGGCTGTTAAATAGGGGAGTTGCATAACTGAATTCAATTGGGCCCGTTAGAATCCTAATTTAATCCTTCTTAAGATGAATTTAATATTTTGCCATAGCCAGGCTGAAAGGCGGTTTCTGGATTTGGTAATGATTCCTCAGGGATACTAATGTATTTAGAACAAGTTGTGTATTTTTTATTTTTTGGTCTCGTGCTTATCAGATACTGGTTATAATGGACATTTACATTTTTTTCCCCTCAGGATAGAAGCTCAGAAATTCTTTCTTTCAATAGCATCGACGTAAGCTGGAAGATGCTTCTGAAAGATGCCGGTTTTATACAGCTATCTGGAAGAGGCGTTTCCTTTCCGAGGCATTTTCCCAGTGCTGGCAGCAAACAGATAGACTGCATGGCATGTGTGTAGGGTTGCACAGCAGGACACTTTGCACCACATGGACGGCGCGTGTCTTTGTTGCACATGACAGACGGGACGGTGCAAGTAATCCTGTGTTCTTTTCCTCCACCTTCCCAAGGTTACCTTGGATCTTCAGAACAGCACTGAAAAGTTTGGGGGCTTTCTGCGCTCTGCCTTGGATGTTCTCTCTCAGATCCTGGAGCTGGCAACGCTGCAGGACATTGGGAAGGTGGGTGTTTGGTTTCTTGTCGTTGAACTGTAGCCACCGACATGAGGGCCTGTGCAGCTGGAATGCCAGTGGTCAGGCACGTTCAGAAGGCAGTAGTGGCTTGAGTCGCTTCTCCGTGTGTCCCCCCAACCCAACCCCCTGCATCATGTTGTAGCCCTGGACTCTGATGCTTGTCTTAGTCTCAGGCTGGAGGTGTTCTGCCTCTCTCCTCTCTTCAGTTGTTTTCTGTGCATTAGCTTAGACCCAGCTTATTCTAGAATATGAGTGGGTTTAAACTGTGCTGACAGTCCCTTTGTGTTCTTATTTGATCTTTGCAAATGGAAAGGGTGACAACAGATGTGGTGAGGGTGCAGGGCTGGCTCCTTTGGGCTGTGGGAAGCCACAGAACAGTGGTAGACGCTCCTTTCCCGCAGCCCCAAGCCCTGTGTGCCCCACCATCGTCTGACAAGCAGGCGCTTGGACACATGAGAGTTCCAGGAGTTGTGTGGTGAGCACCCGTCTCAAGTGTCCACGCCCCAGGGCCTTGACTGTGTATCCACCTACCAGCTCTGGGGGCGTCTTACCTTCTTCTGATGGGTTGCTCCCCCTTTAAACATGTCTGTCAAGCAAAGTATGGTATGCTGGTGAAATTCGTTTGTTTTTATTTCTCTCAGTCTTTCTCTTGGCTCATAAGGACACCTACTTTTTTGTGATTACATACGGTATTCCGTTTCTTTTCAGTTCTCTCTTGTGGTTTTTTCATGTCTGTTTAGTGCATGAACTTGTTTTCTATGGCTAGATAGTGTGCTCTTGCAACTGACGCTCGGTTGTCACTCAGAGTGAGACTTGTCAGAGCTGTTCCTGATCCGGCCTTTCTGGGGAGACCTGCTACGCGTCTGCAGGCATGGGGCTCTTTCCTATAGGGTCCTTGGTCCTGGCGACCCATTGCTTTTCGTCTCTCTTACCGACAGGTATCTTGTAGCCTGTGGTCTGTGTGCAATAATATCTTGTGGCAAAATGGGAAATACAGTACAGTTTAACTTTGAATGTTAGAATGTTAGATATCTAACTTTGAATGATATATATGAGATTTTTAAAATACTGAAACTTTCCTTTTTCTTGGAATTCAGATGACTTTGTAGTTTGTTGTTTTTGTATTTTTTCATTTTCTAGGAGCATGGTTCCTTTTCTCTTGTTATCTTTTTATTATGACTTCCACATACACAGAAATAGTTCTCCTGTGGCAGCCAGTGAATTTATCCCCTGATGCATTCATCCCCAGATGGGAAAGTAAATAATGAAGTCCCAGTCTAGTAAAGGTTGGCATTAGGGGTCCTGATATTCCTGAAAGCAGGGATATGCTTATATTTCTTCTTTTTTAGAGGTGTGTGTAGTAACTTCATCTCCCAACATCCTTGTATCTGGGGCGGGAGTGACCACGCGTTTCCGCTTCTTGCCTTTGTCTTTATGGATAGTGTTTGCTTCCCCGTCCTTGCCTGCTGTTCCACGTTGATCTGTTTTGCTGTTGATGACAAAGGCCTGTTGCAGCCATGGTTTTGGCTTCCCCGAACCCCATCAGTGTTCTGGGAGCCTCTTCTGCTTAAATGCTCAGTCTTCCTTCCTGGTCTTCTCAATTAGAGAGCGTGGTGGAACCCCCCAGGATTTTCTTTGCATGTGGACACCTGTGTGTGAGGAGTCTCCTTGGCCAGTCCCTACACGGGGAGGGCTGGGACCCCCTCTGGCCAGACACGCCGCCCAGCTGGTGGGAAGCCTGTCCAGGGGCCCAGGTGGCAAGATCAGGGTGTAGACCCACGACCTGATGCTTGTGGATTTGTGGCGGGTGCCCCAACCAGACGCAGTCTCGCCGCCATGCACACAAGGGACGTGCAAGGACACGTGCCGTCTCTGGCTCCGGGGGGCCTGAGCCCCACACACAGCTTGGGGAGTGATGCCACCTGCAAAACATACCAGCAGCTTTCCCTCAGATTTCTGTAAGCTCATCTGATTATAGCAAGGGACGGCAAAGACAGACTTAGAATTAAAAATAGAGTTGTTTTCTTCTGTTTTCCTAAATAGTAACGCTGGGGATGAAAAATAATCTCAATTCTAATAATAATGATAATTCAAATAATTCTCCTGATTTTTCCTCTTTTTTGACCTTGTTTATTCCATACTCCATTTTTATGTCCTTGAAATGTGCTGTGATTTGGGTGTTGGTGTTGTTTTGGGGCAGTCCTTTATGCTCATCTCCCATGTAACTCCCTGTGGCTCACCGGATTGTTCCTTTGTTTTCTCTGGCTTCTGGACACTTCATTGGTTTTGAGTGATTTGATTTTAATGTGCCTTAGGGTAACTTTCCTTAGGTTTCTTGTGCTTCATTTTGTTGAACTAAGACCTCTGGCTTAATATTTTCTTAAAGTTTGGGAAATTTGGGGCCACTATTTCCTCAGATATCTTTTCTGGCCCTGCCCGCTGGTTTTTCTTCCCTCCTAAGGGGACTCTAGTTAGCTGCATATTTGGGTGCTTGGGGTGTCCTGTACGGGGCTCCCTGAGGCTCCTCTGGGTGTTTTTCTCATGTTCTATCTGGTCTCACACCGGTCTTGTCTTCAGGCCCTTGAATCTCATCCTCTGCAGTGTCCAGGCTGTCAGCCCAGCTTGCACTCTGTCATCACAACATGGTAGTTTCGTCTCTAAGTCTGACCTGGGTCTCTTTTTGGATCTTCTGTGTCTCTACTTAAGTGTTTGAGCACATGGAATATACCGTTGTGATGAATTCTGATGTCATTCTCTGCTAATTCTAAAATCCTGTCCATTCTAGGTCATTTTTGATCGCCTGGTTATACTCCTCATTATGGATCACAGATTGCTGCCTCTTTGCGTGTCTGGTCATCTTTGACTGGATGCCAGGCACACTGAAATGTTGGGTCCTGGGCCTTTCTGTGCTCCTGTAAATCTTTTTGAGCTTTATTTTGAGATAGGTTTAAATTGTGTGGGAAGTTTACTCTTGGATCTTGCATTTGCGATGTTAGTTGGGTTGGAGTGATGCTCCGTCTTGGGCTAACTGTTCCCATGACAGAGGCAGGGTGCCCCATGAGTTCCTGTTCTCCCTAGTTTGGGGGGAACAGTAACCATCCTTAGCCGTTTGTGGTGCCAAACACTGCCCTGTAACCCTTCCTGCCGATTCTCCCCTGGTCTCCAGGTGGGGTGGGGCTCCCCTCACACGCTGTTGACTGATGCCCTGCCGACTCCCCGAATCTCTAGAGCCCACCCCGGGCAGCTGTCTCTGGCGGGCTGCCCTGTAGACCCCTGCTGCTTCAGCTTCCCTGGACTCACAGCTCCTCCGGACTTGGGGTCTCTCTGCTGTACTGTGCCTCTCTTCCTTGTGCCCTGACCTGGACTGTCTCCCAGGGCAGTGGGCCAGTGTAGTGTTTGTCCCTGCCCCTTAGTTACTCTCCTCCAGTCCCTGCCCTTTGGTGTCTTGTCACTGCAACTGCACCAGGGTCTGACTCTTCTTTTCGTTGTTTGGGTGACAGGTATAAATGGGCCTAGTGCCCTGTTTTGCCAGAAGTGCAAGTATGTATTCCACAGCACATTGGTGCCTGTGCTAGGACGTGCTCCTGGAGCTCCGTGGGTCTCCAAGGCCGCCACGGCTTCCTTCCTCACCAGTTTCCCGCGCCTCTTGAAGGGTTTGGTGCCACAAGTCCTTCATGCATGTTTGTTAGGAGACCTGGTCCTTTGCTAGACACCTCGTGATCTGGAGGCTCGAGCTGTAATTCTTCCAGTTAACATTTATTAGACACCAGCTGTGGGCTCGTAAAACCCGAAAGCAGTGTGTCTCAAATTCAGCCTGCAGAATACAACCTGGAATGCTCAGAGTCTAATTTAATTTAGTAAATCAGAATATTAAAAATATATGGTCCTTGCATTTGAAACCAATGCAAGTCTGTTGTTTTTAGTACTGGAAACTGTCCCTCTCAAGGGAAGTGAGAGGCAGTGTGCCTGCTGTGAAGTCTAGCCCCGCTGACAGAAGCAGCGGCTGCTGACCCTGCAGGCACCAAGGCGTTGGGCCATTGGTGCCAAGTGCCTGGCCTGGCATCATCCTGAGAGCTCATGTCCTTGTCCTTCCCGATGCCCCAGAGGACACTGGGTGTCCTGGGTCTCATGTTTTAGGGTGGTAAAAGTAGTTTGCGAGCAGTCATGTGAAGGCAGTCATTTTGGTCACTTTTGCAAATCCCTTTAAGACCCCTGGGGCGTTCCATAGTAGATCACAGGAGGCCTGGGCCGTGTGTTTGGCTGCCCGTCTGGAGGGCTCCTGACTCCTCCATACTCTGCATCCCTGCCCCGAGCACAGGGGAAGGAAGTACCTGGTGAACAATTAGTGCCCTAGCAGACGAGCAAGTCAGCAAGTGATGGTCACGCCTGGTAGAGAGGCCTCAGGCAACAATGCTGCTGCCCGTGGTTTCCTCTGACTTTGTTCCCAGTGATGGACTGCAGGCTCCCCCGGCCTTGACTGACGCTTACGAGTTTCGTGGATGCTCGCATGTGTCTGCTGTCTGTGTGGGGCTCAAGGCTGGAGAAGGCCACTGCGAGTTGCTCACTTTGGTGTCTCACTACTTCCTGTTCTGCAGTGCGTTGAAGAGATCCTGGGGTATCTGAAATCCTGCTTCAGTCGGGAACCAGTGATGGCAACTGTTTGCGTTCAGCAGGTAAGAAAGTCCTTTCCTGGAAAGGACTTGTCCTGGAGAGCCATAGCTCCGGGCAGGAGGCTGTGATGCTACATGTCCCAGAGAAGTTGGTGCTGGGGGTGTGTTGGTGGCCCCCAGTCCTGTGTTGGCTCACTGTGTTACCGGGCAGAGGGGTCCCTTTCCCAGTCCCCTTCAGGAAGGGGAGGCCCACCACTGGCAAGGGCAGCTGGACTCTTGCCAGTGTCCCCCCAGGGTTTTGTTTGGAATGCTCGGTCTCGTTGAGAGCCACAGTGAAGTTGAGGCTCTGAGGTTCTTTTGTACTACTTACCTTGCCTGGCACCACCTGGTGTCACGTGCTGCTGATGGTGATTCTCAGCAAGGATTTCTGTCTGAATTTTGGCTGACATGCCCCATTAGCTTCAGCTGGGTAGACTCTGCCTGGGAAACGCTTTGTGTATTGTTCACGCTGTGTTCAGTCAGATGCTGATGGCTTCAACTCTCTCACTCTAGCTGTTGAAGACTCTCTTTGGGACCAACTTGGCCTCCCAGTTTGATGGCTTGTCGTCCAACCCCAGCAAGTCTCAGGGCCGAGCACAGCGTCTGGGCTCCTCCAGTGTGAGGCCGGGCTTGTACCACTACTGCTTCATGGCTCCATACACGCACTTCACCCAGGCCTTAGCTGATGCCAGCCTGAGGAACATGGTGCAGGCGGAGCAGGACCACGACCCCTCAGGGTAACCTTCCAGCTGTCCTGGCCGGGGTGCTCGTGTCGGTGGGTGGGGGTGGGGGCAGGACATCTCCAGTAGACACGTGACAGAGCGAGCGACGACAGTTTGTAAAAAGTAGAAAAAAAAATAGCCATGGTCTTCTCATACTCCCCTGTGTCTTTGGAAAGTGTGCTTGTTACCAAGACGCTGGATGCAAGGCCCTGCCTTCTAAGAAGTGTGTGTTCCAGTGAGTAAGATGGCGTATGGGGGACTGTGCGGCCTCGGGGACCAGGCCGGTGTGGGAACACCAGGCCCACTCCCTGGGAGGCTGCCGGGGCTGCGGTGTGGGATGTGGGATGTGAGACATGCTGGCCCCAGGCGCCGGTAGGGGGCACCGCTCAGGTGTGCCCTCAGGTTGGTGCAGTAGTGCTGGCATCTGAAGGTGTCTGAGGGGCACAGGAGTGTCTCCTGTAACAGTACTTGGCGTTTTATAACGTTGTGGCTAGAAGTCTCCATTTAAATTTATGGTTGTGTTTTTGGTGCCTGGAGTAGAGTAGTTGTTGCTAAAATTTCTCTAATTATTAGGAGGTATTTGAGGTACTGTTCAGTGGAGTAACAAGGGGATTCCTGGTTTTTTCCTTTACATGGGTAGCGATAAATAGCTGGTTAACCTACTAGAGTCAGAAGCCCAGGAAAATGCCCCTGTTCCAGGCTTTGCATTGGTGGCTTACCCACAGTATATCCAGTCCCCAGGAATCAGTCTCTTGAAATGCTTTGTTTAATGATATGGGGTATAAATAAGAAAGTAAGAAGCCTCTGTGTGTGTGTGTGTGTGTGTGTATGGTCATCTAACTTTGAATGTGTTTCTTGAAAAGCGTGTCATGATGTGACTATTTAAAGAACTTTCTTCTAAGAAAATCAAGTGAGCTCTTCAGAGTCACTGAATCTTTCCAGTGGGCATCCCCTTTCAGCCTCACTGCAGCCTGGGCTGGGTGGCGGTGGGTTTCCTGCGCCGGGCGAGCTCTCTCCAGGTGCCTGCTGCCCCAGACAAGGCTTGGGACGGCCGCCCCCTGCAGTCCCGCTGCAGTCCCACTGTCCGTGTTGAAAGGAGGGGATCCCACTGTGGGCGTGGCCCCCCAAGCCCTCTGGCTCCGAGTGTGGCTGGGGACACAGGAGAGGATTTAAGGCCACTCTTTGCTCCCGTTTTTCCATTCGGCAGGTGGTTTGATGTCCTTCAGAAGGTGTCTACCCAGTTGAAGACCAACCTCACAAGCGCCACGAAGAACCGCGCAGATAAGGTGAGTGGAGGCGGCAGGCTTGGGTGCTGGAAGGGAGGACGGGGCTTGGCGCCTCCCAGGTCGGGGGCTTCAAGTTTTCAGTTGAAGACTAACTTAAGATTTGTTCTTCCCCTTTTTTCCCTAGAATGCTATTCATAATCACATCCGCTTGTTTGAGCCTCTGGTTATTAAGGCTCTAAAACAGTACACGACCACTACGTCCGTGCAGCTGCAGAGGCAGGTGCTGGACCTACTGGCGCAGCTGGTGCAGTTACGGGTCAATTACTGTCTGCTGGACTCTGATCAGGTTGGTCCCTGGCGGCTTCTTTCTGCCCTAGCTGCTGGCGAGTCAGCACCAGTCACCTGTGAGAACCTGCAGGCTGCCTCCAGGGCACGGGCCTGCGCTGCTGCACCTTCCCGGGTTTTGGGCTAGCCGCCTGGGTGGGACTGGCTCCCGGTGGCCGTTACCCTCCCCACCCCAAGATAAGGGGATTTAAATTTTAAGATACAGTTAAGACTTAGTCTTGGGGGGAGGGGCATTTTTGCAAAATGCAGGGACTTATTTTGAACAGATTATCAATTCTGACATCTAGTTTCAAACAAGCTGACATCAGCGCTGTCTGTAAAGAAGACTTTGGTACAAGGCAGTGGGGGTTGGTGCCACGTCTCAAGAGGCCCTCCTGGCACCTGTCTGGCCAACACAGTGTGGACTTGCCGTGGTCAGCTGGGACTCAGCTGTGGGGAAGTGCTTCCAGAGTCCTAGGCCCCTGGGACGCTACAGATAAAGTTGTCTCTGAGTCATGGAAATGTGACTGTCATTGCTGGGCCATGACCTTGGCCTCCTTTCCTAAGTGAGGCGGGAAACGTTTGGTAGACGTGGTGTGTCTGTAGATCCTGCTACCACCAGCACTCACCTGAGAGGGTCTGTTGCCCAGAGCAACGAGGAAACCCGTTCAGGATGCTCATCTCCCTGTCGGCCTAGTAGGAAGCCGTCCTCTGATGAAGGAGGGCTTAAAGGACCGGCCTCATGGTGGCTGACATTTGGACTCATCCTCCTTTTGCCAGATTATCAGAACATCCTCTGGGAGGCCTGCTGCCGTCCTCGGGCAGATGCTCACTGGAGGGCAGTCAGGGACAACATGCCCTTTCCTCTGACACACGAGTCTTGGCGGGCAGAGGCCTTATCTGAAGCCTCGGGTGGTGGTGGCCCAGGGGGAGGCAGGGGCATGCCAACTGGGGCGTGAGGAATATGGGTACCCTGGGGGCTTTCTGGGCAGAATCTGGGGCCCACAGCAAGGGGTGCACCCCACCATCTCCTTGGCATCCAGTCTTGACTTCTCACGGGCAGAGCTCGATGTTCTCCTGCGGAAGTGAGAGGCTGCTCTCTTCCTGGGCTGGCTTCAGGGTGATCACATTCTCTCTTCAGTCTTCCTGCGTAGACTGTCTTCTTAGAAATGCTGTGATTTTTGGTGCTTCCGTCTGTGTGACTCCCGCCTCCACCTGATGCGTGGACATGGCAAGGGGCCAGCTTCAGAGCTCCTGCACAGCTGCCTCCCAGGCCCCCTCTCCCGGGCTGCTGCTGGTCTTTTCTTGCCATGAGTGCTCTAGACTCATATTTGTTCGGATTTGCTTGTGTCACTCAGGGCCCTTTCTCCCCAGTCCTGAGGGTTTCAGTACAGTGACCATAGGAAGCAAGAACAGGCAGACCATTTAATTCACTTCCCGTCGTGGTCTGCAGAGCGTCTGGTCTGTGTCTGTGTCGTGCCCTGGGGCTGGGAGCAGACTAGTGGTGCGTAAGCTCCAAGCTTGAGGTTGGGAGAGCGTAGGTGCTTGAAACAGAGTTGGACACAGTACTGGCTCTGAGCTAGTCCTGAAGAGCTATCTGTGCTCTCAGGGTCCCCTTCCCTGTCAGACAGCAGCCTTCCTGCATCAGCTCCTTTGAACATCGGGGTGTGGGGGGAGAGGGTGAGTGGACGTGGGCGTCTTCTCACCCAGCTGGTCTCGGGGCATCCGTGCTGCTTGGTGGGGAGCCAGAGCGAGCCAGCCCTGTGTGTGTCTCTGTGGGTCTGTTCCGTGTCTCCCGGGGTGCTCCCACCCGACCGTTCAGTGGGGCGTCCTGAGTCATCTCGTCTGATAGAATACGGCTGAGTTCTTGTGTGCACACACATGTTGGCTGCCAGGAACTGGTTAAAAATGGACAGAAATAAGTAGGGAGAAAAGCAACCTGGTTTGCATGTTGTAATTACTGATGTGAAAATTTTTATTTTCATGTAGGTGTTTATTGGATTCGTGCTGAAGCAGTTTGAATACATTGAAGTGGGACAGTTCAGGTAATGGCCTTTTGTTCTTTTAGACTCTGTGTCCTTATTAATGCACTTACATGGGACTTTAGATTATTAAGATGAACATTTACTTTAAAGAATTATGAACATTTTTGCTAGTTTTTTTTTAAGTGGAACTCTGATTAACATGCTGTGTGTTTTTATTTGTCTGAAAAATTGATAAGTGTCTCAAGACCCATTTAGAAATAGTTGTGCAGCTGGAATTAGACGTGTCCGTTCTCACATTTCAGAGCCTTTAATTATGAGAACAGATGGGTAATGCAGTCCCGTTGGCTGGGACGCTGATCGTTTTCTGAACTTCTTAGAGAGAACATGCTTTAGATGTGGCTTTGTTCAGCAAACGCGGTTACTGTGTACTTACCTGAGAGGGGCCGCAGAGCTCCCTTGCTGGACAGTGAAGCCTTAACATTCTCTCCTGGGCCAGTGACGGGTGTGTGAGTGTAGTTACGAAGATGAGATCTCTCTAGTGTCTGAGCTGAACAACCCAAGTCAGGGGTGTCCACCCCTCTGTGCTCAGAAATCTGCGTTTAGCTTGTGCCTCCCCAAAAAGCTAACTGCCAAGAGCCTGCTGTTCACCAAAAGCCTTACCGATAGCGTCAGCAGTCGGCTAACTTGCATGCTGTGTGTTCTGTGTATCGTGTGTATTCTTACAATAACGTCAGGAAGGCACTATGTGTTTATAGTTCAGTATTGTATTTATGAAAACCGTGCATGTAAGTGGACCCACGCAGCTCAAACCCATGCTGTCGGGGGTCAGCTGGACTAACTTCATGAGTAGTTGGGCTCAGCTGTCCTTTGTAAGTAGGTGAAGACCGATGCGTTCTCAGTGTCCCTTGGGACTAGAGACCCAGTATTTTTTTACTCTAATTAGGTGACATTTTGCCTATATGATTTGAGACCAGTTACTTTTTCTCCTTGGAGTCTAATTTCTTCAATTGAAGAGAAAAGGGGCAAGAAGAGAGCTCAGAAGATCGTACCTCAGGGTGCCCCGTGCTTTCTGGGGGCTCTCCCTCAGCCCTCCCCATTCACCCCTCCCTTCCATCCTCCTTCTCCCCTCATTCCCTGCTCACTCCCTCCCCTCAGTCTCTCCCCACTATCCCCCAGCCCAGCCCCCCTGTTCTGTCACTTTCTCTTTTGCTCTCAATTTGGAATCATGAGTAATTTCATGTTGTTTATATTGATCATGCATCTTAATTTTTAAAAGGAAGTATCTAAATGGATGTTTTTGTTTCTAGGGAATCAGAGGCAATTATTCCAAACATCTTTTTCTTCCTGGTATTACTATCTTATGAACGCTATCATTCAAAACAGATCATTGGAATTCCTAAAATCATTCAGCTGTGTGATGGCATCATGGCCAGTGGGAGGAAGGCTGTGACACATGGTAACGGGACAAACCTTTCCCTGTGGTCGTCAGTAATGATGTGCTGGACAGTGTCAGTCTTCATTACACCAACTTCCAACTGTGTCCATGGCTGCTCTGTGCTTTGTGGCTCTGTGTGCGTGCATGTGTGTATGTGCATGTATGCGTGTGCCTGTGTGTGCCTTGTGTGTGTGCCTCTGTGCGTGTGCATGAATGTGCACGCGCGCGTGCGTGTGTGTGTACACGTATGCATGGCTTAGAGATGTCATAAAAGGGAGAGAGCGCCCCCCCCACCATATCTCAGGAATTTATAATCTTCTAAGGTCAAAACACAAGAAAAGCAGGAAGGTGATCTGAGAGACAGATAGAGCCTGACATAAACACTCTCATCTAATTACACGAAATACAAGAAACTGAGAAATCCACCTTTTGGAAGGACACTTGGTGTGTTGTGTCCTGGTATGGGAAGGTCCTTCTGTGCTGCCTGGCTCTTTTCAGAGACCTCAGTGAGGAGCACAGACAGTGTGCCACTCTCAAGCAGGCCCCACCTGCGCAAGGAGACTGCGGTTCAAAGAATAAACTGTAAATCGTTGAACTTTTCAAACAGATCTTTCAGCGCTTTCCTCTTGACTCCTCTCTGGCTCTACTGTCAGGAACAGTAGGCTTTTGAACCTGGTGGGGGGACTTCCTCAGACCTTTGCAGACCCCACATGTGGGGAGGGCACTGTGACGTGCAGCCTTCTCTGTTCCACATGCTTGTGATAGAGCAGGTAACGTGTTGAGAGGGAGACACTCAGGGCCATCTGATCCTCACAGTCTCTGGAGTCGCCTTTGCCATGGCTTCACAAGGGCTGAGATTCATGCCACAGCAAAAGTTCACACTTGGACACGTATGGAATTTGTTGTCCATGGTGCAAATGTCAAATAGAGGGATGACAAAAGCCCCCTAGATTAGAGGGTCTTTGGATAGAAAATCAGTGGGCAGCCAAACCCTCGTACTTTCTATGGAAGACTTGGTTGGATAAAGACAAAGCTTGGGGGAAAGGCATTATCTAATGAAAGTGAGTTACTACTGAAATCGGCATAGAAACCTAATACTTTAAACACAGTCATCTCTTCAGGTAAATCTTTAAGTGGAGTACACATTAGAATAGGGTGTTGCTACTTTTAGTTAGAAGATTTTAGTTTGAATTTCACTTTTGAATTGTGTCTCTTTTTGTCAGAAGTGATGTTACATGACAGACACCCTAGTTTTTTTTTAAGATCTCATGGAGTTATCAGGAAGTGTCTGAGGAAGACCTGTGGCCTCCGTGGTGGCACACTGATAATTCATAGCACTCAGGGCTAGCCTGAATGCATCCCGTATCAGAAGCTGTGCGCGGATTAGGGTTTTTTATTTTTTGGACACGTTTTGGAGGTGTTAAGCTGTGTCTGCAGTCTCATGGTTTGTGATCCTTCTGACCCTCCTTTTGTGCCCCACAGCCATTCCAGCTCTGCAGCCAATAGTGCATGACCTCTTTGTACTGAGAGGGACCAACAAAGCCGACGCTGGAAAAGAGCTTGAAACCCAAAAAGAGGTGGTGGTGTCGATGCTGCTGAGACTCGTCCAGCATCATCAGGTAAGAGAGGGGGCAGTCCCAGCAGGGGCAGGAGGAAATGACCTGTGGCCCACTGTCCGCTAATTCGCGGGTGATCCTTCATGCTGCCCGGGGCGCTCAGTTTGGGGAGCTGCCAGGGAGGGCTAGGCTTGTGGGGTTTGATTTAAAGCTGTATGGCCACCTAGGGACGTTGACTGCCACCTGGCTGACAGTCACTAGGTCATTCAAGGACGTTAATAAATTGGAGACCCTCTTCTCCAAAATCTGTTAATTGCCATTGATCAGAATGATAGAATTCTAAAAGATGATTTGAAAAATCCCACATCTGAGGGGTGCCTGGGTGGCTCAGTCAGTGAAGCATCTGATTTCAGCTCAGATTGTGATCCTGGGGTCCTGGGATCAAGTCCCTCATCGGGCTTCCTGCTCAGCAGGGAGTTTGTTCCTCTCCCTCGGCCCCTCTCCCATCTTGTGCTCTGTCTCTTTCAAATAAATAAAATCTTTAAAAAAAAAAACCCTCACATCTGAAATAATCTGAAGACTTTAGCTTGTACATCCATCCACGTGTTGAAGCAAGGCAAGGCTGTTCTCCTTTGTGCGGAGTGAGGTTTTGTTTTCCTTAAGGTGGAGCAGTTTCGGGCCGATCAGGGGGCCTCAGTGCAGAGATGTAGCTCACAGTGATGCCGCCACTCTTAGCGTGCACGCTTGCCGGCCCTCGCTGTTGCGTAATTCTTGGTAGCTGTTTTTGAATATTAAAGTCCTAAGCTTTTCTCGTGGAGACACTTTCTTTATGCATTCTCATTTTGGTTAATCTGTGTAATGTTTAGTTAAATGCTTACTGTTTAATTAAATCCCATAATTACAATGAAAAGTACAAAGCACCCTGGGTTGAAGGGAGGCCCGGGGAGTGTACTCGGGGAGCTCGTCATCTGCTTCTTGAGAGGACAGAGAGGGTCGGCTAGGATTTGCCGAGGAGAGTCAGAATGGAGTGCAGATCCCCCCTCTTGTGGGAGAATGCTGCCAAGCGCACTGAGCCGAGGCATGGCTATAGCGGCGCAGGCTTCTTACAGGGTGGGCCTGGATTGGCTTGGCTCTCTCTGTAGTACTCCTGGTGAACAGGCCAGGCCGCCGGGCATTTTCATCAACAAGCAGCTGATAAGTATTTTCAGTTTTGCCTGTTCTTGGGCATTGGTTGCCATAATCCAGGTTGGCTGCTCGGGACAAAAGCTGTCCCAACCAGTGTGCCGATCAAACTTATTTACCAAAACAGATTTAGCTGTCTCTGCTCAGAACTGATCACTCATAAATTCGTGCTCGACCCTGGGTAACTTTTTTCTGACAGTAAGTGCGGCTCAGTAGGAGGTTAGCTTTGCGAAGATCAGGGTTGAAATAAATGTAGACGAAAGTCAGGAGGCATCTGCGGGCTAGTCAGGGCTGTGTTTGCATTTTTTCAAAGGTTAGTATAAATTTGATTTTCTTTTTGTGCCTTTTGTTTGATTGTGAAATCTTGTAAACCCCATAGAAGCATAGAAATATAATGATAGCTCGTGTTCCCAAGGAGTGGGCAGTTGGAGTGTGCCCCTTGCGTTTTCTTCTGGTTTCCCGTGTGTCCCGTGTCCCGTGGGCCAGGCTGGCATTGGGTACATCAGGCCCTCACCAGGGATCGTGTTTGCCTCGTGGAGCCCTCCTGCTGAGCTGGGGTCTGTGCAGCAGGCAGGCACGTGTGATCTGTGAGCACTCTGACCGCACCCCCCCCAACTCCCCCTGCAGGTGCTGGAGATGTTCATCCTGGTCTTGCAGCAGTGCCACAAGGAGAACGAAGACAAATGGAAGCGACTGTCCCGGCAGATCGCCGACGTCATCCTCCCGATGTTAGCCAAGCAGCAGGTTTGTCCCCGTCTGCTTCATTCTGTGGGGTCCCTGGGGCACCTTCCTAAGTGGCAAAGATTCCTGTAGGAGATGGCACTTGGGATTGGCATTTTACTGAGTCGTAACAAACTCAGTTTCTGGTCGTCCTCAGTGCCACTCAACAGGGCAAGGATTTCATTCATTCTCAGTGACCTTCTTGGGTTGCTGTGTCTCCTGCTTCCCAAGAGCGGAGCCCACGCCTGCCCAGAGCTGCATGGCCGGAGATTGCTGGGGCCAAGGCGGAGCCAGCCTGTCTTGGTCCAGAGCCGTGTCCTTTCCCGTCTGGCTGCCCTCCTGCCCTCGTTCTGCTCAGACAGGCATTGGTACTTGATCTTGAGGTGTTTGTTGTCCCTGATCACCTGTGATCCATCATTTAAGCAGAACTTCTGTAATTGAGCAATGTGATCAGGTGTTTCCATAACTGCAGTGGAGTGAGGTGATGGCCATGCTATGGGGCATGGAGCCCACTCGATACAGCTTCTGAACCATGTCTGCCACTGGGTGTCCAAGGATAGGGTGCCCTGTGCAGGTGCAGCAGCACCTTCGTAAATGCAGTGTTGGTGTCCCAGGGCGGCAGGGGGTGCCACTGCTGCCCCGCCAGGAACCTCACCAGTGGTCAGCAGGCCTCTGGGCCTCAAGTGCTTTGGATGCGGCCAGGAGGTACTGTTGGTTCATCCCAATTGTCCCAGTGGAGGAAGCAATTACTCTGGGGGACAGGCAGTGTCCGTGACTGTTGGCAGCTGGTGCAAATGTGTAGACAGGGTGCGGTAGTCATTACTGTCTTCGTAGCTTTAGCTCCATGCTGGGTCCTGATGGACTTGTCATCGAGCAGCCACGTTATAGGGAGGGAGTCTTGACTTCCAGTGACACTGACAGAGGGCAGTTTTGATAAGTTAGTGAATGTGGTGTTTTAACATGGTCTTGGGTTCCATGCCTGTGGATCTGTATTTTTAGAACACTGTTCCAGAAACTTTATTCCAGTCTCTCATTTGTCTTGTACACAATCTAAGGAAGGTGGGGCTGGAAGGCTTGGTGACTGTGCAGGTGACCCCCACCCCCGTGAAGCCGTGTGAACTGCCACACGGGATCCGCTGGGTGGCTTGTGCGGGTGCACGCTGCACGCACAATGGTGGGGGCCCTTTTCAGTACAAGCAGTCAATATGGAATGAACAGAGCTGGCGAAAAGCCTGGCCCCAGGGAGTCACAGTTTCACTGGATGGAGGTGGAGGAGATCCACCACAGAAGTAACTCGGTGACGTGTGTGAGACCCCAGACAGCAGACACTGTGTGGGGTGGGCCAAGGAGAGACAACAGGTGGCAGTGTCCAGGCAGGGCTGTGTTGCTCAGTTTGTGTAAGCTTGACCTGGGTAAGAGCTTTCTAGGCAGAGAAAGCAGCAGTGCAGGCCCTAAGGTATGGGAGCATGCCCACTGTGATCAGAGAATGTTGAGAGGCCGTGCGCGTGGAGCAGGGAGGATGGCCAGGGTCTGGGGGCCGTGGATGGCCTCTCTGGCTGGTGTGGAGGACTTGGAGGAGCCTGTCAGGGGTTTGGTACAAAGCAGTGGCGTGGTGTGCTTTGGGGGCTGAGGATCGCCGCAGGGTGGGACTGAGGGCTGAGCAGGGGCACCGGCCTGTGGCACGGAGGTCGTGGGCCCCAGGGTGAGGAGTGAAGGGGCGAGTAGTAACTGCCTGCCACAGATGGTGTGGAGCAGAGCTGGGAAGTTTGGCCTGACTTCACAGGGATGGGAGGAGGGGCGCTCATGGATGATGGGCCTCCCATCTGCCGAGATGGGGGGATGAGGAGGAGAGATCCTGGTCTGGGTGTGTGTGGCCGGCAACCTGGGAGGCACTCTGGGGAGGCTGAGGTCGGCGTTTGGATGCACGAGTCTGCAGTTGTCAAGATGGAGCTGAGTAGAGGTGAACACTGGGATGGGAAGAGGTAACTGTGGGACCCTGTGTAGCTGGGAAGGAGGGCAAGGTGAGCTCTGAGCTTAGAGGCGGAGCCTGTGGAGGAGGCAGGGAAGGAAGAGCAGGTGAGTGGCAGTGTCGAAGCTAAGAAAGGAAGGCATCTTGTGGAGGAGTCAGCTCTCAGCTGCTCACCGGCTGAGCACATGAGCTGGGAGCCACCCATGCATTTGGCAGACTGGTGGACACCGGGGAGCGGTTTGGATGGGTGTGGAAACCTCGCTCAGGAGTGATGGGAGAGAGGCCTAGGCAAGAAATAGGCTCTGAGAAGGAATAGAAGCGATGTGGCAGCCAGAGGTGGAAAGAGGTCAGGCAGTGCATGTGCGTACACTGAGGCCAAAGGCAGAGGTTACTGCCCTCATAGGGCTGGGCCTGGCCCTGGCTGTGGGTCTCGTGTATGCCTGCTAAAGACCCAGAAGAGGCAGAGCTGGTGGGGCAGGTGCAGGCCGGGGTGGATGCCAGCAGTGTGGAAGCTCTCCAGTGGCTCTCTTGACCATGGAGGTGGGTCCCCTGAGAAGAGCGCATCTCTCCAGACAGGTGAGACGGGCTCCCTGGCTAGGGACGCGCTCTGCGGGAAGAGCGGAGCCCGGCAGGAAGGCATTGCTTCAACACACTGAGGGAGACACTAAGCTCAGAATAGTTTGCATCCGTTAAAAACGTTAGATTTCAAATTCTGTTGCCTTGGGAGTTCTCCATTCCATTCCATTTTTAAGGAAGAAAGCAGAGACGTTCATAACAAGATATTTCAAAATAACTTAAACAAAAACCTCTCTACATGTGTGGATATAGGATTATAGGAACATGGAGAAAGATTAAGAGAAATACAGTTGATCCTTGAACAGCATGAGTTCGAACTGTGCAGACCCACAGTCTGTCATCTATTTCCTCTTCATTATGATTTTCTTAATCACACTTTGTTCTCTTACTTACTGTATTGTAAGAATGCTGTATGTAATCTGTATGCAAAATATGTGTCAATTAGCTGTTTCTGTTACTGGTTAGTTTTTGGTTGTCAGTAAGCTAGTAGTAGTTCGTTTGGGGAAGCCAGTGTTACACAGGAATGTTCAGCTCTGTGGGGGTGGGTGCCTCTGACCCTCATGTTGCTCAAAAGTCAGCTGTACGCCTGTTTATTAACTTTTGGTTTAAGTAGGAATGGGGTGCAAATAAAGCAAAGAAAGGAAAAGAGTGTGTGTGATTTCTCCTATCGGTAAATTCTGTGTGTGTATAGAGAGAGAGGCATGAGAGACGGTCCGGGAGTGTGGGTAGTGCTCATATCAAGTGCTGGGATTCCAGCTGGTTTTTCCATACTGTTAAATGTTTCAATCTTTTACAGAAAATGTACATTGTTTATATAATAAAAATTTAAATGAAAAGATTTCCCTTGTGGGTAAAATGTAGCTGCTACAGTGTTCTAAAAACTGTGTGCCTGGTTCCCTACTAAGGACGCTTTTAAAGGCAGGGGTGGTAAGGCTTGGATGGTCAAGGTCATCTGGCCTACAGGTGCCTAACTTGACGTAGAAATGTTGACCTTTTTTTGGCTTTGTGATGTTTAACTGCAACAGATGCACATTGATTCTCATGAAGCCCTTGGAGTGTTAAATACTTTATTTGAGATTCTGGCCCCTTCCTCCCTCCGTCCCGTGGACATGCTATTACGGAGTATGTTTGTCACTCCAGATACAATGGTGAGTGTCTTGCCTCGTGGTGACCCCTTTGATGTGTGACTGTGCAGTGAAGTGTTCATCAGAGTTAGCTGGGAACTCAGACTGGCAGGGTAGGGTCTGGGAATTTGCATTTTATTTTGTTTTATTTTATTTTTTTAAGATTTTATTTATTTATTTGAGAGAGAGACAGTGAGAGAGAGCATGAGCAAGGAGAAGGTCAGAGGGAGAAGCAGACTCCCAATGGAGCTGGGAGCCTGATGCGGGACTCGATCCCGGGACTCCGGGATCATGACCTGAGCCGAAGGCAGTCGTCCAACCAACTAAGCCACCCAGGCGTCCCGGGAATTTGCATTTTAAACAGGTTCCCAGGTGGTATTGATGCTGCTTATCTGGGACCACATTTTTAAACTGATGATAATTTATTGGCTTTATTGATAAAATGATAAAATAGGGGTAATTTTCATCCATGAGACTGGCACTCAGGAAAAATGTGATTCTCTCGTTTGTTTTTATTGTGATACTAGCTTTATGGTAAGTTTTTTTTTTTTATTATTCTCTTTTTATTTAACTGTCACTTATTTTCTGTCTTTTAGGCATCTGTAAGCACTGTTCAACTGTGGATCTCAGGAATCCTAGCCATTTTGAGGGTTCTGATTTCCCAGTCAACTGAAGATATTGTTCTCTCTCGTATTCAGGAGCTCTCCTTCTCCCCATATTTAATCTGCTGTCCAGTAATTAATAGGTTAAGAGACGGGGACAGTACTTCAACACCGGAAGAACATAGTGAAGGAAGGCAAATCAAGAGTTTGCCAGAGGAAACGTTTTCAAGGTATGCTGTCTATTCAAGTCTTTACCCATCCCATGGCCTTTAGGAAGTCACATTTTGTGAACAGTAAGTCTGCAGTAGCTCCTGATCTTGCTGCAGTGCTGTAATTGGGGGTAAAGTAGTCTGCGTGGGTATGCTTTCTATTCCCGACCTGCCTCATCTGTGGCACTGGGTTCATGTCTTAGAGTTCAGTCCCGTATCCTTGTTAAGGACCACATAGTGGCTCACCATGGCAGTGCAGGCTGAGGCCAGTCTGACCTAGGTGCCAGCAGTAAGGATGCGTGTTGTGTTGCCTGCAAAGAATTTAAAAATCTCTGAAAATCCCCTAAAAGTCTCATTTTTATTCTCATGTGTGCGTGCCATTCTAAACAATCAGTAATAAAATCTTTCCTCCTGCCAGGGTGACTGTTTCCACTGTGTCCCCTTGGTGTACTTGTGGTAGCAAATCGTGTCTACCCTCACAAATTATTTGGAAGCTCCTTGAGGGTAGATCAAAAGTCACGCCTAGTAAATGCTTATTGCCTAGACAAGTGTGTGTCCACCTTCCCTGGATCCGGGGAGTGAGGTAGAGCTGGTGGGATGTCCCATGAGTGTGGTTTATGCAGCTGTGCTCCTTCCAGGCGGGCCCACGGAAAATCCATTCAGCCTTCTGTTTATTGGTCATTGGTGGGGGTGCCTGTGCATTTGTGAAGAGAAATCCGGTAAACCTGCCCAACACCCTTTTGTTTGCAGATTCAGCAAACAGAGGTAGCCTGTGGCTCCCTCTGCCACAGCTAAGCGGGGGGCTGAAGTGGATCATGCACTAAATTCCTACGTGGATTGTTGTCTTGGACTTCTGTGATGCTTCATGGTTTGCAGGGCTTTAAACTAACTGCCCTGCGGGTGATATGTTTACTGCCATCTCATAAGTGAGGCAGGTAATACAGAGAGGGAAAGGGACTTAATACAAAGAGATGGTATTAAATGTTGCACTTTGTTTACTTAGGTTTTTGCTCCAGCTCTGTCTACCGTACATACGTATTTTTACAGTAGACCTCATGTAAGTGCCCTGAAACAGTCACCTAATTGATGTCAGACTTTTCCCTTTCTTTGAAGGTTTCTACTACAACTAGTTGGCATTCTTTTGGAGGATATTGTTACAAAGCAGCTCAAAGTGGAAATGAGTGAACAGCAACATACTTTCTATTGTCAAGAGCTAGGCACGCTGCTAATGTGTCTGATTCACATCTTCAAGTCTGGTAGGTGCTTCAGACTGGTCTTCACAGAGCATCTGTTTTTTCCGCGTCCTGTACTGTATGCTGTCTGAGGTAGGGACTTTGCTGCCTGGTGTAAGCTCTGTGGTGCATAATGTACATTTGAGAAGGTTTTGTTGGGGCACCTGGGTGGCTCAGCCGGTTAAGCATCTGCTTTCGGTTTGGGTCATGATCCCAGGGTCCTGGGATGGAGCCCCATGTCGGCCTCCCTGCTCAGTGGGGAGCCTGCTCCCCCCACCCCCGCTCATGCTCTCTCTCTTTCTCTCTCTTAAATAAATAAAAAGTCATACAATTTTTAAAAATCTTGAAAAGTCATACAATCTTAAAAAGTCATATAATTTTTAAAAAATTGAAAATGTTTTATTGGTGAGAAAAAGTAAACCTGAGGGCTTCCTCCTCTCTTCAACATTTGGAAGCCCAAGATATTTTTGTACTTTCACATGTGATTGTGAATTAAAAAGGACAGTGAACCCAAGAGAGAGGAGTCACAAGAAGGCAGCCTTGCAGCATGCATAGGAAGCACGAAGTCCATATTAGGACAGTCCTTTCTAAAGAGGAATGAGTGTTCTTGAGAAGAATGCCTTGGCTTAGATTAAATGGGTGAGAAGCTGGAAGACTTTAGTTATGGGCTACTGCTCGCTCTTCTTTCAGCAAGAAAAGTGAGAGGCAGTTCTGATCTCCAGGAAAAACAAACAGCAAGGAAGTCATGGTCCAAATACAAAGCAAACCAAAGCATGATGTGATTTTCAACAATCAGTCTGATTGAAAGCCTTGACTTTAAGAAGCTGCTTTAAGTGGCTCAGGGGTCGTGACCAAGGACATATAGGAAATGTTGTTCATGTTTCTTGACTTTGTGGGAAACTATATTCACATAATTATAAATGCTATTTGATTTTTCAATTGAGTTTAAGTCAATGTGTGAATAAAACATTGAAGACTTATCTAATTTTGGTTTCAGAACAGAATGAAAATGTTTTTATTTTTAAGAAAAATAAAAGGGAAACTAACCAACTTAATTTGGGAGTGGAAGATAGAGAAGAAGGTGGAGGGACAGAAGGGTCACTAATCTCATCTTGCATTGTGGGGATTATACAGTCCTATCTAAAGTTGACACAACAGGAAATAGAGGCTACAGAGGTAACTAAGTAGGACAAAAATGGAACTTAAATGGATAGGTGCCATGAGTGAGGTACATCTCATCTCTAATAGGGTAGAATCTGGAACCATCACTCAGGAGGACCCTGTCCTACGCTAGAACAAGAAAAGGAATGACTGCTTAGAGTTCACTGTTCTTGTTAGGTATGACGGCATCAGTCGTGTTCATTCTGTTGCCCTGTCGAGTATTTCCATGTTTCAACTCTGATCTGTGTTGGCTCTGTTCTCTGGTGGGCTCCTTCCCCATGGCAGGAAGGATGACCCCCGGGCACCTGTGGTCTGAGCCCCGGTGTGAGTCCTGTGAGTTCTGGGAGCTGGGCTACGTGGGCCCGGTGAGATATCGGGCAGCACCTGCTGAGAGGGAGCGATGGCCACTTCCTCATGAGGGCAAGAGGAGCAGATAGAATAATAGATGGGCTGCTACAGCTGATAAAAGTATGTCAGATTGAACTTCGGAGGTGACTGTCAGAACTAGAAGCAGGACAGCAGTTGCCTGAAAAGGGATGGGGCAGGGCATTTGTAAAATCAGAAGCCCCTCTCTATTATTGGACTTTTAAGTCGTGTCCATATTACTTGAGTACAAATGAAAACACGCACACGCACCAAGTAGGTCCCGAGGGGAGGAGACTGTGCTTATCTCCAGCCTCTCTTCGCTTGGCAAAGAGGCATCAGGTGAGCCTGCCGCAGGCCGCGCACCAGGGCTATGGTGCTCAGGAGGGCTGGTGTGCCTCTTGCCTTTGTGGAGCTCGCAGGCCAGTGGGGAGGATGATACACAGGCAGGGACTCTTGAGTCTGGAAGTTTCCTGTGAAGGAAGCAAGTAGCGCAGCGATAGGCAGAATGGGGGTGGGGAGGGAGGACAGGGTCCCTGGGAGGCGATGTTAAGCTAAGGCCCAAAGGCGAGATGCCATGCTCTGCCAGATGGCTGCTGAGAGCGCCCAGGTGAGGGTCAGAAGGGTGAGGGTCAGAGGGCGACCGGGGAGGCGGGCAGGGGTGGGGGGCATGTAGAAGGAGGCGTCTTCGTGGCTGCTCATTTAATTGCTATTGCCCTCGGACAGGGGCATGGCCAGAATTTAATTATCAAGTGGACTCAAGAGCTTCAAGCCCTCTTCATTACTAATATTGGAAGAATATTTGTTTTGAAGAACTTTTTGATTTATGCTTCACTGACACACTATAATAAGTTTAAAGTTGAGGAAAGACTTAAGCTACATGAGTAATAGGTCACTTGTATGTCGGTCATTCTGATACTTGGCCGCTGACTGGTCTGGATCTGATAGCAGAAGGACACCGTTCATGTCTAAGGGCTGCTTGCTTCCCTCTTTGGACAGGGGTGACCTCCTGCGCATCCTGTGGAGTTCCATGCCATTCCAGGTGCACGTGGACTCACCCCCTTGCCTCCTCCTGTTCCTCAGCTCAGATATCAGGGGAAGCGTGTGTGGTCCACGGCAGCACCGCCCACGAGGGCTGCCTGCTTCATGGGAACATTCTGTGTCGGCCGTAGTTCAGTTGCCTCCAGCCATGTGTGGTTTTGGGCACTTGGAATGTGGCTAGGGTGGATTAAGGAGCTACTTTTTAATTTTATTTATTTTAATTGACTTAAATTTGAATGGCCCCGTGTGACCAGTGGTCGCTTTATCAGACAGGACAGGGTATGGGGGCAGAGCTCAGGCCTTGGTACTGGCCACATGGCCACGTGGGCTTTGCGCAGTGTCTGTTCCTGCTGTCGTGTGGTTCAGTGTTTGCAGAGAAGGTGTCTGTGTTTCTGAGCGTCTGTCTCTATGTCGTTTATTTTGACCACATTTCCGCTAATGATACTAAGCGGCAGAATTAACTGTTTTTGATTTTGAGGTAAGAGTTTAAGTAAATCATCTTGTACTTCTATGTTAAAGAGGTGCATAGAACATACAAAGTTGGTGATTTTATTTATGCTTTGCCTAAAAAAAAGACAGTGAATTCCAGCCCTCCACTGAAAATTGCGATCTTCGAGAACAGTTCTTCCTGCAGCAGTAAGATTGGCCTTGGTTCAGACTTGGGCAAAGACGAGGATGGCCACCCTGCCGGGAATCACAGTGTTCGCGATGGTACCCCCTATCAGTCCTTAGGACAGATCTGCGAAATAGCCCCCCTTTCCCCTGAAGAGAGGGTTTAGGCTCTAGAAGTTCCCGTGATAAAACCGAGATTGCAAACCAGCCATTGTTTCTTGCCCTTTGTTCGTTCTCTTACGCCACACCGCTGCTCGGTTGCTCATGGTGCAGTCGGTGGCTCCCGTGTGCAGAGCAATTCCTGAGCGACGTGGGGCTGCCACCAGCAGCCCTGCTTCCCATGCTCCTGGTCTCCGGGAGCCTTCCTGGCTCAGGTGCTCATCTGTGCTTTGTCACTGTCCCTTGGCCCCAGGCCCTGTTCCTTCTCCCAGGTCCCAACTCTCCTGGCTTCCCTTGCCTCCCAGTCACATCAGACATCATCTGGACTGTGGGCCCTGCTTTCTTCCTATCTCAGCCTGTGGTCGCTGCTCAGAAGACCGGGAGGCGAGACCTTGCCCCGCGCCTCCTCCCGTCCAGGACCAGTACCCACACTCCCCACCTGTTAATTCAGGTCGTGGAGCAATTTTAACAAGGGGACAGCAGCATTTCAATGGCTTACCACAGCAGAGGGCTGCTTTTGTATCTGTGCCCATGCAGGAGGCTGTTCCTGGTCCCTGCTGGCTCTTCTCCATGTGAAGATTCGAGCCCAGGCCTCTCTCTTTCCTGGGGCTCAGCTGCCTGGGGCAAAGCACCCTGGCCTCGCTGGTTGAGGAGGGGAGGGAAGAGAGAAGAGGCTTCATTGCCTTGGGCTAAAAGTGACCCACATCCCTTTTGCTTGTGTTTCTGTGGTGCAGCTCTTGGCAGCCCCCACCCAGGGGCTCATTCACCCCAGTGGGTGACTGCTTCCCTGCGACAGCCCTGTGGGCGGAGGGGACAGACCTTCGGGGCAAAGCCGTAAGGATGACAGCCAGGAGTTTCCAGGGGATGGACAGCAGAGGCAGGCGTCGGACAGCAGAGGCAGGCGTCATAGCAGGATCAGCTGTGCCATCAGCCATCTGCCAAGGGCACCGGGTGGGCCAGGGGCCTTTCTAGAGCCTTCGCTGCTCTGTGGGCATCCCCACCATCCTCGTGCTCTGCCAGGGGGCAGAGCATCTCCACAGGCGTTGCCCACACCCCTCCCTCACCTGGGGGTTGACTTATCTCTAGACCAAGAGGAACAGCCCTGTGACCCTTCCTCCCATCCCCCCCCCCCCCTGTCTGCTCTTGCCCTGATCATCTCCTGCCAGTTTGCATCTTGAGTCTTCCCTGAGTGTGCTCACCAGTCCCTGTTGCACTGGGGAGCAGCATGCACGTTGGGCTTTCCATCTGGCCTGCTGCCGTGCAGATCAGCCTGTCTCTAATGGGGAACAACCCGTCCTGTCTTACCGTCCTTGCTCTGCGGCTTCCTTTGTTCCCTTGCCCGCGTTTACTACATGGCTTTTCAAAGTCAGTGTCTCTGGAGTTTATTCCTGTTGTTTCTCAAGCTGGGATTTCCCTCTGGATTCTCCCCCCATAGCCCTTTGACCAGGAGTGGCGTGCGAGGCCCCATGTGCTCTGTCCTGCGTCCTCACCTTGAGGGCACCAGGCCTGAGCATGGGGGACTGAGCCTCTCACCTCTTGGCTCGATCATTTTTTTTTCCCAGCCTCCTAGTTACATGCGTCCCTGCCTTCTGTCTGCCCAACCCCGGCTTTACTGATGTAGAACTGAGCACAGAACGCTGTGTTGCCGAAGGGGCACAACAGAGTGAGGGGATGTGTGAGCTTGTTGTGGAATGATCTCCACAGTAAGCTCAGGTACCGTCCATCCCGCATATAGGTAGACATCTTCTTTTTCCTTAGATGAGAACTCTGAAGATCCGCTCTTTCAGCAACATTCAAGAACATCATAGAGCAGAGTTAAGCACGGTCATCATGTTGTACCTGACAGCTCAGAACTTACACCTGGAAATTTGTGCTCTTGACCTCCTTCTCTCCGTTCCCCCCCACCTCCCCGGGCTCTGGCAGCCACCAGTTTGTTCTCTGCATCAGAGTTGGGTGTTTTGAGATTCCCCATGTATGTGAGATCACACAGTATTTGCCTTTTTTTGTCTGACTTATTTCCTATAACATAGTGCCCTCGGGGTCTGTCCATGTTGTCAGAAATGGCAGGATTTCCTTCCTTTTTATGGTAAATAATATTCCATTGTGTGTTTGCCCCCATCTTTATCCGTTCATATGCTGTTGGACACTTAACGTTGTCTCCGTGTCTTGCTATTATACACGGGGATGCGATTTTGTTTCCATCAGGTAAATGCTCAGTAGCGGAATTACTGGATCACGTGGAGGTTCTGTTTTTTAACTTTCTACGGAAGCGCCACACTGTTTTCCATCACGGCTGCCCCAGTTTGTGTGCCGACCAGTAGCACAAAAGGGTTCCCCTTCCTCCATGTCCTTGCCAGCACTTGCCTTTATGATCCTAGCTTTTCTAGCAGGTGGTGGGTGGTATCTCGCTACGGTTGGGATTCCCACTTCCCTGATGAGATGCCCATCATCTTTCCGTGTGCCTCTGGGCCATCTGTGTGTCTTCTTTGGAAAAACGTCTGTGTAGGTCTTTTGCTCATTTATAATTGGATTCTTTAGGGGGTTTTTTTTGCTGTTGAGTTGTAGGAGTTCTTTAGATATTTCGGATACTAGCCTCTTGTCAGGTGTATAATTTATGGGTATTTGGTTCTGTGGGTTGTCTTTTCATTTCATTGGTCATTTCCTCTGCTGTGCAGAAGCTTTCACTTGGAGGCAATCCCCCCGTTCATCTTCATCTTTCCTTCTGTTGCTGGTGGTTTAGGTGACACAGCCAGACAAATTGTTGCCACTACCCAGGTCAGAAGTCTTGCCCTCTGCTTTCTTCCAGGCTCTCTGTGCTTTCAGGTTCCACATTTAAGTCTCACTGATGGTGAGGTAGTTGCTGTTAGTGAAGGAAGGGGTCCAGTTTTATTTTTTTGTCAGTGAATATCCAGTTTTCCTAACACCATTTATTGAAGAGAAGTCTTTTCTTTATCATCGAGTATTCTCTGTCCTGGTTTCCATGCTGATCTGTGTTCTCTCTCTTCCACTGTCTCTGCCTCTGTCCCTCTCCCTGTCCCCCTCCTCTCGCTCAATAGGATTGTCCCCTTAGTGGCCTGGCCCAGTTGTTGCTGCAGAGCCTAGGTCACCACACTGACCTGGCTGCCTTGGGCTCTCATGTCCATTCTCCTTCTAGCCTATGACTTGGTGTCTTGCCAGCCCCTCACACTCGTGATAAAGATTGAACTCGTCACCTAGCATGGCCTCCCAACTCTGGCTTCTTCTGTCCTCCCAACTCTAGCTTCTTCTGGCCAACGTGCTCCACACTATCGTGGATGTTCAAACCCCAACATCGCTGTGGGGACACCTGGGTGGCTCAGTCAGTTGGGTGGCTGCCTTTTGCTCAGGTCATGATCCCAAGGTTCTGGGACCAAGCCCTGCTTCGGGCTCCCTGCTCAGTGGGCAGTCTGCTTCTCCCTCTCCTTCTGGCTGCTGCTCTGCCTACTTGGGATCTCTCTCTAATAAATAAATAAAATTTTTAAAAACAAAACAAAACAAAACAGCGTTGCTGTGGTCTCCCTGCCCCAGCGAACCACCTGACTTCTCGCTGCTCTCGTGGCCCCTCCAGAGGCCATGCAACTGTTCCTCACAGCCCCCCAGCAGCAGCCCTGCTTGCTGGTCCTTGCTTTGCCCAGCACCCTACTGAGCCCTTCACTCCGGTTTTACTCTTGGATCCTATTGCAGCCCTGTGCGCAGTTACTGCTCTTAATTCCATTTTGCAGGTAAGAAAGCTGAGACCCCAGATAATGTAGTGCTAGGGCCAACTAAATGGTAGAGCCATAGCTCTGACCATGATTTTCCATCCTGTTGAGTAATACCCCACAGCAGTACTCTCTCATTCCCTCTGCTCTGTGGCCTGGCTCCCCATTCCTTCATGGCAGCACCTGCCTGCCTCTTCCCTTGGGTCCATTGGCCCTACAAGGAGCCCACACAGTAATGAGGGGTACAGAGAAGGACCGGGCCCAGGCTGGGTGGGCCAGAGGTGGGTGATGCTGTCCACACAGCACCCAGAGAAGACCCTGGAAAATGGGGCCAGAGACCAGGCGAGCAGTGGACATCTTCTCATTGGAACTACTGTTCTGAATATGTGTGTTCTGCTCCCTGGTTATCCCAGGAGGCCATCCTGGTGTTGTGGGCCGTGACTGTCCTGCTTTTGTTAGCTCTCTTTCTCCGCCTCAGATCAGAAGCATAACCAGTCACAAAGTAGTAGGGAATAGGTCTGTCGTCTGTCTTTGCCTCTGTTAGGACCCCTTTGCATTTGGGATGTGTTGAAACCTAAATTAGAAATAAGATTCTGACTTCCCAGCTGTGGTGCCAGGAGGGTGAAGATGCAGAGGGCGGGGAGCCCTCGGCCTGCTCTCATCCATGCCCTGTCTTCCCTGATGTGCTGTGCAGCGTTTATCTGTCTCGGGGTCCTTGCAGTGAGGGCCAGCTATCATGATGCCGCGGCCAGTGATGGGAGAGGCGTGTTGAGCTGACTTTGTATTGATCCAAAGGAAGGGACAGAAGGAAATGGTGAATTCCTGGAAGGGATTTGTCTAGGTTCCTAGGAGGAGGACACAGGCTGTGGGCAGAATGCTGTTGGGTGTGCCCCTGACGCGCCCAAGACGATTGTGGCTGGCTGACTGTGGGCTTGCCCTGCCCCGGGCCGCCCCACACTGGGTGCACAGAGCGCATGGCCCTCCGCTCTCAGACAGTGGCCCGTGGACCGTGAGGTGGGGCCTGGCGGGCCGCACCGCCTGCCTTCTTCCTCTGGCACATGCTGTGGCCCACGAGGCCCCCCGTACGTCTTTGGAAGCCAAGGAAATGTTTGTTATGGCAGGAGGAGGGTGTGGAGAGGCTCCTGCCGGAGAGAACTGGCCCTATGGAGGCCTTGCTGTCCCGGGGGCCGAGTGCGGGCCGCCTGCTCTCCATGGAGCTGGGTCCCCTGTCACATGCAGGCACGGCTTTTGGCGTGGAGCTCCTGGACAGTTTGCTAACAACAGTAGGGAGAGTACCCAGGAGAGTGAGAATGTTAGTGTCCTTGGCTGTTCCATTAGATAAGCAGCCTATCTGGCTTTTGCTTCGAAAGCCTGATTTTCTAAGTGCCAAATGCTTTGAATGTGCGAGTATAGGAAAGAGCCGAGGGTGTATCTTTTTCTGGAAGATCTTCCTGTGGCCACAATGAGCAGCAAAGATGTTTCCCTCTTAGTTCTCCTTCTGGTTTGTTTGTAGGAATGTTCCGAAGAATCACAGCCGCTGCCTCCAGACTCTTCACGGTAGACAGCGCCGACAGCAGTTTCTACGGCCTGGAGAGGCTGAACGCGCGGGTGCGCGCCATGGTGCCCACGCACCCGGCCCTGGTGCTGCTCTGGTGCCAGATCCTGCTGCTGGTCAGCCACACCGACTACCGCTGGTGGTCAGAGGTGCAGCAGACCCCCAGGTACGTCTGGCCTGTGGCCTGAAGGCCAGCCCGCCCTCGCACTGGGGCAGCCCAAGCTCTGGCCCGGATTCTTCAAGGCTTCGTGCAGACTGTGCCATGGCTCTGCCTTCCTCCCGTGGGCGCTGCACAGCAGGGGAGATGTGGTCGGGCTGAAGGCACTCAGTGTGCCGCAGCTTTCCAAATACAGTTTCTGTGACAATCTCTTTGACAGGACTTCTCTTGAGGGTCGTTCTTGTCATGCCATATCCCTCCGGTTAGGCTCTCGTCCTTAAATTGCTTTCAGAGCCAGACATGTTGCAACGTCTTAACTTCATTATAAGTTAAATGTGGTTCTGGTTATTCTTAGATAATGAAGTAATTACTGAGCAACATTTCAAAACTGCTTGGAAATACACTATTTTTCATCATTCACAAAGACTTGTGAAGTATCTGATTGGGGGTGACCCCTTTTTGCAAAAAGTTTTCAGGGTTCAGCCTTTATTTCTTGGCACTGTCCTGCTCAGACCTTAACACACATGTGGGAATAGAACCTTTGATGCCCATCCGCTGAACTGAGTCCTCAGTGCCAAGTTTCTGGAAGGCTCGCGAGCCCCCAGTGAGGAGAGAAGGCAAGGGCAGCAGGGTGGGGGTCAGTTCCTTTCTGCTCATTGTGGAAAGGCTGAGCTGTGTGAGGCCTGGGGGCCTAGTTGGGCCACTCCATTGCTTTCAGCTGGAAAACCCAGTGTTAGTAGGCATCTTTCAGTGTCTGTGCTATATGCTGTGGTATGTGCAAAGAAAAATAATATGTTTTCTGCTCTCTGCGTGCTTACGGTTTAGTTGGGAGAGACAGACCAGTGAGAACATTGGAAATGCTTCAAGAACATGACGTGCCGTAAGAGTCAGGAACAGAAATGAGTGTCTGCTTCAGTGCTTCTTTGCTGTACATATAAATCCCCCAGCGAGCTTATTAAAATCGGGTTCTGGTTTAGCAGATCACTAGTTGGACCTGGGACTCTGCCTTTCTGCTAGGGTCCCGGGTACTGCCAATGCTCAGGTCCATGGAACCCAGGAATCCAGGCCAGGTCCTGAGTCCTTAGGGACTGTGCCTCAGAGCCACTGGGGCCTTGTTCCAGGGACCAGGACTGCGACCCAGCTCACTGCTGGACCAGGCAGCTGGGTACCTTGGGAATTAGGATCCTGGGCTTTCGTGTTCTCACAGTCTCCCCAGGAAACTCCCCTGGGCACCCAAGGTTGAGTTGTGTGGGGAGGACTTGGTGGGCTGGGGCTTGAGTTAGCTGCTGACGCTAGCAGGTGTGTGCAGGTAGACAGAAGGTGAGAAATTGTCTGTCACCACCGTGAGTGTGTGAGTCACTGAGTTTCCTTGCCCCTCCCACCTCCCCTCTACTTCTCCCACCTTCTCTTCCTCCTTCTCCTTGTCCTCCTTTTGTTGGCTGATGGGTGGTGAGGGCAGAGGGACCTAGAGTGGGGTCAAGAGGAAGTGGGAGGGTGGACACCAGTCTGATTAGGAAGGGCCTTCCACAGATCTGGGGTGTAAAACATCCAGAAAGAACACTGTTGGGATAATGGAGGGAATTTAAATGTGAGTTCTAGGAGACCTGTTGTTTTGTGGTGATGAGTTCTCAGGAACTCCTGCTGGAGTACTTTGGGTTGAAGTGTCTTCACCCACGTGAATACTCTCAGGTGGTGCAGGCCAGAAAGTGTGTGTATGTGTGAGTGCACGTGTGGCGTGTGCTTGTGTATGTGCAGAGTGCATGTGTGTGTGTGGAGTGTGTGCGTATGTGTGAGTGTGTATGTGTGAGGTGTGCACATATGTGTAGAGTGTGGGTGTGTGTGGAGCATGCGTATAGAGTCATATGTGTGAGTGCACATGCGTGGGGTGTGCATGTGTGCGTGAAGGTGGCAACATAGTGGTTGAATCTAGGTGGAGAGGGTGTGACATCATCGAATTCATCTTTCAGCTTTTCTGTTGGCTTCAAAGTTTTCCAAGTAAAAGTTGAGGAAGAGGGATCACAGAAGTGGTCACATTTTGGAGCAGACAGCTCTGGATAGTCCCCAGGAAGAGGTTTGCTCCAGAGGGGAGGACACGTGGGAGATGGGGCGTGAGGCCCTCACCGAAACTCGGTGCCTGAGAGCTTTCCCTGCGTGCCCTCGGAGCGGCTACAGAGGCTTCTCGGGGTCCCTGTTTGCATTTCACTGCTTGCGAGTAAAGGTGGTCACGTTTTCGTGTGCTTATTGACTGTTTGTGGATCTTGTCGTAAAGCATGTGTTCAGATACTCGCCGGTTGTTTGAAATTAGGCTGTTTGCTATCTTGTTGTTGAGTTGTAAGTTCTTTATATATTCTGGATCTAAGTAAATGTTTTCTCTCAATTTGTGGTTTGCCATTTTAATTTTTTAATGGTTTCTTTTCAAGAGCAGAATTTTTAAGTTTTTATTAAAACAAATGCATCAGTTTTTCTTTTTCATTCTTTTTCTGTTCAATCCAAGAAATGTTTGCCTACCCCAGGGTCACGATTTTCTTCTATGATTTCTTCCGGAAATTGTGTAGCTTTGCTGTTTTCCATTCTGAATTAATTTTTGTGGGTGACAAAGCATGAGGGTGAAGAGTCCTCTCCCCACCTCGTCCCCCGAAGGGTGGTCTTTCACTCTTTTTTGCGAAAAGACCGCACTTTCTCTCGTGAGTTCCCTGGGCACTTTCTCAGTGTGCGGTGCAGTTTAGACTCACGGACCTGCCTGTGGGCTCCACTCATACCCCTCAACTGGCGCCTCCCCCGCCGACACAGTGTCGTTGCCTCGGCTACCCTGCCAGGTCCCCTGCTCTCTTGACTTCCAAAATAGTTTTGGCTCCTGTAGGTTCTTTGCGTTTCCATGACACGTTTTAGAGTTGGCTTGGCAGTGTCCACAAGAGCCCGCAGGCCTCTTGCCGGAGCTTGTAGCTGAGGGAGCACTGGCGTCCAGTGTCCAGACGCTCAGTCTTCCAGCATGGTCTCTCTTTGGGTATTTCAGTCTCAAATTTGCCACAGCAGCATCTCGTAGTGTGTCATGTACAAGCATTTCTCATATTTAATGCATTTCATGTTTTGGAATGCTGTTTAAATGGTACCGTGGTGTGCTGCTGGCTTGTAGAAGTGCGGCTGGTATTGTCCTGACCTCCTGTCCTGAGAGCTGGCCTGGCTCACGCATCGGCCCCAGGATGCTTTCCGTGGGCTCTGGACGGTGCTCTGTGACCACATGAGTATCATCCCCAGGTCAGACTTCCCTTCTTCCTTTCCCACCCGTGTTCCTCTTTTTTGTCTTTTCTGTCTCAGAACACTGACCAGGCCCTCCCTACAGGGCTGGCCTCCGTTTTTCTGTATCTGGAGACTCAGTAGATAGATGTGGTCCCACACGACAGTGACCTCCCCAGCTCGGAGGCAGGCTCTTGGGCGAATGGAGAGGCCGTGCTCTGACCACTTCTTGTTTGGAGGGCTCTGTCTTCACTGATTTGTTTTCCAGTCTGCCTGGCCTTCTGGTGGCCTGTTATGGTCTTGCATGTGCCATGGCACTGGGGGTGTGGCGTGGCCCCCTGGAATGAACGGCGTTCATTCCCCGTCAGTGTCTGGCTGCATCTGTCCTGAGGTCTCCAGGGCTGCCCACTACAAGCTGGGACTCAGTTTGGATTGCCATGGGTTGACATTCAAATTGAATTGCAGGCTCTGCCCCCTTCCCCGCAGAGGCTCCCCTGTAGCCGTACCATCGTGAAATGGGGGCTGGCCGGAGGGCTGAGAAGAGGAGGCGTTTCTGTTGGTGGGTTTTTCATTGACCTATGACGTAAACGCTACACGGAAACACACTCTTTTGTACCAAATATTGTTAGGTGAACACCGCCATAGTCACAATATAGGATCTTTCTATAACTTCAGAATGTCCCCTTTGTCCTCTGTGGTCACCCTTGGCCCCCTGTCCCCCAGTTACTGGTCCGTGCTCCATCCCTGTGTTCAGCCTGTTGCAGAATGCCGTATGGATCGATTTCTGCAGTCTGTAGCTTTTTGAGTCTGGCTTTGTCACTTAGCGCAGGAGATATAAAGCTCATTTATGGCCTTGCACGGTTCAGTGGTGCATTCTTCGAACAAGTGAATAGTATTCACTCGGACCAGTGAATAGTATTCCATTGTACAGATAATAGTCGTGGCGCATCCACTCACCAGCTGAGGACAGGGAAATTGCAGTTGGAACATTTTTTTTAACCTACAGACTATTTTATACCAATTCTCTTGTAAATTTTGAGGTGTTGTAGGAAAAGTTGAGAAATTTCAGAATATTCTTGTCCTCATGTGACCTCTGTCCCTGCTAAGCCTCAGCAGAGATGCATAGGCTCTTTGTTGCTGAGGGAGGGGTATCATCCCTGGTTAGGCTCTGCAGTCAGGGGCTGTTCACAGGTGTGGCGACATGTGCGTCTGAGGGCTTGTGGCAGCATTGGGGAATCCCAAGGGTGTAATCCCATCGACTGAGAAGTGAAGTAACCTTCGCAAGTGGGGAGCGAGTTTTGCAGAAGTGCTCTCTGACAGTGGCGTGGCGGCACGTCCCCTGTGGGCCGGTGAGGGTGGCAGCATCTCGCCATTCGTCCTGTGGTCAAGTCCAGTCGCATGAGGGCTCTGTCCTGGCAGATGGGTGTGGCGATCACACAGATCCGCGCTGGGAATCGTGGACGGTCAGGGGGAGCCCAGTGCCTGAGCAGCAGTGGAAAGTGCGGCTTCATGGCAGATTCTGCCTTAAGTCGAGCATTGGACTGTTCACGCATGAGATCTCCATGTTCTTGGGACACCCACACGTGCTTTGCCACGGTTCAGAAGTTGGTCGCTAAGAGTGTGCGGCAGCGCTGAAACCCCGTCTGCTCCAGCGCAGGAACTGAGCTTCTGGTCGTCTTCTGCTTTGAAGAGAAGCTTGTTTTCATCCCAGAAACATGGTCAGTGCATCTGTTGCTCCTTACAGGAGACGCAGTCTGTCCAGTACGAAGTCACTCAGCCCCCAGATGCCTGGAGAGGAGGAGGACCCCGGTGTGGCCTGCAAGCTTGGGATGTGCAATAGAGAGATAGTGCGAAGGGGAGCTCTCATTCTCTTCTGCGATTATGTCGTAAGTCAGGACACGGGTCCCGGCGGGCAGGGGGCCGGAGAGCCCCAGTGTGGGGGACTCTCCTGCAGACCGACCTCCCGCTGTCGCCTCGGGGCCACAGCAGGTGTCCCGTTCTTCTCCGGCCAGTCACGGATGTGGAGGTTTGTCTATGGAAGGTTTCACTCCGCTGTCACCGCCTCGGCAAGAGTGACTTGGAGTGGGGTTCTGCGTTAAACGTCCCATCTGTGCAGAGGAGGTTGGTGCCCATTGTTGCATTTTAAAATGAATTCTTGTTAGAATCATCCATTTTTTTAAAAATAACTTTTGTAGAGCTTTTGACCATAAAACTAGCAACACGTTTTAACATAGAAAATTGATAAAAACCAATAAACAAGAAAAAACAGCCTCCTTGTAACTGCACTACTCAAAAAACCTGTTGTGGCATTTTGGCTGGGATTTGGTGCTTTTTCTCCACTGGTTACAGCATGTGTGTTTCTTTGACACAAACACGGCGCCATGTTCATACTGTTTTCACACAGCAAAGCATGTGACGTTCTCAATTGGAAAGGAAGGGCACTCCTTCCAGCAAGTGGTGGTTGTCATACAGATTTTTTTTTATTGTTACTCATTTTTTGATTAACATTCTTTATGTTGAATTAGTTTTTCTATCTTGTTTTACTTCTGAGAAATAATTTAGTATAATTGTATAATGTCTTTCACAGAAATGTAAAGAAAATACTAGTTTTATAAACTAATACTATCAAATTATACCACATGGAAAATATTAATCATTAACCAGATGTCAAAGAATTGGTCTCATTTTATAATTTCTGCCTAGGACGATTATGAATTAAGATGAAAAGGCAACATATATACTCAAAGATGGATATTTATTTCCTTATAATCTTAAATTTCTCCCCTTAATGTCCATTTGATTCATGGAATCTATTCATATTTTGGATTCAGGAATTCTGTCAAAACTGTGGCAGTTACTGGGAACCCATTTTCCCCACTGGCCTGTCACAGAGCCGGAGAAGGAGAACTGGGGAGCACTCTCTGTTGGCCAGACAAAGCCTGGACAGACCAGGCTGTGGCACCTGCTCTCACATCACGGCATGGGTTGTCACTTGGGGGCAGGGCAGCACTGCCCCTATCGGTCCTCTGCCATGGGGTCGCCGGTCCTTGGCAGGTGCCCGTGTGGCAGGTGGGGTCCAACCACCAACCGATTCAGCCCCAGTGGAGGGTAGAAGGTACCAGAGGCTGTGAGGTCAGTTCCGACCCTGATGATCATTGGTGGTCAGACACTAGATAGCTTCAGTGAGGATTATACTTTGGAATTTGTTTTCCCCTTCCCGCCTCTTCTGGCCTTTTCTGGGGCATCCACGTCTGTTCTGTCCTTGTCTACTTGAGAACGAGTCTTGTCATTCCTTCTCTGCAGTGTCAGAACCTGCACGATTCAGAGCACCTAACGTGGCTCATCGTGAATCATATCCAGGACCTCATCAGTCTGTCCCATGAGCCTCCCGTGCAGGATTTCATTAGCGCTGTTCACCGGAACTCCGCCGCCAGTGGCCTCTTCATCCAAGCAATTCAGTCCCGCTGTGAAAATCTTTCCACCGTAAGTCTCCCTTGTACTGGCAGAACCAGTCAGGGGCTTTTTCCCCACCATAGAAATGTACTACTGGAATTTTTAAACTGCTGATTCCTGTTGGCCCATCGTGTGCTCTCTCTGCTTTCCTGCACCCCCCCGCCAGCCGACCACCCTGAAGAAGACACTTCAGTGCTTGGAAGGGATACACCTCAGCCAGTCAGGTGCTGTGCTGACGCTGTACGTGGACAAGCTGTTGTGCACTCCGTTCCGTGTGCTGGCTCGCATGGTCGACACGCTGGCTTGTCGCCGGGTGGAAATGCTTCTGGCCGCAAATTTACAGGTACCAGAAAAACACTGACGCTGATTTTTACTGAGAACTTTGCAGGGCTGGCAGAGCCCTTGCCTGGTTTTCTCCTCCCTGGGCATGTTCTTCACGCACCCCTGGGAGAAGCTCGTCTGAGGTGCACGAGTCAGTCATTCCTTGTGTGCCCGACAGGAGTACTTCTCGTACTTTCCGCCCATGTGCCTCTGCTACAACAAACTGTACACTGTGGTCTTTCCCTCTGAAGTGAACGCAAGGTTATTCTGACTCCTTCCATGGCACACACTTGGCTGATGTGTTGTTGTCTCCTTCAGAGCAGTGCGGCCCAGCTGCCCGCAGAGGAGCTGAGCAGGATCCAGGAGTACCTTCAGAGCAGCGGGCTGGCGCAGAGGTAATGCTCCCTCCAGGTGTCCCTTCCTTCTCTATAGAAACACTTAGATTTGTAAGGGAATGAACTCAGGATGGGAGACCGATGTGCTTTCTAGACCAGTTCGCTGCAGAAAGGCCCTAATAGAAAACCTTCCTAAATTCAACAAAGTGGGCTCTCACTTTATGAAAATGGGAGTTGAACGGGCAGCACCACCTATCACCTGTGGTGACAGGGACATGCCGGCATCCTGTTGGCTGGCTGAGGCCCGTGTGTGTCCAGGTTGCCCGTGTCTACCACCTGTGATACGGGAGAATGGGAGTGACTGGTTTGATTGTAGCCAAGTCAGTGCACGTAACTAGCTGCCACATGAAGGCAGGTGAGTCTAAAAGACGTTACCTGGCTCCTGGCATGCAAAAATGACATCTGCATCTCATTAAAATGTGATCTCGCTCTAATGTTTGTCACTTAATTCCGCTGCCTAGTCTTCTAGAAACCTTTATCAGAGATCGTGACATCTATATCTGTTTGCACAAGTAAATAAAATACATTTTACCTTTGAATTTCACCTTTTTCCCCTCCACATGGGGGAAGGTGTGTGTGCTCTCACAGGAGGGCACGCAGGAGAGCAAGAACAGAGCAGAATTGCCTCACGGGAGCTCGTTGCCAGCGCCCTTGTTCGGGCGGGCACCCAGCCTGCCCAGCAGCACACAGTTTTCATGACTTTCCAGTTTGCTGGGCCCAGTCGTGTTGTGATTTGCATCATGAAGTTGTTGCTTTCATAGCAGATGGTAGAAGGTCGGACTCTTATTTTTTGACTCCAGACTTAGTATTCCGCACAGATGAAGAAGACTATAAATATCTTTTGCCAGATGCCGTGCTTCCTCTATGAAGTGAACACAGATTGGTATACATTGTATCACGTTGGGAGAATCAATGGGAGATTTTGTTTGCTTGGATCTTAGAATAGATGATCTCTTCTGCATTTGTAAAGAATGCTTTTATTAGCTGTTAAACCATGTATTGCCTGCTACAGTGTTTGAGTCTAAATGAAATGTCTGCAGAACATTTGTGGGGCATGAACTGTGGTTATTAAAAATAATCTAGAGCCTGAATTTGCATCATGCCATGTCTGAGTGTTGTTGAGACAGCTCTGAAGAGAAAGTGTCAAACATGTTGCATCTCGCTTTAAGAAGCCACTGTCACCTCATAACCTGGGAGACTGTGCTCTAACCCCATGTGTGATCGGATTCCAGACACCAGAGGCTCTACTCCCTGCTGGACAGGCTTCGTCTCGCCACTGCACCTGGCTCACGCGGCCCTTCTCCTCCGGTCACGTCCCACCCGCTGGACGGGGATGGGCCCCTGGCACTGGAGACCGTGGTTCCAGACAAAGTACGTGTCCAGCCCGTGTGCATGTGGCATGAGGGGCCCACTCTGCACACCAGCCATTCCTATGCGTCTTCTACATCTTTGGCAAATCCGGAGCATGTGGCGGGGCAGCGCAGGCAGCAGGACATCTGGCACCCGGTGTGGTCCCTGGGGGCTCCCAGCCTGCCATTCTTTGCCAGCAGTGGAGAGGGTCCCATCACTTATAGGACGCCTGAGGCCCAGCCTAGGTCATGAACAGGAACTGTGGGGTGAAAAAGGAAAGGCTGGCTTGGCATCTTGGCATCAGGGAGATGGGAGAGTCAGGAAAGCAGTGGCCGTAGCCTGCATAGGGTTGTGCTCACCCACTTGGCCTGTCTGCCTCTTCTTAAACCTGCTGACCTCCTGTTTGGTGACTGCGCCTTCCCATGGACCCTGGTACGTGGTCACGACCCTTGCTACTCATCTCAGAGCTGGGGACTGTTTGGGGCCTTGGCTGATCCTTGATACCCTGCTTTCTGGAGGGAGGTCATTGTAGACCTGAGCTTGGAGTTTGGAAATCCATAGTCTGGGCACAGAACGGTAGTGCTAGGGTGAATGCTGCACTGTCCTTGGGGAGAGAGGAGCACTGCAAACACCCCAGTAGAAGACGTTGGGAGCAGCACCAGGCAAAGGGTGGACAGAGGACGAGGGCACAGAGTGGAGGGCCTGCTGCCCTAGTACTTGAACTGAGTTAGGAGGATACGTGGGTGTTCACCAGGGGAGGGGAGAAGCAGAGGCTGTCCAGGTGGGAACAGCAAGTCCCAAGATATAGCCTTTGTAGCGGTTCCTATGGAAAAGGCCAGTGGTTTGGTGAGTGGCCGCATCGCCACCTAGAATCCAGCTGGAATCCAGTTTCACGGAAGCCACATTCTTAGTTCCCAGGAGGCCACTGGTCCTTTGGTCTAGGGCCATAGGATGTGAGGGGCAGTGGGTAAAGAAACAGCACACATCAGTAGAGTTGAAGCCCCTTAAAAGCCACGCCAAATTTCACTGGGTTATCCACCTTTTTCTTCTTCTCAGGACTGGTACCTGCGTCTAGTCAAATCCCAGTGCTGGACTAGGTCAGATTCTGCGCTGCTGGAAGGGGCAGAATTGGTGAATCGGCTTCCTCCCAGTGACATGAGCACATTCATGATGAACTCGGTATGGCGGAGAACAGCAGGGTGCTGGCAGGGTGCCTGATTTGTTTTATCCTCCTGTGACTAGCTTAGGACATGGGCCACTCACTTTTCTGCCTTAATGGCAGAGACTGATACAGGCTGGAGCCTGGGAGACTCCAGTCTAGATGGGACAGGACGCAGGGTAAGTGTAATCCAGGTGGGATGATGTTATTTCAGCTGCATTAGAGTCCAAAAGGAGGTAAATTGTGTCTAATTCAGCTTCCCATGCATTTGAAGAAAAGAGGTTCTCTTAGATTGCAGTCTGTTCTCGCCGTATGTCCTCATCATCATGAGGACGGGTATGAAAATGGTGTCATGCTAGATGATTTAACTGACCCTCGTGGTATTCTGGAAGTTGATTTTAGTAAGACCCCTCCCATTGTTTTTTGTGGTGAGGTCCCCGTACCCCTACATCATCCAGTGAGGCCCACTCCCTGTTACCTATGGTGTATGTAACCATCCATGATGTGTAGTTAGGCTTACACCCTACAGATCATGAGGTCCCCATCCCCACCCTTGATGTCATGCAGGAACGCAGGCTGGGAGGCCTTGCAGAGCCTTGTGTCCCTGCCCTTAGCTCCTGGGCAGGTCCTGTGGGGACTGGAGACCCCGGTTGCAACCAGCCGCAGCCTTGGCAGCTTTTGTCCCAGACCTCCAAGGACGAGCAGCTGGCTAAACCCTCAGGTGTTTAGTGCAGCCTTGATGGACCACGTGGGAATGGGGAGCAGCAGGGCCCTGGGGGGCGGGCAGCAAAGGAGGGACCGGGCGTGGGTAAAGGGACTTGGGGCAGAGGCACACAGCCGTATGTTCCCAAGTACTGATTCTTTATCACTTTGACAGCAGGAGCTGTGTTGAAAAAACTGCATTGGCTCAAACTCAGCTTGCTAAAATCAATTTAAGCTCCATTTAGTGAAAGCTGATTTGCTGAATGATAAATTTGCTTAACGATCCAGTTACTGAATTTCTCAAATTCAGTAATTGGACTTTTTAATAGCTTAAAAGTTCTGGCTGTAGCAGAAAGGTTCAGTTTTGGTTACTGATGATGTCATAGGCTTTTCTGAATGTTACCTAAATTGAGATGAATATTCTACCTGAAAATTGGCCCAAAAAATCCTTCATTAATTTTTAAAAGTTGGCAAAACCCAGTACAACTGGATCCACTGTTTCTCACCAACAGTTGTGGCCATTTTGGTTTATTTTGGCTGCCTTTGGACATAACTTATCTTTCTCAAACTCGGGGAGTGTTTGGTGTTTCACCGGATTTCTTGGGTGGCATGTCAGCTTCATTTTGTATTTTCATCACTTATAAATCACATATGTTCAGTTTCTTATTTCAAACAAATCTGAAGGCATAGAAAAATTTAAAATCTTTCTTTAATACCAAAGTACCCCAAAGAGACCAGAAATATGCTTCACAGAGCATATGGTATTTATTCTGGGAAGTAGAATATTCTTCAAAATACATTGCTATGGTTTACTCGTCTGTGCTTTCTCCGAAATGTTTGCATTATCCTTTCTTCTGTTGTCTTTTTCTTGCCTGGTTGAAAGTGTGTAATTGTTGAACTTTTAACATCCTAATTCAGGAATTCAACTTAAGCCTGCTGGCCCCATGCCTGGGCCTGGGCATGCGCGAAGTCTCTGGGGGCCAGAGGAGCCCCCTTTTTGAAGCAGCTCGCCTAGTGACCCTGGACCGTTTGACCAGCCTGGTTGAGCAGCTTCCTGCTGCCCATCATGTCTTCCAGCCGTTCCTGCCTGTGGAGCCCATTGCCTACTGGAACAAGTTGAATGATCTATTTGGTAGTTAAAATTAAAACTTCTTTTATTTTTAAAAAAATGACCTAGAACAGTATTGTACTTTGCACTGAGTAAAGGTACAATAAATTCTGTTGATAAACTGAAAGCATGTACAGAGATGACCGAGAGACAGGGCTGGGGACCCTTGGTCCAGTTGTCTTTTGGTGTGTTTGCCCCTTTGCCGTTCCTCTGCCTCCCCCTGGAGGAACACTAGCATAGGCCTCAGAGGACAACGTGTCCCGAGTCACACGCACAATCTCGTAGATTCTCCGAGAATGGACTGACTGCCTTTCCCGGGTCATGAGCTCCTGCTGGAATTGTGTTCACCCGCAGTCTTGTGTTTCAGGGGATGCCATGTTGTATCGGTCCTTGACCACTCTGGCCCGGGCCCTGGCCCAGTACCTGCTGGTGTTCCCCAAACTGCCCAGCCATTTGCACCTCCCCCCTGAGAAGGAGAGGGACACTGTGAAGTTTGTGGTCATGACCCTCGAGGTAAGTCTGTGCTTCTGTGCCGAGAGACTGTCACTGGAGAAGTAGGAAACCCAGGAGCTGTGCAGTCGGGCACCTTCTCTCCTCACTGGGGGGGTAACTGCGAGGGGTCAAGCACTGCATCCGTCCCCTACTTTCCTGAGCCCATTCACCCCTCTGGCTGTGGGGCTCCTCACAGGTGCCTTGTGATGTTGGCCACACAGCACTTCCTGTGCCTACTTTCCAGCTGGCCTGGGACCTGGGCTCCCACCCATGCCTTCTCCCCAAGGCGTGTCTGGGCGAGGGCACGGGTCTTAGAGGAGGGTCTGGTGGGGAGAAGCCAGGATGACTGGAGAGGTGAACAGAAACCTTCCGGGGTTTCCCAAACAGTGGGCAGAGTCCTGTGATTATGTGTGGTTCTCTTTCCTTGATTCTAAGATGCCTTTGATTTCCGGATAGACATCCATTAAAATATGTTTTCTCTAAGGAAAAGGAAACACTGCGAATGTAGTTTGGATCCTGATTTTAGATAATTAAAGAAATTAGTCTGGGAAAATTATTATGTTTTAAATAGAGTAAAAACCTGGATGTTTCAGGCATGGGAAATTAAGCACTCTGTGTTAGCACTTATGATCACCCCCCAAATGTGTACATACTGTGGGTGCATCGCCTTTCTATACAACTTGTGGCAAACAGTCTAGCCTGCATCCTTGCAGCCAGAGGGCCTGAGCTGTTCATCAGCCTGAGCAGGACATGGCTGACTCAGCCTTAGCTCTACCTGTCACTTCCCAGCGGACAGAGAGGTAGGTGTGAGAAGGGCGCGCAACCAACAGGCCCTGGTCTGGACCCGGGCCAAGTTAGATGGCCGCTGACACTGGTCCTGGAGGTTTTGGTGTGGTGCTCAGGCCAGCCGGCAAGTGGATAGTTCTGGTACAGCATGGTCACTGCCAGCAGCAGTCCCATGCCTTCCGTGTGCAGGGCGAGATGGGCTCTGTTGTCCCATTTCACAGACGAGGAAAGCAGGGCTTAGGTTTGGTGGGTTGTCCGGGTTTCACCCACTAAGATGTAGCCCATGGGCATTTGAACCCAAGCCTGGCTGTCTCCAGGCCCCATGCTCTCTGATTCAGGCTCTGACTCTGACCAAGGCAGGGCCTGCCTGCACTCTGGGAGCCCTGAGAAGCTTGGCCTGGAGGCCATGTGGCCAGGGAAGGACTTCTAGAGGAGTCCATGAAGCTGCAGGAAGGAGGAGCAGTGAGATCAGGGTGGCCATCCTGGCAGAGAAGCAAGCCCCGGCACCCTTGGCAGCGGGGGTCAGGCTTGAATGTAAGGGAGTTGGTAACAGGGTCCCGTCCCTCTGGGAGTGCAGTCAGTCCCGCCAGCCTCTCGTGTTAGGGCCAGTTCCCGGAGATCTGGGGGTGGTTTGCTTCCCCGACAGCCTGAAGACAGGAAGGAAATGGGCCTGAGCCTTTGGTAACGCCAACCCTCCCCTTTAGGCCCTGGCGTGGCATTTGATCCATGAGCAGATCCCGCTGAGTCTGGACCTTCAGGCGGGCCTGGACTGCTGCTGCCTGGCCCTGCAGCTCCCCAGCCTCTGGAGCACACTCTCCTCCCCGGAGATGGTGACCCATGCCTGCTCTCTCATTCACTGTGTCCGCTTCGTTCTGGAAGCTGGTGAGTCCATGGCCACAGCACGTTTTTCTCCTCTGTCACTGGCACCAGCACTCAGCTTTGCAGATTGGAGCACATGCCTTTATTTCATGCCACCTGTTTACTGGGGGCCGAACCAGGAACCGGGGGTGACTTGGTGGATAAAACATGGGCCTCGTGTACATCTCCAAGGGCTTGGATTCTGCACTGGAATTGGATTTAAATTTGCTTTTGTAGTCATTTTGCTTAGATTTTGGAGTTCCAGCTTTCATAAAAAATACTCCTAATTTTATGTCCCTTTGATCCCTGGTCCTACTTGACTGTTTCATGCTTTTAGTCCCACATGACCATAAGATTTAATAAGATTACATTAGGAAGATTGTTTTCTGTTATAGTCAAAATGCTTGTTTCTATAATGCATTGTAATAGTAATATATTATAAAATAAAATGACTTATTCTTTTCAAGGGACAGTGTCCTTAACAAGGGTCATTAGCCAGAATTTCCCCAAAATTGGACATTATAGTTTACATGTTAGAGGGTGTTTTGAAGTTTCATTGTTTAAATTGTTTTCATCTGTGCATTTGTAGTCAGCTTGAAAACGAAGATCTAGGGAGTAATTTTTCAAAGCCGGACTTCTTGGGGATTGCAGTGATGCTTTTAGCAGTAATGAGTCACGAGCTGTCTGATAAAGACCTCCAGGGCAGGAGGTGACAAGCAGCAGGCAGTGGAGAGCCGTGGAAATCTCAATGTAGAAGTCAAGTCCTGTGGCTTTCAGACTAGCCCAGACACTGATGCCCATGTCTGATACTATCTAAAACTGACTATAGGAAATCTGTACCTCATTTGACTTAGTCTGTCATCTTGAAATCTTTGCATGAATGTGAAAATTTGAATAATAAGGAATAGTAAAAGTGTTTGGAAATTGTGTGTTCTGTTGTGATTTTTAGTTGTGGTGCAGCCTGGGGACCAGCTTCTTAGTCCAGAAAGAAGGATGAGCACCCCGAAGGCTTCCAGAGAGAACGAAATAGATTTAGACACACAAAGTAAGTCTCAAGATTCATTCCATCCATCCTTCCTTCCTTCCTTCCTCCCTTTTTTTTTTTTTTTTAAAGATTTTATTTATTTATTTGAGAGAGCGAGGGAGAGAGCACAACAGGCAGGGGCAAGAAGAGTGGACTAGGGAGAAGCAGGCTCCCCTCTGAGCAGGGAGCCTGATGCAGGGCTAGATCCCAGGACCCTGAGATCATGACCTGAACTGAAGGCAGATGCTTAACTGAGCCACTCAGGTGTCCCAAGACCCATTCTTTCTTACCTGGCTTTTCTGAGGGCTTGAAATTATTCATAAAAGAGACTTTTAAAAGGGTCAGTGTGGACACTTGAAAGCTTACTTAATTTAGCTACGTTTTGTTGCTTACCTCCAGAGTTGAGGGCAATTTGAGTACGTCACCTCCCGTGTGCTCCCCACCCCCTGGACACAGCTGTTCTCCACCCTTGGGCTCTAGGCCTCACCCCCAGACTCGGCTCCCTGAGCTCCCGGGGGGCACAGGCTGCGCTCCTGCCCTGTGTGCTCGCTGTCGTAAGTGCTTGCCAATGAATGTTTGTCGAGTGATGAATGAGTGCATGGAAATACTGAGGGACTTGAAGTTCGTGTACCTGCCCACACAAATGTTAGGTGACCTGAGTGCCTATTTCAGCCTCTGTTTTGGTGGATTTTTAAATGAAAGTTACTGCTCTTCCTGCAGAATAAACATCCACATCCCACCCACTTAAACCCCTTCCAGCTCCCCGGGGCTTCCAGACTTAGACGTGTGCCATGGCCGTGCATGTTCTTTCCTGATTCAGGTCTTTCGCTGGCAGTGTGGCAAGGCAGGGCGGGAAGAGAGCTCTTGGCCAAGTGACTGCTTGTTCCTGGGGGCCTCCCGGCATCTTCACCGGGGGTGCGGCTGGAGTGCCAGCCTGCGGCCTGTCCAGAGACGAGAAGCACGTGCCCCCGGCAGTTCTTGGCTGCCTCTTTTATGGAACGCTCTTCCTTGGAATCATGGAGTCTTCGCCATGCTCTGGTGGCTTAGGAAACGTGCCTTTTTTCAGAACAAGTACATACATGCTTTGTCCTTTCACCGGCACATGTGCCAGCTGGGGATGGACAGCGTCTTCCTGTCATTCGTAGTCAGCATGGTGATTTTTCTTCTGGTCGCCTGCTGAGGGTTCTGTGATCAGATCACTGTCCAGGAGCAGTGTGTTTCACGACCCAGCCAAGCTCCTCTGCAGGTGTTTTCCTCGAAGCTCTCTGGTTCCGCCAGCCCCCAGTTTGTGATTTCATGACTTCTTGTTGAGACGGGAGGGCTGTGCAGACACTCACCTTCCTGCTGGGCCACGTTCTAGCCGAATGGCCTTGGCAAGTTATTATCCGGTGCTTCTGCCGTAGAGATATGGATGGCACTGACCCCGGGTTGGTGTGAGGATCACAGACATGAGACCCCCGAGAACACGTGCCAATCTTGTTACGCTCAGCAGACTAATTTTAGTCATAATGTGAATTTCCATTCCTCTGAAAAGAGTTCAGGCATTTCAAGGGGTCGAGTCGGAGCAGACAGGCCCCAGACAGGAATGTGTCTAGTTATGCCAATCCTGTGTATTCCCTGTGGCCCAGTGAAGACCGTCTGATTTCTTCCCGGCCCTAGGAGGGAGCTTGCTGTTTTTATCACCTGGACAGGATGATAGCTTTTACAGAGTGCCCCTTTGGGGTACCTGTCTGGCTCAGTCAGTAGAGCATGTGACTCTCGATCTTGTTATCAGAAGCTTGAGCCCCAGGCACAGAGTTTACTTAAAAAAAGTATTATCGAAGGCAGCTTCGTTGGGACTTAACTCCATAAGCCCATTAAGAGCCTCCTCTCCATATGATGATGTTGCTTATCCTGTCGAATCCCTGAACCATGGGTTATACTCGTGCACGACCCAGAACATTTTGTCAACTCAGCCAGTTATGTTCTGGCTCATACTTGTGTCAGACTCCGCGTGACTGCAAAGCGGTCCCTGCCCTTGGCATGCTGTGGCTCTTGTCTAAGGCTGTGGGCTGTTCCTCAGTGTTCTGTCTCAGGACTTCTAGGGGAGACTTGGCACCCTGTCAGAATCCCACCAGCAACTCGGGAGAGCCCCTGATCTCAGGAAACATGGAGCCAGAGATGGGCAACCGAGTTTTCTGCACACTGGCAGAGAGAGCAGCGCAGGGTCCCAGGGGAACTGGGGAAGGTCGGAGCACGATGGCTCCTGGGTGTTGGCCAGTGGGTGCTGCCACACGGTGCAGGGCGGGCAGGGGGCTGGGATGGGGTATGGGAGATGGGCTCAAGACCGCAGTTCTGGCCAGCACAGAGAGGATGGCCAGTTTCGGTATCCTGGGCGGAGATAAAACTTGCAGGCCCTTGGTACCGCCTGGGAGTCTAGGGGGCTCTGCGGCTGCGGCTGAGCAGCTGGCTGTAGGCCTGGGCCTTTGCCTCGGCAGGGGTGGGAAGAGCAGGAGCAGAAGTGGCGGCTTCGCTGTGTGTCTCAACAGAACAGGCCTCGGAACCCCGGTGTTTGTTTTTAGACCCGGCATACATCACCACAGCCTGTGCGATGGTGGCAGAGATGGTGGAGTCTTTGCCATCGGTGTTAGCCTTGGGGCACAAAAGGAACAGCAACACCCCCGCGTTTCTCACATCGGTGCTCAGGAACATCATCATCAGCTTGGCTCGCTTACCCCTCGTCAACAGCTACACGCGCGTGCCCCCCTTGGTGAGTCTGCTCATTGCTTTGCACAGAAACCGGAATAACAGAGATGTGTGGGCTGGCCCTGGGCTGGGGGGCTCCCGGCAGGGAGAGCAGGAGCTCACCACTTAGGTTCCTCTCCCGGGTGGCCAGAGCCTTGCATGGTGCATGGGCCAGGCCTCCATCTGGCTTCCCTAGGCATAAGGTCCAGCGGTCATTGGTAGAAGTGCTGGGTTTTGCAGCACGGGGTGACACACTGCATGTCGGAGTGAGGGTTAATCTCCTGCTAGTTGGTCCTCGGGGTTAGACGCGATTAGAGGGTAAGGCTGCGCCCTTGGTTAACAATGGATGGAAATCGTGACCCTGGGATATTTGCCTCTGGGCTCAGGCACCGTCTGATACCATTTGGCCATCTGGGCACAACCACTTTTTAAACTCCTGATTCCCGATTGTTCTTGGAATCAGTTTCAAGTCGGCATGCATCCACATTCTGTCTCAGGTAGCAGGAAGGGCTTAGTGTGAGTGGGTTGGGGGTCAGTGGTGGCCGGACAGCCTCTCCCCAGGGAAGCTGCAGAGACAAGGAGTAGGGGCACCGGGTGAACACGGCATGGCCTCAGGTCAAGGTGAGCAGGGACCAAGAGGAAAGGGGCTTGCATCTGCCTCGAAAGGACCTGTGCCTGCCTCTGGGCACAGCCTCTGTGCCGGTGTGTGAGAGGGAGACATGGGGCAGGCTGCCCCCCTGGAACAGGCCTCCTCAGACTGGCATGTAGCTGGTGCCCCCGCCCCCGGAGATCTGGCGCCGAGCAGCGGCTGTAGCCTAGTGTGCTGAGCTGGCACGTCTGCAGTCCCAAGCCTGCAGGAGAAACAGGGTCGCCCCCGTACACGCAGGGCGTCTCTGTAGGTCTGGAGCCAGCTTGCTCCTCTAGAAGGGTGTGGGGAGCCGCTGTGTGAAAGCCCTGTCCTAGAGGTCTCAGTGCCTGGACCAGACGCGACGGCACGTGGTCTGGGGCCTGGGCTGTAGGGGGTGCTCCTCCAGCCGGGGTCTTCACCGGTGGAGCAGCCTACGCCAGGGCCCCACCAGGAGGGCACCCTGTCAGGGTGTGCGGAGCAGGTCTGTGACGCTGTGAGAGACCTTGTGTCTTCCTGAGCCGACTGAGAGGCAGTGGCACTGTGGAGGTGGGCTGGCCGTGTCTCCGAGGCCCCCATGGGTGCGCCTGGGGCATCGGGAGCTGATGGGTCTGCTCCGCTGGCTGGAGGGATGGCTTCTAGGACCACCTCGGTTCTGCCTCGGGTCAGCCCCGTGTTGGTGGAGGTGACAAGCGTGGATGGCGCGGCTTTCTGTGCCCACCCGCCAGGGACTCTTTCTGCGCACAGCCAAACCTCACCTGATGCCCATCTTCATCTAACACACCAGCTGCTGTTTGGGGGCGGGGCTGCTCCTGGCTGCGTCCCGGGGTCTGCCAACATGGACTTTGGAGAACCAACTGGGGAACAGCCAGCTGGGGAGGTGCAGGATGGGTCGTGGCGGTCAGGAAAGTGGGAGGGTAGGAGATCTCGGGCAGCGCATGGAAGATGTTTTTTGGAAGGATGGTGTGCTTGCTTTCAGGAATATCTGTGTGAGCTGTCGGTAGGCACGTGGCCTCCAGAGAGAGACCGTAGGTAGAGAAAGGATGCTTCATGGTGTCCTCAAAGTGTGGCTGTCCTGTCTTGACTGGGATCACTCTGTTTCTTTTTTGTCTTCTCAGGTTTGGAAGCTCGGATGGTCGCCCAAGCCAGGAGGGGACTTTGGCACAGCCTTCCCTGAGATCCCAGTGGAGTTCCTCCAGGAGAAGGAAGTCTTTAAAGAGTTCATCTACCGCATCAATGCACTAGGTAGCCTGGGTTTTTCTTCCAGAATTGTTAGTCCTCAGAGTGCCTAGTTCTTCTCATTTGTTCCACAGGGGATATAGGGCCTGATACGATCATGTGTGAGTACATTCCGAGGTGAATACCAACTGTCACCGTGAAAAATGCTCCCCAGGTTGGTGTGGTGTTTGGGGGTGTGAGAGAGATGGGTGTTTAACACCACATCTTCACACAGCAGGCCTGTCTGAAGTCAGGACAGGCCCCTGGTGACAGATCACACACAGCCCAGCTCAGCTGCTCTTATTTCCTTGGGTGCAGGGTGAGCAGGTGGAGGGAGCAGGGGAAGGGGGCTTCATTGTGTGAGACAGCGCTTGCCCCGGGCGGTGGGGACAGGCATCTTAGGCTCTAGAACTCCCAGTGTCAGGCCTTTAGCATCATTAATAGATTCAGAAGCCAAATGAGACGAGACTGGCGCCGTCATCAGTAAAGGACAACCTCTGTGGTTTCCTGCAGCCCAGAGTGCCTTGCCTTTTTGTCCTCATTTCATGGCTGGAGGCCCGGTCCTGTGGGAGGGCTGTAGCTGGTAGGTTCCGAGTGGCTGTGTCCGGCTGTGGTGTTTCCTGGAGCATTTGGAGTGGGCACCCCACCTGCCCATGAGGTCTGCCCTTTGTCCTCGTGACCCCATGCTCTCAGGCTTCTGCAGAATTTGTGCTCCTCTCGATCCCAGAAGGTTCAGGTAGCCAGATCTGTCTTGCCTCTCCTTTTCCTTTGAGTGAAGCAGGCAGTTGGTTACCGTGTCTGAAGTGCAGTCTCAGCAGTGACCCAAGACTATCTCAGGCAGCTTCGTTTCTCTCCCGTCCTCGAGGTGGTTCCCAGGCAGTCTCCTGGCTGGCCCTTGCGTGCGGTCCCTCCCTTCCTTGCTCAGGCACCCTAGTGCTCGAATCCTTACTCAGACCTGCAGGAGGGACCCCGGGCAGCTCCACAGTCTCTTTCTCTTATCGCCTTCGCCCTTTGCCTTTGTCTTTGTCTGTTCCTCTCCTTTCCCCTAAATAAACTATGTAAACATCTGCCTGCTGCACCTAATCCCTCCGCATCCAGTTTAAAAGAAGATCCTCAAGTTTGTTGCTCTGGTTTTCCGGCCTTCAGTACCCCCTCCTGTCCCTCGTAGCCCGAGTGCAAGTGGCATGGCCACGGCCACCTCCCAGGCCATGCGTGGGAATAGGAAGCATGGCACTCAGCCCTCCCCTTGAGTGGCGCTGGTGGTGACGGTGCTTGAGGGTGACCTATAGGCACACCTCTGCCAGACACGAGTACCCGCACTGGGTCACACTCTTTTGATCTGTTCTTTAGACAGAATCAGAGAAACCATCGCCTTAAGTTCTTTATTTTCAGCAGCTTCTCTGAGAATTCACAGCACATGCATGGCTCCCCCTCCAAGCGTGCAGTCTAGGGGCTTGCTGTCTGCACATGGCTGTGCAGCTTGCAGCTTCAGACTGCGCTCTGTCTTTGGGGAGGACCTGGGAGCCTTCCAGTGAGCAGCGCAGGAACAGCTCAGACCAGCTTATATGTGGCCTGCTGCTGGGACGTCCCTTCCCTTCACTGTGTCTCCACAGCAGGGGAGGAGATGGTGCCCCTTGCTTGTCGTGTGGCCTCAGACGTGTGTTCTTCTGTTTCTTCGTGGGTGGAGTGGAGCTGGCAGTGTGGCTGCATCTCCGAACCGGCATGTGGCCCAAGGGGGCAGCTGCGTGTCGACCCCAGGGGCGGGGCCTATTCCAGCTACAGTCATGCAGCCCAGCTGCCACATCACATCGAGGCTGAGGAGTGGGTGACTCTGTCTCACATAACATTTGCATTCCTAGGCTGGACCAGCCGCACCCAGTTCGAGGAGACGTGGGCCACCCTCCTTGGTGTTCTGGTGACTCAGCCACTGGTGATGGAGCAGGAGGAGAGCCCACCAGAGGTAAGGCCACGTGCGGGCCCACACAGCCACTGGCTGGCACCTGGGCAGTTGAGGCAGCTGATGACCTATTTGTGGGGGACAGAAGAAGGGCAGAAGGCTCGTTGTTTTGGTCTTGAGTTAGGTTTACAAGGGTGGCCAGTCTAGCCTAGACTAATGTTGCAGAGCAGTAGCAAATCCCCTTGAAGCTGCAGTGGCCTTGATGGCCAGCGGCTACCACATTCCACATTCAGGGTCAGTAGGGTTACACCCTCTCTGGGAAGTATGTTTGAGTTCTGCCTATCAAGAGTTCACATACAGCATGTAGGTTGGATTAGAATGAAAAGGCACGTGGTAAAGGCCGTGGATACGGGTACCTCCCTGTGTTCCTTTGACTGGCGGGCCTTCTCAGAATGTTCAGGTGCGTCACATTCCTGTACTGTCAGTACAAGCCATGTTCTGATAAGGCAAAAGCCTGAGATACTGAAAGCCATTGGATAGAAGTGTGGCACAAACTCATAGAAATGTCAGTTCAAAGAGTAAACATATGTCAGAAATCATGAGTGTCTTTAAATTCATGTGTAGACCTAACAGGTTGTCATATGCAGAGTTCCTAAAATGAGGGAGGAAATTGAAGGGCAATTTCTTAAAAAGTAATTTGCATTTGGAGATTTGTGCCGGTAGGTGACCTTGCCTTGAAAGGCAGACATCAGCCATCAGATTTATTTCAAGTCACAGATGTGGGGAACTTAGGCAGACAAAACAGGATCCTTGGGACGCCTCGGTGGCTCAGTGGTTAAAGCCTCTGCCTTTGGCTCAGGTCATGATTCCAGGGTCCTGGAATCGAGCCCTGCATTGGGCTCTCTGATCAGCAGGGAGCCTGCTTCCCACTCTCTCTTTGCCTGCCGCTCTGCTTACTTGTTATCTCTGTCTGTCAAATAAATAAATAAAATCTTAAAAACAAAAAAAAAAACAAGAAAACAGGATCCTTGCTGGGAAGGTGTGTCCCTCTACAGCACTCGAGGCTCCCCATAAGACCCTGCGACCTGAGAACCACGGCCTTCGGGTTCTGTGTGCAGGTAGGGGCAGAAGTGGTTTCTGGTGTCTGGACGCTCGTGACTTGATGAAGTGTGGGCTCTCCTTCCAGGAAGACACAGAGAGGACCCAGATCAATGTCCTGGCTGTGCAGGCCATCACGTCGCTGGTGCTGAGTGCAATGACCGTGCCTGTGGCCGGCAACCCCGCTGTGAGCTGCTTGGAGCAGCAGCCCCGGAACAAGCCCCTGAAAGCCCTCGACACCAGGTGGGAACAGTGAGGCGCCTGTCCGCCCTGCCCAGAGTGACCAGCGCCTTCACCCCGGGCCCTTTGGTCTGTTTCCAGAATGACAAACAGCACACTTGTGCAGGTAGCATATAGCCTCACCATACGGAGTGCAAATCCAGAAGGGATTCGGTGATCTGTGACAGTTGAGATCGCTGAGTGTTTAGGGCAGACTTGCAGAGCAAGAACTAGACAAGGCCACGTGGACAGGAGTCCCCTCAGAGGGAGTGTCCTTTCTGATCACAGGGGCTTCTGTTTCCTGTAGGCAAAGCTGGAGGAAGCCCTGAGGTTTTTGCTTTTAAGATTTTGAAAGGAAGCAAGATATTCTGTAACCTTTGTTCTGAATTTTAGGTTTGGGAGGAAGCTGAGTATTATCCGAGGAATTGTAGAGCAGGAAATCCAAGCAATGGTTTCAAAGAGAGAGAACATCGCCACCCATCACTTATACCAGGCGTGGGACCCCGTCCCTTCTCTGTCTCCAGCTACAACAGGTACCTGTGGGAAGAGGGGCCATTTGTCCCTGGGCCAGAACTACAATGTGACCAAGATAATAACACCACCGGTCAGGCAGAAGACTGGAGGTATCTTTGGAGGCTGTGGTACTCACTGCACAGCTCTAATTTATGAGTACCTGTCTCACTCAGGGCTAGGCGAGCATAGTGGTCTTGAGGAGCTCGAGTCTGGAACTGAACTGGAATGCTGTCTCTCACAAGTCAGGCCATGGGGAGCAGAGCAGCTCTCAGCCTGAGACAGGCAATGCTTCTGGGAGGGTAGAAGTTGAACTAGTCGCTCCCGGGAAAAATCAGCAGAGTTCCTCAGTGACTCCTGTGACTCTCCAGCTTCAGAGCAGAGAGCACTATGGCGAGAGACCCTCGGGGCTGGGCATCTCTGGGGCTGAGCTCCCTGCCCCCAGCTGTCCTCCCCTTCCCCGCCCTACACCTGCCACTGGCCCGCACCTGTTCTGTCTGGGCCTGCAGGCTGTGTGCCTGCCGTGTAATGGGCACTGGAGTTTGTCACTCGGGCTTAAAAGAAGGAACTTTGGTGGGTTTTTTTTTTTTTTTTTAATACACGGGTTTTTTGTTGAACAGACAGTGTTTTTTTGATTACCTAGTCTATTTTAGGGCTTGTTAGGTCCTGTGATTGTAAGCATCCTGAGGGCTTTACCTAGAGAGCATTCTTTGTGGCTGTGCAGACACTAGACATTTACTGGAGCGCTGGACCATGCTCAGGAGCGTGTACTCGATGGCCCTGGGTCCCTTGAGCAGCTTATGCCCCTGGGAGAGAGATGTGGCCTCACTCACTATCACAGGAGCTGGGGCAAGTGGGTGCCTGGAGAGGTGCGAACACCCCAGGGGCATGGGGGCAGGAGTCTCTTGGGACGGGGCACATGGTCACTGGATCTGGTGGAGGGTTAGCCAGGGACCTCTGGCTGGGGGTTGTTTAGGGTGCAGAGTGTGTGGAAGACGGCGGTTGTAGAGAAGATGGGTTGAATGGGGGTATCTGGTGGGCGCAGCTGGACAGCCTGGACACAGGGCAGGGTCCCAGGAGGTGCTGCCCACGGACATTGTCGTCAGGGCCCCCAGAGTGCAGACCTGCTGGGCCACAGCCCCACCTGCAGCTACTGACCGACGTCTTGGCTGCTCACCCCCAGCGGGTTCCCGGGCAGTTGGCCGCTGCTGTGTTACAGAGGGACCCAACTCAGCATGGCCTCGCTGGCCTGCCCGAGAAGGCCCCAGAGGCCCTCGGGGCTCTGCAGATCTGTCCTCCTTGGCTCCCGGGGTGGGTGCTGCTGGACAGGCTCCACGCAGGATGGCCTTCACGGTGTTGTCGCCCCCCAGGTGCCCTCATCAGTCACGACAAGCTCCTGCTACAGATCAACCCCGAGCGGGAGCTGGGGAACATGAGCTACAAGCTTGGACAGGTCAGTGTGGGCGGCGGCTTCCCCTCCCTCGAGCAGCCAGGGCATGTCCCCTTGCTATCCTCACTTGCTCTTGTCTGCCCTGAATTTGGGCTATTGGATGCATCCAGAAAAATTACATGCATTTTTTAAATAAAAGGAGGGTTTTTCTTTTATTTGTTCTCATTTATGTTCTCTTCTCCGAGGATGATTTAAGGATCTTGTGTCCATAGTGATGTGAGTGTGTATAAGTGCAGTGAGGTGGTATGAGTCAGGCGTCAGACCGCCAGGCTCAGATGTGGTGAACACACAGTAGGGCCCTTGCTCTGGTGGGCCACGGTTTGGGCCCCAGGCATCCCTGCTGCCAGCTCAGAGGGAAGTGGGGTCACACAACCCAGTGCAGCAGATGGGGTGGCTCTGGGCACCAGGGCGACGGCTTCCTGGACGGGTCACTTTGAGCTGTGTGCTTTGCATCCTTGTGAGAAAGGCAGGTCAGTGACACACATGATAGTGCAGGCCAAGGAGCCAGAGGACATGTGTACGGGTGGAGAGGACACCCATGGGTGGCCCGCCGGCTGCCCTGTCCACGTCTGTGTTCTCTCACACCTTACTGGTTTACTTAAGAGAGCAGTTACACAGGACTGTTTCCTCTTTAGCTTTTGTTTCAGGGGACATTGGCCAGAGCAGGGGTCGGAAACACGATTGTCCCGAGAGCATCCCCAGTGGCCCCGGGCACAGACTCATGGCAGAGCCCCCAGGCCCACTCGGTCTTGCCTTCTCGGGCTCACACACACTCCTCCAGGAGCAGGGAGCCACAGCCAGGCTCTCCATGCTGTCCTTGCTGAGACGTTTCTGCCTGAGATAAATCCGGGTGATGGGGCTCAGTATCGGTTCTACAGAAGTAGGTTTCTGAGGCTCAGGCTTCGAGGGAGCTACCCGTGGCTCTCTGGGGGCACCTGACCTCCTGGATCCAGAAGCAGTAGCCCCACTGCCTCCCTTCTTGAGCTTCTGTGTTTATGCACAGCCACCAGGAGTGGAGCCCCAACCGCAGGCTGCCTGCCCCAAAGACTAGACGACCAGGTGGCTCCTGCGTCCCTCCGTGCCGAGCCATCACTGGCTGCCAGGGAGGGAAGGGAGCAGAAGGGCCGCCCTCCCTCGAGGCCCAAAGCTGGCTCTGAGGCTTCGTGGTTCCCAGTCCGTCTATGGGAGCCTTCAGGCAGCTGCCTCCAAACTGCCCGCGCCCATGCCAGGACCCCCACGGCTGATGGGATCTGAGGGGGAAATGGTGTTTGTGCTGAGTGGGAGTTGGGCTGGTGTATGGACGGGGCTGCATACCAGAGTACTTCCATGCCAACAGACGTGTGGGAGCACAGGGCCTGTGTGAACTGGGTGCATGAGGAGGTGCCCTGGTGGACGGGAGGACTCCTGTCCCAGCACTCTGCCACCATCTCCAGAAGCAAGAGGAGGCTGGGGGCCTGCAGCTCGGGATGGCCCCACGCCTGAGCACTGAGCCCACGGCCTTGTCTCCCGAAGGTGTCCATTCATTCCGTGTGGCTGGGGAACAGCATCACGCCCCTGAGAGAGGAGGAGTGGGAGGAAGAGGAAGAGGAGGAAGCTGATGTCCCTGCCCCGGCATCACCACCCACGTCACCGGTCAACTCCAGGTCTCCCATCTGCCCTTCATTTCTATAATTTGAGGTTTCTTCTGGGTTATTTGATTTGTTTGGGGTACTGTTTGACATGAGCGTCTCATCTGTGTGTGGGGCGGTTGCCCCTCTGGTTTCACTCTGCAGGAAGCACCGGGCGGGGGTCGATATCCACTCCTGCTCCCAGTTTCTGCTCGAGTTGTATAGTCGCTGGATCCTGCCGTCAGGTTCAGCCCGAAGGACGCCCATCATCCTGATCAGTGAAGTGGTTCGATCCGTAAGTCCGCCTTCCCTGCTCCCCCACAGGCACGGCGCTCCGGTGGTTGGCGTGCACGCACTCACACGTCCACAGCAGTACAGATGCTGCGCACAGTCGCATAGTCCGCGGTCTCTGGGAACCTGGGAGGGCGCTCTTAGTGGCTCGCAGGTGCAGGAGGGTGAAGTATTTCTCCAGCCCAGGGAGGGGCCACTTTGTATGTTTCTGATCTATGGCCAGTGAGAGTGCCGTGTGCATCATGACATGAGGAGGCTCTGAAGGCCCCCCTGCTTAGCCACGTCCACCTTAAGGGCCCATCTCGTAACCGTTTGCTTTATTAGATGGGAGCTGGACTCTCAGTCCTGCCTCCACACTCCCTTTGAGAAGCTCCTGTGCGGGCAGTTGTTCTCTCTGTGGACTCGGCCTCCTGCACAATCGAAGACCCCAAAGGGCATTTGTGCGAGGACTGGGTCTACGTTGTTCACCGAATTGGGAGTGGAGTTGTGTGGTTTACAAATAGTTCCTTGTGAGCCACCATCTTCGCCTCCATATCATCACGTGGCAGGAAGTGAGCGAGACTTTGGAGCCCACGACTTCAGTCCCTGCTTCCTGCCCATGGACCAGCCGGCTAGAGGCATCTGCACGGTCTCTGCCATGGAGGGCTCCAGCCCCGACATGCCTCCATCCGGTAATGGCAGGCGACGACTTTGAGCCTGGTTCTTGCCAGTACACAGCTTTTACGGTTCTTAAATCATTAGATACCTCATCAAGGGGAGATGCCCAAAACCTCATTTTTAATGTGTAGTGAAAGTTTACAACCTGATTTTTTTTAAAAATCAATAAATAGTAGGCACCTGTAATAAGGGTTTTTTTTTTAATTTATCCATTTAAAATAACAATGATTTTTATTTTAAAGTAACACTTCTTAATTAGTAAGAAGAGCCTTATTTTACATTTCTGCAAATCTCTTGACTGATTTTTTTAAAAGAGAGTTAGAGGGGCACCTGGGTGGCTCAGTGGGTTAAAGCCTCTGCCTTCGGCTCGGGTTGTAATCTCAGGGCCCTGGGATTGAGCCCCACATCAGGCTCTCTGCTCGGCGGGGAGCCTGCTTCCCCCTCTCTCTCTGCCTGCCTCTCTGCCTACTTGTGATCTTTGTCTGTCTGTCAAATAAATAAATAAAATCTTAAAAAAAAAAAAAAAAGAGAAAACCTCTGTTGAGCAGAGAGCCCGATGTGGGGCTCAATTCCAGGACCCTGGGATCATGACCTGAGCCGAAGGCAGAGGCTTTAACCCACTGAGCCACCCAGGCACCCCGAAAGTTGGATTCTTATGTCTGCTCTGACTTCAGTCTAATATCAAAGGATTTCTAGAAAAGTTCTCTCTATGGTCAGAAGAGAGTAGAAAGGCAGACAGGGTCTCTGTGTTACCACGGAAGCAGTTCCGAACTCCAGAGGCCTGGGAGGCACCCCAGTGTCTGCTGTGTCTGCCTTCGGCACTGCTGCTCCCAGGGGCTCACTGAGCCCCATGTGGCCTGTGCCTGGGCCTCTGAGGAGGGCAGCGCTTCTGCCTGCGCGCCAAGTGACACGGGAAGAAGTGAGCCTCCAAGAACTCAACGTTTTGGGGAGTTGGAATCATCCAAGCATCTATTTCTGAAATGGTGGCCCATTTCTCTGTCCAGGGCTTTGGAGAGCCTGTCCCCCAGTGCTATGGGGCAGGGGGGCTGGGGGTGTCTGGTGTTTTGCAGAAGAGCAGTTGGAGGGCTTCTCAGTGGCGCTGCGGCTGTGACAGATCCAGGCGTGGGCTCTCGCTGGACATTGTAGACACAGAAGCATTCTTCAGAGGCTACTCGGTGACCAGTCCTTCGCCTGGTCTGTTCACGCCTCTGTTGTAGGTTTCCATGGGGGCCACTTGTGTACCTGGCCAGGACTCCTTTGAGTACCCAGCATGTGCATTTTGGACGTTGTTGCTTACTTGCTATCTGAATGCCCTGTGCCCCCAGCTCCTGGTGGTGTCGGACTTGTTCACGGAGCGCACCCAGTTTGAGATGATGTACTCGGCGCTCACAGAGCTGCGGAGGGTGCATCCTGCCGAAGACGAGATTCTTACCCAGTACCTGGTGCCTGCCACCTGCAAGGCGGCTGCTGTCCTCGGGATGGTAAGCGAGGGCTGCTGTGGGGGCCACCTGGTGTCGGCCGCCTGGTGTCAGCCACGGGTGTAGCCTCGGCCTTGGACGACCTGGCACGGGCTGGAGGTCATCTGCTTCTCCGTGGGTCATGGTGAAGTGTGTTGTGTGGGCGAACCTCGGCTTGGGGCTCTAGTACCCCTTAGGTCCGTGATGTGATGACCCATCTCCCCCAGGAGCCAGGGGTGCAGGCGGTGGAAACGTGATGGCTCCTCCTCCAATAGCCCACGCCCCCCGCCCACAGAACCCTGTGCTTCCTCTCACTGGAGCTTCCCTCCTGGGGGCCGTGTTACCCTAGAAACCCTGCATTTCCTCCCCCATAGTCTGGGTGCTCTGGTCTCTTCTTGGCAGGAGGGCACACGATCTACTGGTGAGTCCTTTCTTACTCCGCAGCTAACTGACGAGAACTGGGCCGGTGGGGTGCACGCCGTTCTCTGTGCGCCCTCACATAGTGTCCGCTCACCAGATAGGCTGTGGGCACATGAACGTGCTTGTGCACAGGCCCTGCCTTTGTTAGCTGGTCAGGGACTAAAGCTCGGCCTCCAGACAGCGCCAAGCTGGCTTGTGCTCTCGGCTATGTAGCTGCCACCGTTGACCCTGGGGCCCAGCCTCCTGTTGACAGCAGGGACTCCTCCATCTACCCCACATGTGGGGGCTGCCTCCTCCACATCCCCATGAGGTTCTTTCTGTCCTGGTGCTGCGGCAGGTCTCCCCCACCCAGCCCGTTGTGGAGAAGGCCAAGACCAGGTCACACAGGACGTGGCAGAGGTGTGGGCCCACATCTGTGGCCTGCAGCCCTGCTTCTTGCCCCTTCCTGGCTGTGGCCCCTGTTGAATTTGTGCCTCTGACCCCAAGTGCCCGGGCAGGTACCCTGCATCCTGGGTGGCTGTCAGCCGTGGAGCCACCATCCAGGAGCAGGAACAATGAACCCATCAGCTTGCCCCCGTGAGCACATCACTTCAAAGTGTGTGCTCTCCGGGTGTCGAGAGACACGTGAAAGCTGGACTTGAAAGCGTCTTTTTTGTCTTTGTGGGGGATTTCAGCTGCTGGCTGCATTTTCATCCTAATTGTGTTTTTGTGCTCAGGCCCAGATCCCCCTAGACAAATGTCGTGTTGTCGATAAATTGAATAACTAAAAAGCATTTTTCAGAAGACCCTGAGGCAAACACTGCATGTTCACACTGTCCCCGTCCTGACGTGCTCGCAGATGTCCCCATGAAGGTGGGGGCTCTATAGCCAAATATTTCCACAGCGTTGGGGACCATGCCTCTCTCATGGCAGGTCCTGCTGGGGCTTGCAGAGGCGGGGGCTGGCCTCTGGTGGTGGGGGTTCTTGGGAAGGCAGCACCCCACCCTGGCGTATGCACATTGGCTCACAGGAACCCTTGGCGAGAGCCACCTTTCCCCCCAGGTGGGTCGCCCCACCCCCACGCTGCTTTCTGTGGCCACTTCTTCCCCAAGAAGGTGTGAGTCTGGAGGGAGGAGTGTGGCATGCTTGGTTTCTGCGGCGCCCCACTAGGTCTCGGGCACTGAAAGAACACAGGTAACATTTTGGTCCAGGTCGGTGTAGACTACTGTCCAGGGTCCCCAAGACCACCCTGGGTTTTTGCTGGGAAGATTCACATATACTCACAGCTGGAGGTTTATCCTGTGAACACAGACAAGGCAAAATCAGTGAAGGGAACAGGTACGGGGTGGGGGGCCTTGGAGGGACAAAGTCCAGAGGAAACAGACGCCAGCAGCCAGCATCCTCTCCCGGGGAGTCAGGTGGGACACACTCTGTTCCCAGCAGCGCTGTGTGACAACACGTGTGGAGTCCCTTCTCCTGGGGAAGCTCGTGAGAGACGCAGAGCAGGGCTGTCACCGGTGCTAGTCCTTTAGGCCCCTCTCCCTGGCTCAGCCCCGACCGCAAAGCTGTTGGCGCTGACTGCAACATGGGAAGGGGACAGGAGGAAGGGGTGTCGGCACCGACTGCAGAGTGGGTGCAGACAGGGTGGGGGGCATGTTTGAGGAGCTGAGAAGGCTCCCAATGGCCAGGACCCCAGGCGCCTGCCTAGGGCCAGCACTGTGCGGGTGTCTCCAGCAAAGTCCCCGCAGCATACTGTCTTCCTCTATAGCATGAGGTCAGCCCCTCCTCGGTCTCTCCCATTGTGGTGGGCTAACCTCTGCCCCTGTGCCCATGCCCTAGGACAAGGCTGTGGCAGAGCCGGTCAGCCGGCTGCTGGAGAGCACACTGAGGAGCAGCCACCTGCCCAGCAAGGTTGGGGCCCTGCACGGTGCGCTTTATGTGCTGGAGTGCGACCTCCTGGATGAGACGGCAAAGCAGCTCGTCCCGGTCATCAGCGACTATCTCCTCTCCAACCTCAAGGGGGTGGCCCAGTGAGTATGAGTGGCCTTGTGGGGTCTCCATGTGGGATAGGGTGGGGTAGATCACACATCAGGTGGTGGGGCCAAGGGTGGCACCCTTCCGTGGGGACGGGGCCCGAGGTCCCTGAGACACAGGTACAGCACACACCGTCAGCTTGGTCCTCACCTCGTGGTTTCAGCTGCGTGAACATTCACAGCCAGCAGCACGTGCTGGTCATGTGCGCCACCGCCTTCTACCTGATCGAGAACTATCCCCTGGACGTGGGCCCAGAGTTCTCAGCCTCAATCATACAGGTGAGCGGTCTGGGGCAGCCTGCTCTGGAACAGGAGTGGGCGTGCACACACGGTCACCTGTGGGGGGGCACGGTCAGATCATTTTGATTTGGGGAGTAGGCATGAGCCACAGAGGCCTGACCCAGAAGTGTTTCTTCTCGGTCAGATGTGTGGGGTGATGCTGTCCGGAAGTGAGGAATCCACCCCATCCATCATCTACCACTGTGTTCTGCGGGGCCTAGAGCGCCTCCTGCTCTCTGAACAACTCTGCCGGCTGGATGCGGAGTCCCTGGTCAAGCTGAGTGTGGACAGAGTGAATGTGCACAGCCCACACCGGGCCATGGCTGCCCTGGGCCTGATGCTTACCTGCATGTACACAGGTGAGCTGCGGGACCCCAGAGACTGGCCCAGGCCCACCTGGGCCCGGCAGGTTAGTGACCCCGAGCTCCAGGCCACACGGGCCTCCTGTCTCTGTGAGAGAGAAGCATTCTCATTCTTGGGACACAGACCACGGGGCCTCACTGGCACTTGGGGGAGATCTAGAGTCTGGGATCATGGGGTAACGGGCTCAAGGTCACATTGTTGTATAGGCTTCATTCAGAGCTGGGCCTGGGGAGCAGGTCTGCAGACTGACCGCCGAGCCCCGTGTACCTGGGTCGGGCCCTGGGCTGCTGAGAGTTCCCTTCAGCTGGCTTCACAGCATCTCCCAGGGTTTGTTGAACTGCTGTGAGTTCAAGGCACAGTCTTCAAGACATAACAGTACCCAACGATTTGTTTCAGGAAAGGAGAAACTCAGTCCGGGCAGAAGCTCAGACCCCAGCCCTGCCACCCCAGATAGCGAGTCAGTGATTGTGGCAATGGAGCGTGTGTCTGTTCTTTTTGACAGGTAAGAAATGAAGCCCACCTTTGCCCTGAGCTGCCCTGGCGTGTTTGCTGGAGGCAGTGGCCTTCCCTTGCACCTGCTTTCCTCTCAGCCTTGCCCCTGTGGTCCTCTAGCTTCCTACTTGTGTCCCGACCTGGCACACACCACATTCAGGGCTCTGCAGCAGTGGGCCATCCTTGGAGCCCAGTACCCGGGAGTCTGGGGTTGACCAGCTTTGAGGCAAGTCCGAGCGCTCACCCCTCTCTCGTGAAGGTAGCGGGCAGCACCTGTCAGTGTGGAGGCATTAGGAGGGGCTTGTTAATGAGACAAGTCCTGCTCATGGAGTTCTGAGCAGTCCTGAAGACATCCATCACACGCTGCTGCCTTCATGGGAGAAGAGCCTCATGGTCAGAGCGGGCTCGGCTGCCTACCCCTGGGGCATGGGGGCCTGGCCTTTGAGCAGCATTAGTGGTAACTTCGGGGCTAGTGTTGAGTGGACTATGACAAACATTTAGACAGTAAACAGAAGTGCTTCTGGGAGCTTGTAGTTAATCCCCTCCTTCCCCTACTGCATGCGCTTGTGTCCAGGGTTGGCTCGGCTTGCCAATTCTGGAAAATGGGTTAGGCATCTTGCCAGGCTCTTTCCCCAGGACAGGGTCCCCGGTTCTGATCCAGGCCTCCCAGCCCAGGCGACATGATGCATCTGTGGCCTTGGGAGGCCCATTGTGTGCCGCTCAGCCTGTCCTGTCCCTTCAACTAGGTCTGCCAGAAGCATCTGGCTTTCACTGGAGCACACTGAGCAAGGTTGTTCCTGTGTCCACTTGGGCTGTGAGGTATTATGGAAAGCCGAGCACTGCAGTCTATTTCTGTGTTGAAATTTAAAATGAGTATTTATAGCCATTCTTCCATTCCACACAGATCTGTCAAGCTGGGCCACAGCCAGGTGGCAGGCAGGGGAGCCCACATTCAGGTCCCCGTCTTCATGGACTTTGTGCCCCAGTGCTAACCAAATAGACCAGTGTTTTAGTGAGTTCCCTCAGGTGTGCTACTTGGTCACGCTCCAGACACGAGGTGGGGACAACCGTGGGCATCACCTGGAGCAGCAGCCTCACATGTGCCAGGCTGTAGCCGGCATCTGCAGCAGGGGGATCTGTGCACACCTAGAAGGGGGCACGGGTCCAGCTTCTGGGTCAGTTCTGGTGCTTTCCGCAGTGTATGGCTCTCCATACATAAAAGAGCGTGGCCACCCTCGGGGTGCAGACTGAAGTCTCGGGGGTGAGGGGCGTCAGCAGGAGTGTGTGCGGGCCCAGTCAAGGAAGAAGAAAGGTCCTTGCTGACTGCAGTGCTGTGGCAGCAGAATGGGGGGCTGAGAAGAGGTCATAAAGCATTTGGACGTGGAAATGAATGTAACATGGACAGGGTTCTTAGGAGCTTTTGGTTTTTACTCTCCAATGGCACCATCTGAAACCCTTTCTGCTTATTACTTGGCATGACTTGGAAGCCCCTCTCCGAGTCATTGGCTCCCCATGGGGTGGGGCACTGGGTCTGTGCGCTCACCTGCAGGTCCCCAGCGAGGTAGCAGGGGTGGGGGAGCTTCGCCTGTTTGCTCTTGCAGGTCATGTCCTAGGACCCAGGCCATCTCTCAACCGGTTTCAGACATGAGGCCTTCTCAGGCTGGGGCCAGACTCTGACCTGTGTCCCCTCCTTTTAGGGTCAGGAAAGGGTTCCCCTGTGAAGCCAGAGTGGTGGCACGGATCCTTCCTCAGTTTTTAGATGACTTCTTCCCACCCCAGGACGTCATGAACAAAGTCATTGGAGAATTTCTGTCCAACCAGCAGCCGTACCCACAGTTCATGGCCACTGTTGTGTACAAGGTGAGGGCATGGGGTCATGGAGCCGGGGGCCCTGAGGTTGACTCACCCAGACTTTTCAGACTGAATGCCTTTTACTATCTGAGTGTGCTGACCCAGTAGACTTGCCCGTGGGCCTACTTCCTCACCTTTGAGAACCAGAAGCATGCCATGACCCAGCCTCTCATCTTTCTCAGGTTTTCCAGACTCTACACACCACTGGGCAGTCGTCCATGGTCCGGGACTGGGTCATGCTGTCCCTCTCCAACTTCACGCAGAGGACCCCAGTGGCCATGGCCGTGTGGAGCCTCTCCTGCTTCTTCGTCAGTGCTTCCACCAGCCCATGGGTCTCGGCTGTGTATCCTTCCCTGGGTCCAGGCCGCCACGCGGTAGTTTCTGTTTGTCAGTCCTGCAGACTCCTCTCGCAGCGTCTGGGTTCCTGTTTTCTGTTAGAGTTTTTGCAAGGAACCCAGCTGTCAAATGACGTTTATCTTAAGCCTCGAGAGAGTGCAGCATTGGTAAGGGAACAGAAAGGCGAATGTTTACCACACTGACCAGTACCACTGGGAGAGGCGGGGCGGGAGGGGTGCCCCGGGCAGCAGGAGGTCCCCGTGGACTCCTCCCGCCTGCCCTCGGGCCCTGTGCAGTTGGCTGTGTGGCTGATCCTGGTTTTCATTATTCCTGGTCCATTGTGCCTCGTGTCAACCTCGCGGGTGAAAGGCTTAAGTAAAGATCCAGTTCCCACCCCAAAAATGCTGGCTGCCAAAAGGGGATGTTCTTCTCTGGCAGCCTTCCCCCAAGACAGACCAGAGCCTCTGAGCAGACAGCGGTCCTGGTGCTGGCGGCTGGCCTCGCTCAGCATTGCCAGGGAGGGCCCGGGCTCGGGGGCCATGGCTCTGGCCTGCCTCTGTGGGAGCAGGGCCCGTGGGAGCATCAGCAGCCAGAACTGTGCAGGGAGTCAGGCCAGGTAAGTGCTGAGGAGTGGAGCACCCCCGCCTCTGGGTTCCCCTCCCCACCGGGCAGAGCCAGGCTTGCAGCTGCTGCAGCAGCGTCATTGGCCGTTCCCAGCTTGGCTAGCAGGAACGAGGTGGGAGGCAGCTGCTGCTGCTGTCCAGGTGCCCCGCCTCTGCTCCAGGCGGCCTGTGTGTAGACCTGTGTTGGGGAAGGACAGCCTGGTGAGGCCGGAGAGGCGTGGACGGGAGACCATTCATTCTTCCCTCACTTGAGCCTTGCTCCCTTGACTCATCTGCCAGCCTTCCCCACGTCATCAGCAGGATGGGCAAGCTGGAGCAAGTGGACATTAACCTCTTCTGCCTGGTGGCCACGGACTTTTATAGACACCAGATAGAAGAGGAGCTGGACCGCCGGGCCTTTCAGTCCGTGTTCGAGGTGGTCGCGGCACCAGGAAACCCGTATCATCGACTGCTGACTTGTTTGCAGAATGTCCACAAGGTCGCCGCGTGCTGAGCGCCCACGTGGGGCAGTGGCCCTGGAGCTGGGGATCCCGCCCATGTCGGCGCGGTTCTGCACGCAGGCCTCCCCCCTCCCCCATGTCGCATTGTGGCCGGGCAGGCGGTGTCCAGCTCTGCCATGTGACGGAGGAGCTCTGTGGCAGTGAGGCTGCTTGCAGGGAACATATGCAGTAACGTGGGGTTGAGCCTGAGTCCTTGCGGAGGGCAGGGCAGCTGTGTCACTAACCCTCTGTGCCGCGGCTAGTGCGAGATGCCAGCTAACCAGCCGTTCCCGTCCTCCCCGTGCCCAGTCAGCTCGAGGCCGCTGGGCCACAGCTGCTGTTGCATCCAGGGCGGAGTCCTTGCGCTTGCAGGGTGGCCCGGGCCCCTCTGCTGTCCCACAGGCAGGAGGTGGTGCCAGCGGGCTGTGGGGAGCACTCCCCCGGGCTCTGCGGTGTGTGCGGGTCCGGGGTGGGGGTTGCTGGGTACGCGACACCCAGCGCCGTACTTCCCTTTCTCTGTTTTCTTCTCAGGATTTAAAGTTTAATTATATCAGTAAAGAGATTAATTTTAAGGTAACTTTCTCTGCCCGTGTAGAGTATGTACATTGCCAAGTCTTTGCCGCACGCAGCAGCACCGGTGGAGGCTTCCCTGAACTGGGGTGCTCCCGCCGCCACCTGTTCTCCGTCCCGCAGCTCCTCCTGCCGGACACCTGCCTTTCGTATTAACACGCCAGCCGCGCTCGGTGGCGCACTTCACCCTTTCTCATGCGTTCACAACTAGTAAGAATTTAGCTGTTTAATGTTGAGGTGTCTGCGTCAGGAACGCACACAGCCTCTCCGGGGATTGGAAAGTGCCAGCCCCTGACCCGTGCACAGGTGGGGTCTCTCCTCCCACCTGGACGGCTCCAGAGCTTCCACCCCAGTGAAGGACTGCTGTACTGGTCCCTCACTAACAAAGCCAGCCCACCCGGCTCTGACAGTCTGTCGTGTTCAGTGACGCCGGACCGGTTGGCCTGCAGTCCCGTCCTGAGCGGAGTCTGGGTGGCCGTCTGCCCAGGGGCCGACTGGCCGCTCTTGGGGTCTGGTTCCCATGCGGTCCCTCTTGTGTGTTAAGGCCCAAGCTCTTGGTCAAGGGCAAAGCTTGGCACCTTGGCAGCCATTCAAGAAGGACCCCAACACCTCCTCGGCGCCCTTCCCAGCTCAGCCTGTACACTGGGCCTCCTTTCGGGAGGGTGCAGATCTGTACCCAGTGGACTCAGGATGGGGCTCGATTGGAAGGAGCAGGAAGGAGACAGGACTGGGCAGCAGTTGGCTGGCCGATGGCCCCTCAGAGCCGCTGCTTCTTCCCAGACCCAGGCCACAGGACCAGCTTTCTGTTTCCAGCCCCAAAGTAGCCAAATTGTCCAGTGCAGAAGAGGCCTGGCCGTTTGGGTGGACCTCTGCTGGACAGAGCTGTGGTGTGCCTACAAGTGGGCCCGTGCTTGCTGTCTGACTAGGCTGGCGGGCTCTCTGCCCTCTTGGCCTCCAGAGATGGGCACATGGTCACATGGTGACCGCCACACCATTCAGCTTGGTTGTGATTTCAAGTGCAGGTAGTGTTTGGGGTGTTTCATGGGGTAAGTGGAAGAGAACATTGAAGCCCTTTTCCAGAGTCTGCAGAGGAGGAGTATTGGTACATGGTTAGTTACCCTGACGTCTGGCCAGCATGGGCCTGATGTCCCACCATAACACACGCAGCCAAACTGCCTGGAGGCTCCTGAGCTGACTGCCCCAGAGCTCCTGTTTCCTTCTGCCCTTTCCTGCTGCTGTGGTTTGGGACCTACTGGGGTGCAAGGTTTTCCCGCCAGCCTCCACAGAGGCCCCACCGAGCCAGGGCGTGAGTGGTAGACATGGGTCCCATGTCTGAGCAGGACCGGAAGGGAACCGGGAAAGTAAGGAAAGTAAGTCACCATTGTCCCCGGCCCCGCTGGGCTCCCATTTCTTGACCTGCCATTTCCCATAAAAAGCCTGCTGGGATGTTTGTGAGTGCGGGAAAGTGTCCCCGCACCCCCATCTGCCCCATCACCTCCACGGCCCTGAGATGGAAGCACCATGGGCCACGTGCTCTTCCTGCTGAGGCGTTGACATTGTAGGCCGTAGCACTATGAATGGGAGGTTTGGAGCTGTTCCCCTTAGGAGCCATATCACTGGGCTCACCTGTAGGCATCCCCCATCTTCCCTTGTTTGTCACCGACCCGAGATCATCATCTCTTAACAAGGGGGCCTAGAGCCCCGCCCTGCCCATGGGCAACGACCCAGACTGGGCCGTGTGCTCAGAGACGGACAGGAATTGGCGAGCGCAGGTCTTAGCCATGGAGAGCAGCAACGTGGGTGCCTGCGCAGACCTGTGAGTGTATGTATGTCTCCGTATGCAAATGTGCAAGGCTACCCAGGATGGTTGAGGCAGTTCTCAGAATTCGGCTTTTCTTAGCTGGCCACGTGGAGTTGGCTGCAAGGCTGAGACATCTAGGAACCGTGTCATTGCTCGTTAAAATCCTGAGAAAAGGGTCCGCTTTTCCAGCTCTCTGCACAAGGAATTAAAACTCTATCAAGTTCCTAGAAGTCTGTGGCAAGCAGCAGTCATCAATCCACATGTTGTTGAAAATGTTAATTTGGCAGGTCTGTTTGCAGTGGGGGGAGTTGTTTTCCTGCCGACACTTTGAACACAGACTTGAATGAAACCAGGGCGATGTCCTTCTGCCTGCCTTCCCCAGAAACGTGCCTCCCCTCCCCGCTGCCCCACTGTGGGCTGCCAGTGCCCGCGTCTCCTGCCCTGTCCTATTTTTGCCAGCAAATGGATCCGGAGGATGAATGAAGCTGACCCTTCCAGACACCCCAAATGTAGCATCAGAAGGCCCTGCCTCTTAGAGGACCCCCACCGCACCCAGCTCCCCCCCATTGCAGATGTCACTTCCAAGGCCCCAGGGCCCCAGGGCAGCTTCTCCCCGGGGAGCTGCAGTGAGCCCTTGTTGTGGGTTCTTTTGGAACAGACTCTGAGGAAGCTTTCTTCGGTAGGGGTGGGACGGTGTCTCTGGTATTGTGGGGAGTGGAGTTCAGATACTGTGAGCACCTTCCCAGTCCTCACTTTCCGTTGCGTCCTTCCCTCTGCAGTGAGCCCTTGAAGCCATGGCTCCCGGTCAGGGTGACTGTGGGGTGGTTCTTTGTCGGGGGCGGGGGCAGCAGCAGGGGAGCTGCCTTGCTGCAGAGCTCAGGAGGGCTGTGCTGCTGCTGCTGGCCTGGAAGATTCAGGGGTCACTTTCCCCCGTGCACCCGTCACTTTCAATGCAGTCGAAGGAAGCCCCTCCCCTCCCCCGAGTGCTTCTGGGAGCACCTGGCCCTGTACAGTCCCTGCTGTTTCCTGGTGCAAAATGGGTGGTGACCACTGGTGCTGGAGGATCGTGGCCGTCATGGATGCAGGTGGTTGAGCTCTGAGCTGAGCGGGGCCCCCTGTCCACGCTCGCCGCTACGTGCCACGGTGCGGTGCCAGTCAGCGGGCTGTGCGCTCCTGCCACGCAGCCACCACCATCCCCCCGACGTGGGGAGCCAGCGAGGCTGTGAGGGGCACGTCCCGGAGCCCTGACCTGGACCTGACTGTCCGCTTCCAAGAAGAGAGGGAAGGACTGACATGCTATATGTATTTAAAATTTTTTAAACTGCTGCAAACGTTGTGTATCTGAATTAAAGGGAAATAACACCACATGCTACTGTGCGAAGCATGCTTGCTCCTGGAGAACCCCTGCCAGGGACGCTGGCTCGCGCCCGGGGTGAGGGAGTGGGCTGGGTGCGGGCTGACCGGGTGTGTCCAAGAGGGCCCCACAGATGTGAGCCACTTGGGACGTTGCGATCTGGCCATCCCAGGGCCACGTGGCTTGGGCATTGTATCTGGCTCCGCGTGTGTTTGGGGCCCTGCAGGGTCATCAGGGCTGGCGCAGGGCTAGAGCCCTCACATGGGCTGGGACCTGGCCGCTGAGCTCCCCTCAAGGCCCTGTCGGCAACCAAGCTCCTGGCCTGCCTATTTGCACTTTGAAGTCTCGCCTGGGAAGGCCTCACAGGTCCCCAAAGTCTTGCCTACTCCGCTGAGTGGGGAGCCGCACTTCTTAGCTCTGGGTGCTAAGCTCCTTGGGAGCCGTGGCAGTGGGTGTTGTAATCTTGGGGTGCAGCTGTCCTACCCCCAGCTTGCACTAACCACACCTCCAGGCTGATCTGGCAGGGTACCATGTCTATGTTCACTCCAGTCCCGTGGGTTCCTGCCTGTCAGCAGTGTGGCCCCACATCCTGTACCACAGTGGGTTCCAGACAGACAACACAGGCAGCTTAGTCCCTGCCCTCAGGGTGGCAGTGTGGCTGAATGCACAGACCTCCCCAGGCTCCGTGGCAGCCCCACGCACCGCCTTGCCCTGCACTGGGACCATGCTGGAGCACTGGACAGCAGGTACTGGCTCCTCATTCCAGCGGCCCTACACATTTGATGGGGCGACTTCAGCTCCCTAGATCTGACTGCTCAGTGATCCAGTTCCAAGGCCTCTGACGGGCCCTGTGAGCTTCCAAGACTCTCTCCCCCTTCCTGGTCCAAGCACAGACACTGCCTGGGGCACCTGAGCACACCTGGCCTACTGTTCTTTCCAGAAAGAAGGGTCCCAGAGCCTCTGGGGTGAGTGGATTTGCTGTTGCCCACACCCCTGTAGCAGAGGCATCCTCCTCTGAGCCTCTGGAGCTCTGCCGGGCATGATGGAGGCCTCTGGTCTCCCCCGCTAGGCAGCCTGGTGGGATGCAACACCGTGGGAGGAAGCATTCTACCTGGGCCGCTGGGCGAGACGTGGTCCTACTTTGTGGCATCCCCACGACTCCTCTTGGAAAGCCATGAGCACGTTTCCTGCAGTTTCCACTGATCTAGGCTTCAACAGCCCGGCCCCTGTCTGCCTGGATGGCACTTCCCCACCAGCCTCCCAAGCAGGAAACCTGGAGGCCACTCCCAATGGCCTGCTACTTGCCGGCCATGTCCTCTAGGGAGCTTGGGACTCCCAGGCCAAGGGGCATTTGGGATGTGGGTGGGCCCAGGGGAGCCATTGGTACAGGGTTGGGGCCTGCCCACCGAGGCAGAGGGCTGACAGGTAAGGGTCTGGGCTCCCCAGGGATGTAGGGAAAAGGGCAATGGTACTAGCCTGGTGAGCTGGGCCTACAGCACCCCGCCGCCCCCCCCACACACACACACAACGCACCCACCCACACAGCGCTGGACCGCAGCTTGGAGCTTCCTCCCACTGTGAGCTGGGCCATCTGAGGCAATCGTTGCCCCCTTCCAGTGGGACAGCCCCCACCTTCTGGCCCCGCCCTCCAGGGCTCAACCCTGCCACCCCCATCCCCCCCCCGCCCCCCGCCATACTTTGCCACATTCCTCGAGCTTCCCTGCATTTGCCCAGGATGGAGTGTTTCCACTGCTGAACTCACCTGCCCACTGTGATGGGCTCGGCTCTTGGGTGTCCGGTCCTGGCAGGCGCCGGAGGCTTGTGGGCACATCTGCTTCCTACCCTGGGCCTGCCTGGCTGGGCCCCCAGCATTCGGAGTAAGTCCTACCGAGCAACAGTTCACAGGGCCCACAGCATGTGGCCACACAGGTGCCCTGGCTTCCCGCTGAGGCTTGACCACCCTTCTTCCCGCAGGTGCTGCCGGATGCCCAGCCCCTGGCCCTTTGCCTCCCCGTCCCTCAGAGACTGAGGCCATGCAGCTGTGCCAAGGTATGAAGCCCTTCCCAGCACAGGACAGACAGGGCCCCCCCCACCTAGCCAAGGCTGTGCTTGGAGGCCCCCCGAGCACTCCCCTCTTTGGGGGGTTCCAGTGCCCCCTGAAACCCAAAAAGACATTTGGACTCCAGCCTCTTGCCCGGACCCCTCTGGATGCACTGGCTGGAGGGAAAGCAGGACACGCCAACCCCTCCTCAAGGGCCCCTGTTTGCCGGAGTGCTGAGCACAGTGATGACTGTGTACCAGCGGCTGCCCCTCAGCAGCAATGGGACCAGCTAGCCTGCAAGCTGGGGGCCTCGGGGCAGCAGCTTCCTGACGTGGCTTCACTGTCCGCAGCCAGGCCAGCTTGCCTTGTCTCTGTCCTCTTCAGTGCTCTTCTGGCCTCTCCCTCGGGCCCCCACCCGTCTCAGGAGGTGCCTGGGAGCCATGGGGGAAAGCCCTCGAGGGAGGGAGCGCTGAGAGCCTCTGCCTGAGCACTGGGGGCTTCCTGGAGGGTACATCAGCCCTGAGCCTTCCTGGGGGGTGCTGCCTGGCCAGGTAGCTGTGTCCCTGCGACCCCAGGTGAGCCCAGTGGCCCGGAGAGGAAGAAGCTCCTACAGGGAGGTGATGGCAGGGCTAGGCCTTGAACCAAGAACCCGCTGAAGGCGGGGCAGAGGCTCCTCTGTGCCCACACATGTGCCCCTGCTGCCCTCGCCCAATGCACTTCCAGTTCTGACCCAGCCTGGGCATCTCCTGCCCTTCCACCTGACAGTTCCCCATTCCAACCTCAGCTCTTGGGTGCACGGCTGGGTCTGAGGAGGACTTCTGTTAACCGTGGTAAAGCCTGGACTTCAGGAGTCCCTCCCCTGGGTTCAGGCCACCGCCAGAACCCCACAAATGCCAAGCAGCCTCATTGACGGCCCGTGGATACCAGAGCCTGGCTGGGCGCCTATGCCTGGGGGACAGGGTTGGGGCCTGTCCAGCAGGTGCGGCAGGCCCCTGCACATAAGCCAACTGGGGTTTTACCTTTTAATTTTGAATGTTGGTGCCTTTAGGTGGCGCTTTTTCTCCATAGTCCCATGGGTTCTATGGCCTTGGTCTCCTGCCCTGGCAGACCCCAGGGAGCACCTCAGCCCACCCCCTGCCTGGCTTTCAAGCCCACCTTTACTCCCACCCCTCTCCCCACACTCCTCCAGGGATGGTCACGCTGTCTCCCTGCCGGCTCCCCTTTGTGTTCCTGCAAGCCAGCCTTGCTGCCGATGTGAGCCTGGTTCTTTCCCGCAGCGCCCTCTGCCTTCCTGGTGAGCCGGGCCCCTGGTGAGCACCCCTGTGTCGCCATGCAGAGCTCACTTTTGTCCTGCAGTGTGCCCTCCCAGCCCGCTGATGCTGGCAATCCGTGGCCCCGGCCCTCAAGACATCGGGATGAGCCTTTGTCAAGCCCTGGTGGAGACCTGCTGAGGGATGGTGAGGGTCCCACGGCCAAGGACCCCAGCCATGGCCAGTAGCCACCTTGTCAGCACTGGGGGGCCTCCCAGGAGACCCCAGGAAATGCTGGGGAAATTGGCCAGGCACACAGCAGTTTGCACTGGCTATGTCCTGTGTGCCCTTCCCAGGACCATGGGCACATAGGAGGAGTGACAGGTGTTTTTTACTGGGAGCCTGGCAGCCTGGGCTCCTTCAGGAGACAGCACAGCACGGGGTCAGACGCAGTTCCAAGCCAGCCCCTTGCCCATAGGCTGACTTCACCTCTCCACCCCTTGGGCTTTTCATGGGTAAAAAGGGAATAACCATGAGGATCAAAGTGGGAGATATTATCTATAGCTCTTTTTTTTTTTTTAAGATTTTATTTATTTATTTGACAGAGATCACAAGTAGGCAGAGAGAGAAGGAAGAAGGCTGCCCACTGAGCAGAGAGCCCGATGCGGGGCTCGACTCCAGGACCCTGTGATCATGACCTGAGCTGAAGGCAGGGGCTTTAACCCACTGAGCCACCCAGGTGCCCCTTATCTATAGCTCTTAAAACAGTGCCCAGGATCCAGAGAATACTCAAATTATTATGTTCTCACTTTTGCAAGTATTCTGAACCCAGGATCACACAGCTAGAGTAGAAAATAAAATGGCCTGGCTCGATGTAGATCCAATTGTCATGAGGGAAAAAGGGAAGAAAGACCAAAACCAAGTAGGAAGACTACAGAGAGGAGGTGATGTCAGAATAGGGCTTTGAAGAATGAGTAGGAGTTTGCCGGTAAGTCCAAAGGCCAAGTCTAGGTGATCTCTTGGGAAGGGAGGGGCTACCTGAGATTGGTCCCTTTGTTTGCTCACGTAGTTACCCAGCAAGACTTTAGCAAATCCTTTTCCGTGAGGTACTGGGGTTGCAAGGAGCACGCCACCCACTGGGCGGAAGCAGGTCAAGGGCAGATGGCGCTGAGCAGGATGAGGTTAGGGCTGCCCAGGATGGGAGGGTCAGATAGACACAGCCACCTGCTGCCTACCACTCCCTGGCCTTGAGAACTGCCCTGACTTCTCCACTCACCCCACATCACCAGTCACACCTTCACGGAGGGAGACAGGCCATCCTGCCTGGCCTGGCCTTGGTGCATTTCCCATAATGAAGTGGGAGTGTGTTGGCCAGGGTCACACTGGGTGTGGAGCATGTTGTGGGTAGGCGAGGGTCTGTGTGTGTGTGTGTGTGTGTGTGTGTGTGTGTGTGTGTGTCGCCGCGGGTCTCCCGCAGCTTCTGCTCCTCTATGTCTCCCCTAGGCATCCGCCTCGCTGCCCATCCTCCTCTGCGTCTCTGCATCTCCCTCTTCATTTGCCCCGGGCCCTCATTTTGTCCCTCCCTGACTCCCCCCATCATGGGCCCTTCCCGGGTCCCTGGCCTGTGTGAGTGGGGCGGGGCAGGGCGGGGGGCCGTGGCATGGTCCCCAGTTCCCAAGTCCAGGGAGCCCACTGCACGCCAGGCTCCCAACGGGCCGGGCTGGGAGGCGGGGCCGGCGCCGGGCAGCCCGATTTGGGTCTGGCCCGCTTGCTGCAATATTGATGGCCCGTCAGGGCAGCCCTGATTCCTGCGCTTTCAGTTAAAAGGTTTCTGTTGTTGTAGCTTATGCAGTTGCTCTGTTGCTATGGAAACGTGACATCAAAATGACGTTTCCCGTTTAAAAGCTTTTAACTAAATTCCTGCCTGTCAGATGTAGGCCCCATTTTGAGCGCCGAGCTGCCTTCCAGGAGTGGGGCTCCCGCCCTGGTGTGCAGGCCACGGGCCGCCTGAGCGCCCTCTTTTAACCCCGCAGGTGCCTCCAGCATGGCGGCGGCCGAAGTGCCCGGCTACCTGGTATCCCCGCAGACGGAGAAACACCGGCGCGCCCGCAACTGGACGGACGCCGAGATGCGCGGCCTCATGCTCGTCTGGGAGGAGTTCTTCGAGGAGCTGAAGCAGACCAAGCGCAACGCCAAGGTGTACGAGAAGATGGCCAGCAAGCTGCTGGAGATGACAGGGGAGCGCCGGCTGGGCGAGGAGATCAAGATCAAAATCACCAACATGACCTTCCAGTACAGGTGGGCTCTGCGCGCCACGTGCCTGTGCGCCCCGCGCCCCGCGCCCCAGCCCCGCACTGGCCCAGCCCTGGCCCCACATCGGCGGGCTGCCACAGGCCCCTCGGAGCTGAGTCAGGAAGGCCCTGTGTGGGCAGAGCCTGGCCGCAACACGGGGCCTGCATGAACCGCTGGCTCCTGTCACCGAGGTGGGAAAGCTGAGGCCCAGCAAGACGGGCGGTTGCCTGGCAGCACCCCACCCGAGACCCCTGCCCAAGCCACCCACAGGCAGCTCCCACTCGGTGAGACTGCGTGCCGGTCGCCCAGGCATGGCTCGGCTAAGTAGGGAAACTGAGGCCAGGGGCGAGAAGGAGGCTCCACTCCCAGGCCTGTAGATCCCGCCTGGTGCTCACACTCTGTCCTTTCCGGCAGCCACCAAGCCCAGCTGTGAGCGCAGCCAGCATGGTCCATGATTGGTGAGCCAGGTGTGTTGTCGGGCTGATGCTGGGGTACCCAGTAGGCCCCCACTCGTGGAAGGGGCCTTATTTGTGGAAAGAAGCCGTGGGGACCCAGGCCTGGCCCCACATCTGCCTCTACCCTTCCTGCTGTGGCCACTTTGCCCTGGCAGTCTGAGGGAGGCTGCTCGGTCGGGGCTGTGGACAGGGTTCCCAGGCGGGTGCACTGTGGCACCCCGTGGGGAGATAGCCCCGGGCCCACAGGCCTAGCACCTCGGGGGTGGGGGTGGGATCCAGGCCTGTCTGCAGACAGTCACTGTGTGCAGAGGGTCCTGGGCGTGGCCAGGGTCACAGGTGTGGACTGGGTCATGGCTGTGGCAAGGGTCATGGGCAGGGCTAGGGTTGTAGTCAGGCCAGGGTCCTACTGGGGGGAAGGTTGCCCCAGAGCTAGGGGCTGTGGGGGGAACTAGCAGCAGTGAGAGTGGGTGGGGGGCTTAGGGCAGAGGTGGACCTGTCAGTGTCCCTGAGAGGGGCGCTGTCCCCGGAGCACATGCAGGTACCCAGCAGCTCCCAGCCCCAGTGTCCTCCTGCTGCTCCTAGGGACTGCTGTGAGCAGAGGGGAGAGGCGTTGTCAGGGCTGGGTGTAGACAGGGCCTGCAGGCTTGCCCTAGGCACCTTGAGGGGATCTGCCCTACCAACAGTAGACAGGGGGCCACCCCTTGCCCCTCCTGGCCTGCAGCTCCCAGCCCGTCTGGGGCCTGGATGCATGCAGAGGCTTCCCAGGGCCTCTGACATCCAGTTGGCCATTTTCAGTTGTTAACTTTTCATGGCCCTTGAAGGAGTAGTTCCAGAGTGTGGACCCGCCGGAAGGCCCATCTCCACCTGCAGCCCCAGCTCCCAGGCAGGCCCAGGGGCCAGAAATGAGGCAGCCACTAAGGCCACAGTCACAACATAAACAATGTCCTGTTCCAGCCACCAGCTTGAGGGCTGAGTTGTCCGTAGACATGTGTGTCCCTGTCCCCCCCTCCTCCATGCACACGGCGCACCCCTCTATGCCTGGTGGGGGTTTGCCCATCTGACTCACAAATTCATGGGCTCTGATTGGTGTCTGGCCAAGTTATTAATTATTTATCCTGAGAGCCTTCTGCAGAGTCCCAGGGGAGGTGTTGTGTTCCGTTCCTGGAGGTGGGGGCTGTGGGCCAAGGAGGCCATAGGAGAGGAGGGTACAGCAGAGCTAGGGCCTGGGCCCTCCAGTCGGGCCCCATTCCAGATGCTGCTGGGGGTAAGGGTTGCACGCATATATAACATTATTTTCCCATTCCCTGAGGGGGAAACTGAGGCCTAGAGCAGAGGAGGGACTTGCCCAAGCCTTTAACAGGCTGATGCTTTCATTAGTTGACTAGTTCTTTATCTCTTTCCTCCCATCCACACCCAGAAAGCCTCCCACAGCAAAGTCTTTTCTTATTTTTTCACTATAGCTCTTTACATATTAAGGTTGTCAAGGTAAGGAAGACTGAGTAGCTGCATTCCTTGGAGCATGGTTTCTTGGAATACCCTTCCGGGGTCTCCTGTGTCAGAGGCAGCCCTTCCTTCATTTCTCCAAGGAGTAGCCTGGCCCATGGTCAGAACAAGCACAGGGGGGCCTCCGGAGGGGCTGGAGGGGAGCCTAGGCAGAGGCTGGATGTGGGCCCCAGGCACAGTCCTCTACTTCCTGCACCTGGAATCTGTGTAGGCCTCCAGGGTGATGGGTGGTCCTGGGGTCAGGAGACGAAGCAGCCATGCCTTTTCTTCTATGGCCTATGCCTGGCTTTTTGCTGAGGACATTCTGCTCAGCGGATGCTGTTCCTAAGGCCAGCTCCTGCCGTGGCTGGCCTTGGCTTACTGCCCTGAGCCACAGACCCCCGTGCTGTCCAGGTGGGTCCATTTGCTGAAAGCAACTAGTTCAGATGGTCAGCTCAGTATTTCCAGTGACCAGTGTGACCAGGGGCCCATGCTGGCAGGAACCCCACATCAGGAGGCAGGAGCCATCCGGCCACAAGGGTTTCTGTAGCTTGAGGGCCTCCCTACTTGGGAGGGCCATAGACTAATGCTGGGTCAGAAGGGGCAGACAGCAACCCCCCTCCCCCAAATTGTGGCCTCCTTCCAGGCCTGGCCAGGGCTGCCCAGCTCTCCTGTAGCTGGGTCTCCCTTTCCTGAGCTCCCAGAATTCAGCCAAGGCACAGGGACCTACAAGGTCTGTCTGCAGGGAAGAGTAGGATGCAGGGCTGGGTAGGTGCCCAGCTCACAATGGGCAGAGCTGTGCTGTGCATACCCTTGGCCCCTGAGTCTAAGTAGGAATGGGGGATGTCAGGCCCAGCCCTGCTGCCTCCTGGTAGCTTCAGTCAGGAATGTTATCTGGTCGGTTTGCTGTTTGCCAGAACTGGGCATTGTCTTATTAAATTCTCCCTAAACCTTGTGAGGAGTTTACTTTGCTCATGCCCATTTTACTGATGTGAAAATGGAGGCTCAGAGAGGTTAATGAACCTGTCTAATGTCACACAGCAAAGTGGTGGAGATAAGCTACAGCTCAGGTCTGTTGGACACTGAAGCCTGCGTTCTTTACTCTGTGGATCTCGCTTCTCAGGTGTTCTCTTTAGAAAAACACATTCCTTCTATCATTGTCTTACGTTTGCTTTATATGATAGTTATCAGAAGATTTTATTCCTATGTTTGTATGATGTATTTTATTATTGCTGGTTAACTTAAAAGCAGGATTTGTTCCTTGTAGGGAGTTTAGAAACTACAGACCAGCAAGGACAGAAACAGTACAGCATAACCCCGGGCCCCGGCGCTCACGGACGACCTTATTCATGTTTGGGGTACATGATTCTAGTGCCCACCATGGGGTAGGTCCCCAGCCTGACTTTTTTCCCTGTCTCATGTCCCCTTGGCCCTGGAGCCTGGCCAGTTTTTCTGGGGAGGTTGTCTGGCCAAGAGTGGTTCCCTGGGGCCCCAGCGCCCCCAAGCACCCCTCAGCCGAGGGCCAGGTGGAACAGGCCGGGAGCAGCTCCGTTTCTCATCCTTGGCTCTTGTGTCTCTCGTTTCAGGAAATTAAAATGCATGACAGATAGCGAGTCCGTCCCGCCCGACTGGCCCTATTACCTAGCCATTGATAGGATTCTGGCCAAGGTCCCCGAGTCCTGTGATGGCAAACTGCCGGACGGCCAGCAGCCGGGGCCCTCCACGTCCCAGACCGAGGCGTCCCTGTCGCCGTCTGCTAAGTCCACCCCTCTGTACTTACCGTATAACCAGTGCTCCTACGAAGGCCGCTTCCAAGACGATCGCTCCGACAGCTCCTCCAGCTTACTGTCCCTTAAGTTCAGGTAGTGTGTGTCTTCCTTCCCTGCCTCCACCTCCAGCAGGGCCAGGAGCCTGGCGGCCAGAGAGGGGGCTGGGAGAGGAGAGGGGTGGCGGCTCTGGGGCGGTGGCATCCTCTGCCATCCCTGGCTGGCTGCCAAGGCCTAGGTGGTATGCAAGGGCGCCCAGGACAGGGAGGCTGCAGATGGGGGGCCTCAAACAGGGGACCCTCAGACCAGAGGGCCTTAGATGGGAGGCCACAGACCGGGGGGCCTCAGACGGGGGGACCTCAAACAGGGGGCCCTCAGACGGGGAGCCATGGGTGAGGGCCCTCAGATGGGGAGCCTCAGATGGGGGTGCCACAGCTGGGGGGCCTCAGACGGAGGACCTCAGACAGGGGGCGCCTCAGAGGGGGTGGCCTCAGACGGGGGACCTCAGATGGGGGGCCGCAGATGGGGTTGCTGCAGACAGGGGGCCTCAGACAGGGGGACCTCAGACAGGGGGACCTCAGACGGGGGTGCCTCAGATGGGGAGGCCTCAGACAGGGGGCCTCAGACGTGGGACCTCAGATGGGGGGCCTCAGATGAGGGCCTTCAAATGGGGGACCACAGATGGGGTACCACAGACGGGGTGCCACAGATGGGGCACCTCAGAAGGAGGCCTCAGACGGGGGGCCTCAGACGGAGGGCCTCAGATGGGGGGCCTCAGACGGGGGGAGCTCAGACAAGGGACCTTGGACGGGAGGCCTCAGATTGGGGGGCCTCAGATGGGGGGAGCTCAGATGGGGGCGCTGCAGACAGGGGCCCTCAGACGGGGAAGCCTCAAAGAGGGAGGTTTCAGACAGGCTGGTCAGACTGGGAGGCAGGAGATACTGAAGTTCAGGCTGTCATGTCCATAGTCTGGTTTCGTCTCCTGGCTCCATTACTTTCTAGCTGTGTGGAAAGTCCTTGACCTCTCTGGGCCTCAGTCTCCTTCTGTAAAATGGGGATAAATCAGCACTTAGTCTGAGGATGGCTGGGAGTGTCACAAGAGAGAAGGGTGGGGACTGGCACATGGAGGAAGACCAAGTGCTCCCCCACCAACCCCCCAGTTTCTGGCTCCTGGGCTCCCCATCACCCCCAGCAGACCCTGACCCAGGGTCTTCCTCCTCCCTGCCCTGGCAAGGCTGGCTGGGAGGGGAATTGGGCTGAACCCCCAGAGCATGCTCCTCAGCTAAGACCAGCGGGCATTCCTGTCCCCTCTGCTGTCCTTCATAAACGTCCTGCTTGGCCAGCCCCAGCCACATGAACCTGCCCTCGGGAGGCCCACAGACAGGTGCACAGGAAGCACAGCTCCGGGGTATGGAGGCCTGGGGAACCAGAGGGACACTTGGGGCCGGCTTTCAGGGGTGATTAGGAGTTGGCTGGTTGGGGAAGAGAAGGCATAGAGCAGATTTGAGTGTGGCCCTGTTTCTTCCTCAGCCGTGGGCTGTAGGTCTGTCAGATGGGGGTGAGATGAGAAGGGTCTTGGGGAGTGTGAAATCTGGGGCTGCCGCTCATTTTGTCTGGTGCCCCTTCCTTGCGGTGGATTTCTCAGCAAAGACCCCAAACAAAAATGCCTTTGTGATGGCCAGACGGAATCGGCTGGAAACTTGAGGGTTATGGCCAGGTGTTTCCATGGGCTGACCCAGTTCCCAGACCCACAGCTGCCCCCAGGCACCGCACCAGGGCTGGGACATGGGAGCTGCTGTCCTGCCTCTGAGGTTGGCTGGGGCGCTGCTCTGCTTCAAAGCACAGGGCCCAGAGAAGGGGACTGGCCAAGGCCTTGGGGGGTCTGGTGGGAGGTGGCCTGTTAGACCGGGGTGCTCACTGCCCCCCAGCAGAGAGCACAGGGCCTGGCTGCAGCACCAGCTGCCTTTGCCTCCCTGGAACCGCCAGAGGTTCCAGTCCCCATGGGAGAAGCCACAGCGCCCCTGGCCACCCAGTCCTTCTCGTCTCTCCCCTGGTGTGGCCACTGCCCTCCCTTCCACTGAGCCCCACACCAGGCCTGTGCCCCCCGACCGGTCCAGGGGTTTGGGGCTGCTCCTGTGGCAAGGTGTACCCTGTCCAGTCGGGCTATGGGGGTTTGGATGGCCCTGGGACCCAGGACTGGGGTCTGGGACTGCCTTGGGTCCCACAGAGTGGCGGTGCCCACAGTCCCTCCTTGCTGGCTGCCCGGGGCCACCGCGGGGTAGGGGTGGGGCGGTGCTGGGCACGTCAGGTGGGCGGAGCCACAACCTTGCGGCCCGCCATCCCCACGCGGCACTGTCCTTCCAGGTCGGATGAGCGGCCCGTGAAGAAGCGCAAGGTGCAGAGCGGCCACTTGCAGAAGAAGAAGCTGCGGCTGCTGGAGGCCATGTTGGAGGAGCAGCGGAGGCTGAGCCGCGCCGTGGAGGAGACGTGCCGCGAGGTGCGCCGCGTGCTGGACCAGCAGAACCTGCTGCAGGTGCAGAGCCTCCAGCTGCAGGAGCGCATGATGAGCCTGCTGGAGAAGATGATCGCTAAGTCCAGCGCATAGGGCCGGCGACACCGTGCAGGCCAGCTGCTCCAGGCCGGGGCCCGGGGTCGGGATGGACGGCCTTCCGTCCGCCCTGGGGCTGCTCTGGGGAAGGGAGGCCGCGGCTGCCAGTCTTGCTCCGGCCAGGTACTTCAGAAGAACTCCTGGCATCTGTCCTCCAACACCATCACCGTCGGTGGTACTCACAATGGCTTTTGATACTCGCTATGTGATTTCTTGTGACTCCCTGGAAGCAGAGCTCATGTTCTCAGCTCACAGGTTGGTCAGTTCCAAACACGAACACGAACAGGGACAGGCCGGTGACAGCTTCATGCCCGGAGCAGAAACCCTCCCGTGGGGGAGACAGCAGTCTCGTCTGACCCCGGGCCGAAGCCCAGAAAGCCCGCCGCCCTCTTCTCGGAGCGCTGAGTCCTCCGAAGGCCTCCCCGTGAGGACACTAACAGAGCAAGGCCTGGTGCCCACGTTTCGGTTCTCTGGGCCCAGGGGGAGGTGGCACTGATGAAACAGAGACCTGGCCTCATGCACTCACACTCTGGCTGGGGAGGCAGCTGAGCAAGGAGGGCAAAGTCATGATAGCAGGCTGTGGTCGGCGCCGCAGGAGGAGGGAAGGGCAGGGACGAGAAGGGACAAGCTCATCTCCCCGCCTCTGTTCTGTCACCAGGAGGAAAACCTTTCCAGACTGTTCTCTGCTGGCTTCCTCCTAAGTCTTGTTGGCCACTGGGGCTTTGGTTCCCAACTGCCAGGGATGCAGGGCTCCCCGCCTGGGACTGGCATATTGCTGCCCACACAGCAGGGTTCTGAGACCACCCGGCCGGTGATATGGTTTGACTTACGATCCAGGAAAGCACCTTCTGGGTGAAGGCAGATGTCCTGCCAAGAGTCCTTCCCAGCCATCCTGGTGTGATAGCAGCCAGCTCATCTGATGCTGCTGTGCTTGCCCAGGGGGTGTGAGGCCAGCCCCAGGCCTGGCTGCGGTGGGCAAGAGACTAGGCAGCCGTGGAGCCCAGAGCAGCCAGACGTCCCCCAGCTCGGCCGCCTTGGGGACCCCCCCCAGCACACACGCCAGGGACTCCAACCACACTGCTTTGGGACCAAAGGCAGTGGTGCAGTGAAGGTGTGACCAGTGGTTCTGCTGAAGTGTGAACTTGCCAATTTCTGCCAAAATAGCCAGTGTGCCCACCAAGGCCCATCTTGGCTAGCAGCACGTCCGTGAACCTGTGCTGGGGAGGTGGGCACAGGACAAGCCTCAGCAACCGCTGCAAGGAGACCTCAGGGGCATCGTGTGCTGCTGACCTGAGCTGGGGGCTGGTTTTAGGCTGTGCCTGAGCATCACCTAGGTGGCGACAGACTGCGGCTCTGCATGACCGTCCTGGCGCTCCTGGGGCCATGGCTGTGGCGCGCCAGTGTTCCCATAGCTGCGGAAGGCGGCGGGCACATGTGTTATGTAGCATTTCTGCCTTTGTACTTAGGGGTCATTTGCACTGTTTTATTTTCCCAGCTGTCTCGCTGAGCATGGGGTCCATGCTCACTCTCTCCACATCTCGCTGAATTGGTGCTGCCACGTGCTCCATTGGGCTGGAGCAGGGCAGGCGCAGTCTGGCGGAGGTCAGTAGTGCAACTGCCCACGTGGCTCCCTCCATAAACTGTATCTGTCGCGAGTCTCTGATTTCTTCTATAGTTACAGAAGGATGTTGTGCAGGGTGATGTGGCCATATTGGTAAATGCTAAGCTATTTGATAAGATCCAGCAAGCCGCCTGTTAATACCAAAAACTGAAATCAGGAACCAGACGAACGTGCATCCTTTCACCTTTATTATTATTTAACATTGGCATTTTTAGCTAATGCATTAAGACAAACAAAAAAAAAGCAGGATAAAAGAAATGAAAATTACCTTTATTTTCAGATGATATTTTTCTATTCCCAGAAAGCAGATACACAAGAGATCAAGAGCTCTTTAAACCACCCTGAACGTGTGGATTATGAGAACGGAATATTCCGCGCGTAGTCGTGATTGAGAACTGCAGGGAATCTATGAGCAGGTTTAAGCAGAACGCTCCAGGATCGACACAAAGGAAACTGGGGTTTCACTGTAAAATCTAAATCAATCCCTGAGCGTGTGTGGAAACCACATACCCCTCAACGCTCCCAAGTAGTGTCATCATTTTATTAATGTAATTCCAACAATATTCTCAGTATCATTGTGGGGTTTTGTTTTAAAATGGAAGAAAGCTTTTTGTTTTCTTTTTTAAAGTGGGCCCCACATACTCAGGGCAGAGCCTGATGGGGCTTGAACTCATGACCCTGAGATCATGACCTGAGCTGAGATCGCAAGTCAGGTGCTTCACCGACTGAGCTGCCCCAGCAAGCCCTGAAGAAAGTATTTGTAAGTTCAGATGAAAAAGGAATGGGGCAAAGAGTCTGAGGCCAAAGGATGGAAGGAGACCAGCCAGACCTCATGTAGCACCCGGAAGGCCGTGTCTGAACCAGAAAAATGTCAAGAGACAGGATCCCAGACGCTGCAAGGGGCGGTGGGCCCTGTCATGAGCAGGTGGGTGCAGGGCCCCTCCATGCTCTGGGGGGGACTGAAGATGTCACCGCTTGTGTTCCTGTGTACCCTCACGACCAACACTGACGCCCAACAGACGACTGTATGAGAAATTAAACCTAAGACGTAAAAATTGTACTCATTTCAAAATAACAATAAACCCATTATATGTTGACATCAACGACAACTGCCTGAAAAGTACATTTTCTCAAACAAAAGGTTTTCGCGAGAAGAGGGGCGTTGTGTTACACGTCCCCCAATCTCTGGCTGGAGAGACGGCAGCAGGCTGCCCCCAGCGCTGCCCCAAGCAGCTCCTGATTCTGTGGGCCACAGGATGTGCAACCGTCCACAGAAGATCCCACGCCTCACGGATAGGTATTTGGAAAAGAAAGGGATCTTTCACTGACACGTGCGGGCCACTGCGCACACCCCTCCTGGAGGACTCCCCTGTCGTGCAGGCAGGTCGCCACATGAACTCAGTCCGTATGGTGCCCTGGGGAGCCCCGCCATGCACTGGGCACATGGATCCCACTGCACCGAGTCAGGCCCGTCTCTGTGCCCACAGCATGCAGACCCCCACAGAAATGCGCTCTCAACACTCTCCCGGCTGCTAACCAGCAGAGCCGTTGCCGGGGCAGGTGGTCAGGCTCAGGGCTGTGGGGGCAGCTCTTTTCCTTCTAATCTCAGCGCGAAAGTGGGAATTTTGGCTCTGGTCACTATGACCACATGAGTTGTTCTCCCGGTGGGGACGGCTGTCTGTTTCCAAGAGGCACAAGTCCCTTCAGGTGAAAAGTGTGTTCCCGTGAAGAATGTGTCCTGCTGTCCAACAAGAGCTCCCTGGTGTCCAGCAGGAGTCCCCGTGCTGACCGACCCTGCACTAGCTGCCTTCTCCAGGACTCCGAGCCCAGACACTCACACCACATGCAGGCCTTGCCCCTGTCCGCCTCGGGTGGGCCCAGTGGGACCCCACACGCCCCCCTCAGGTCATCTACCTATTTCCTGAAGGTGTAACTAGACCAAAGCATGGTCCCATCCCCTGAATGGCTCCGGAGACGCCTTCCCTTCTAGGAATGTGTTTTCCTGGCACATCTCGGCTTGGCTTCCGAAACACAGATGCGTCATTGAGAGCAACGGGGGACTCTCCAGCTCTGTCGATGGGGGACACCATTTGCAGCCACTGTCCCATACTGGAGCAGACCCACAGGCCCCGGAAGCAGCGGTCCCCCACGCACCTTGTAGGGCACTAGGTCACCATCACTGCTGTCTTCCCAGGCAATATCACTGCTCCATGCCACTGCTGGTCTTCAGGGAGCCCCCCACCATGTCCTGTTTATCCAGAGTGGTGACCCCACCACCGGTCAGGGCAGGGGAAGAGGAGGGAGCAGGTGCAGGGGCCCCAAGGTGAACCATGCATGTGTGTTGGAAGAGGAGGGAGGAGAGAATCCCAGAAATGCAGAGGTCATCTCCCCAGGAGTGCTGTGGGACTTCGGCAGCCTCCAGAGCCACGGCCACTCCCTGGGACGAGGGTGAGGGCGTGCTGGCCTCTGTGGGCCGGGCAGCCACATGCACCTCATTGGACATCCTGTGGATGTTCTGACCACAGTTGCGAGTAGGCCGGGGCAGGAGAAGATGCTGGCTGACCCTTGCCAGGACAGGTGGAGGACACCCGGGTTTGGGAGCGGGCCACGCCGTCTTTGGCAGGTTACCGCTCTCCTTTTGGAAAACAGCCTTTGGTGCCAGGTTTTCTGGCCTCAGGCGACCAGGGATCGCCTGGTCTCCAGTGAGCCCTTCCTGGGTACCCTGGTGTGCATGTGTGATACGCTTGGGGAGTGGGCATGTGCATCTGTCTCCACATCGAGCCTCTGTGCCTGCCCTGATTAGGGTCACAGACACCTTCCCCGGGGGCCGTCCGTGGGGCCGCTCCCCTGCCAAGGGACAGATCCTTCCGGGCGCTTGGGAGTGGCGTGTTGGACATCCCTGTGTGAACTGTGCTCGCTAGCAGGCGTTCTTAAAACAGACAAGACAGGTCTAGGGGAACTCAAAGTTGACCAGGAAAGTCCCCACGTTATGCTCCATGGCTCCCAGGTGAGGGAGGGGTCCAGTGTCACAGCACCGTCCGCGGACAAGGCTGGCCCTCCACTGCCGAATGGTTTTGGAATCTTGTTAAAAATAAATTGCCCAGGGACCCCTGGCTGGATCAGTGGGTGGAGTGAATGGCTCTTGATCTCGGGGTTGTGAGTTCAAGCCCCACACTGGGTGGAGAGATTACTAAAAAATAAACTTTAAAAATCAACAAATAAATTGCCCCCGATGTGTGTGTCTCCATCCAGTCTGCCTTCTGTCTGTGAGGGATGATTTCTGTTCTTGTGTCAACACATAACTGTCGTAACTACGGTAAGTCTTGAAATCTGACATTGTCCATCTTTCAATCTTGTTATTCTTTTTACAAACTACTTGAATATTTTAAGTCCTTAGCATTTCCACATAATTTTTTAAAATATAGTAAATGACACACAGTGTAAAATCTACTGTTTTAACCAGTTCTGTGAACCAGCAAGTCTGTTCCCACGGTGGCAAGCACGCCTGCCCTCCACCCTCCCTGACTGACCCTGTGTCCCAGGGGAGCAGCATCCTGCCCTTCTCCACTCCTGGCCCTTGACACCTGGTACCTGACTTTCTGCCTCCAGGCACTTGACTCTCCCAGGCCAGGCTGTCATGAGAGGGTCGCACATCTGGATGTATCCTCCATGTTCA